GTTCACTCATACACATAATAACTGTATTCGACTGTTCAATGGCTTGTGCCATCGCATCCATCACATTTCCATGCATTTGATCGAAATCAATCCAAACTCGATAACCAGCTTTAATCAATTCATCATAGATTTGTTTACACAGAACTTTTTCTTTATGCGAGTAACTAATCATTATATCGAATTCTTTCGTATTGTGTTTATCTGTCATTGAACGATTTTCGTGATTGATATCAAGATTCCATAGAATTCCATCGATTGTTTTACTCATTTGTTCATTGTCTGGTTGTCGAGATAGTTGAGTGAGTTTACATATAAATGGTGAATTAGAACGCAGTTGTTGTCTAATGTCTGTATTGAATGAAAAGGCCCATATGATATCGTATACAATTGGATATTCATTGCACATCTGGATAAGTAAATATATTTTATTTGAAACAGCGATCTTTTGTTGCATCGAATCGTTTTTTGATAATGTTTGCAAACCTATGAAAATTTTAAAGTATTAATTTATATGAGATGTCATTGGTGTTAACCTAGTGGGAAGCGATCTGCTTATACTCTCTTTTTTATTATGATGATTTGGAAGAATGGGCAATGCTTTCGACTCTGTTACGAGTAAAATTTTCAAATATTAACTTACTGATTGATTGCAAGACAGAATTCCCAAAATAAGCAGTTACTCTCTATGAGAAATCTTGAAGTAGAATTACAGGATACAAATCTATATTCATGATTTATAGATATTCAGCTGAATTTAATGGTGCCAAGATAATTTTAAGTAAAATTTACAAACAATAGAATTTATGCAGCGTTTCATTAGTTAAATAACTCTTAACTAAAAAAGATATAGTCGGTGCTCGATAATTAAAGCTGAATTTTTTTACTGTAGTTTAATATCTAAGTTTCATTAAAAATAAGAGCATAAGATGCAGCGTGAAAAGCTCTACCCTGTAAACAGGAAATTTGCTTGGAAATGTGCCCATTTTGGTTTGAAAACGTGAAAAACTCCGTGTGATTGGTTTTCCCAGTGTCAAAAATCGGTGACACGGAATTTTGTATTTTTTTAGTAAAAAAAATATACGATTTAAATCAGCGTTTCACGCTGCTTTGTATTACGTTTGTCTTTATTGAAAAAGTATTCAGAGATTAAAATATGATTTGTAGAATCATTTTATTTTACTTACCTTTGAGTAGCAATACCATTGGTATTTGTTTATACTTTTTCTTTGTTAGATTCCAAGCATCTTCAAGCATTTGAAGGAAATAATTACAAATATTATCTGCCATTTTCAAATCTTTCAATTCCTCGTCAGTCAGAACTTCACTTAGTACACCATATCCACATAAAGCTAGTTCATCATTATTAACAGTTTCAATAATGGATAGAATAGTATTTCGTATTGTGGCGTTTAAATGAGAAAGCAAATGCATATTTTTCATTCGTACTATTAACATAAACATTGTTAAAATGCAACCCACTAGAATTGTTTCATCGTTCGAGCGATCTTTTTTAATCTGTTTGTAAATTGGCTCATAAGATATAATACGCATGAGATCTTCAACGTGATCGAAGGCGATTTTTTCTGTGCGAAAAATTATCTCCATGTGAGTTTTCTCCTCACCATTCCACCAACAACATCCAGAAGTTACACCTATAAGTTGTGTAATGCAACGAAGTAGATCTTTACTCCAAGATGCAACAGTATAACTATGAATATGAATTATTTCTAGATAATCGTCGGATAAATATTGAATAATTTCATCAGCCGTATACGATAAATGGTTGATTTCACACATGATAAATGAACTGAAAAAAGATGAACACGTTGCAACGTAGAAACAAAACTTCGCTGTAAATATTGTATGTGATAAATGTGGTTGCCGAAGTTGAGTCAAATATATTTTGTATTCTTTGCTCATAATATAGTTATTTAAAATATATTGACCGATATAGCCAATCACAGGTGAGGCGTATTGCAGATTATCAAAGAGAAAATGTGAATGATTATCGAGCCATAGAATAATGTAGGCAATAAATGGATCATCATCATCGATGCACCGATCAATGTACAAGAAGACATTGTTGATTTGCTCAATCGTTACAGAGAATAGAAGAGATCCCTTCGTCTCTATGTCGATATCACGGCAGTTAAAAATTAGCTTCTCATTGAATGTCGCAAGAGTTTGCAAAAGTTGTTGGTAGGATGTTTCGTGAATCCATCCATGAGACTCTTGGCTAAATAGTTCCCATGTCCATCGTTCGAGAATAAGTAACGATGGATGTGTGCTGGAAACAAAACTGGATGCGGATTGATCAGTTTGTTGTTGAAGTAAAGTCACTATTTGAGAAAGAACATCAGATGATAGAGGAGCTTTGTACAGTGCTGCGACGAGTTGATCAAGAATACTCTCCATCGGCGTGTTACTTCGTGTATTATTTGTAGCACACCTGTATAAAATGATTTATGGTAGAACAAAATACGCGCTGTTTTTCATACGTTGACAGCACACGCAAGCAATTGAATACCCGCTACTTTGTTAATCAGTGATTTTTCGTTCGGTATTCCATCCGGCGTGTCATAAAACGTCAAAAACCATTATATATATATATATTATATTCATGAATTATTCCTTTTCATATATTGATAGAGGTGTCTTGAAGTTCGCTTATTTACTGTGGATTTATAAATTGCAATCACATTTCTGTATAATCATAGTAGCAAGCTTCGCGTACTGGAGAACCTTATGATATTTATCGGAATATGTCGCGCTATTTGTTGAAAAGGCATCAGAAACTAAGGTGTTCATTGAATTTTATTTTATCAAAATATCGCTGATTAGGATACAGCTTTTAGCATAAAAAGAAAGATTAAATTCAATATCTATATGCATATATATATATATATATCGAGTAATATCGCTCGTATATTTGGTTGCCGGCTTATGAATGTTGAAGTGGTCTTTACAGTGCAGATCAAAGAGAAAATAAGTAAGGCAAGATAAGAATACGAAAGAGAAAGAGAAGGTAGAAATGAAAAATAAATAAACAGGAATATGATCAATTGCATAAATTACCATAATCGAAGGAGGAAAAAACAGCACAATATTGTTTTACGCATGATTTTATTCATATTTAAAGCTATGGTTAATCTATGAATAGTTTTTACTGTCATTTAGAGAGCAAAAGACAATAAAGAAAGCGTGTGTTTGTGTTAGAATACAAGAGAGACTCGTACATGGTTAATGTGCCTGTAAAAGTTCACAAAATTCAGATACCTCTTCAGAGCGACAATGAAGGTGTACGCGCTTGACGGAATGCATTATTCTAAAATTGATGCATGCTCGAATTATCTCTTAGAATATGTTGTATCTGATATGACCAGTATGGAATGTTTCCAATGTATTTTATCGGTGTCGTCTAGAGACTATTCATTTACAGTAAATATCAAGATATTAGGACGCCAATTAATGAAAAACATTATATCTTGCAGATACATCTCAAAATTCGATCGAATTTTGTTACTTCGAGTTAAATCTTAGAAAAAAACCAACAGCAAAATTGGAAAAATCCAACAAGAATGAAAGACTGAAGGGTAGTCTGTCTTGAAATCGAGATGCCAGTTTGCCAAGACCTAGTTTTATCATGAGTTTATCTCCAGATTAAGATATTTCTTCGGTCCAATTAATTTTGCTTTTACCATATATACGTTTCACATCAGAATAAGCAGTCGATCCCGTGAAAAAATGTATGGATCATGAAATTATTTATTATCGTGCATAAATACAGCCCAAATATTTTCTAGATGCCTATTATTTGATATTGTGAAGATCGATTTAAAAATCGAACTAAAATTTATTAAGAAAACAACAAGACTCTCAGAGTGAAAAGACATTTATTTCACAACCGCAGCAAGCCTTTTCTCTCATATCGAAAAACAGCATCATGAACTTGAGTGTTGCCTTTAACTGTTGGGTGAACCTGCGTGCCGGCGATATTTTTTCTCACCGATGCGATGTTTTGATCGAAGATGCTTCTTATGTTCGTGCATCAGAGAATGAAAACAGGATATCTCGATTAATGATATACTTTCATGTATTCGTCGAACTGAATCTGCTTCGAGTAACTTCAACATTTGTTGAGGTTCGCAAATTTGTATGTACTTGCTTAAATAAACTAAAGTACGACCATCGCATTCAATGAAAAGACGAGATAATTGACGAAGATTATGTCCTAATAACCAATTTTGTACTTGTGACTGTGTCCAGTCAAGAATATTCTCAGAGACGATTGATGATCTCAATACTTCGGGTNGAACATTTTTTTAGCACAAAATATACCAATGGAAGTAATATTTTGAACTGGTCTTAGTCTATGCAAGAGACTTTAGTGATGATAAGGGTTTGTGCTTTTTGTCACACTACTAACCAGCGAATGGTTTAGCGGTCTTCATAGTGTACAGAATAGAATAAAAGTAAAGACTGAAAAGAATTAAAAAACGAAGATAAAAATGAATGACGCATAAGCAGAAACATGATCAAGTGAATAAATTACAATAATTGAAAGAAGCACAAATAGCACAATATCGGATTATTCATAATTTAAGTACAGGTCATAATATCGTCGATTTATAACTGTTGTTATTGTGAGTTAGGAAATTTTTATATAAAAATACAGATACGTTGACTGCATGAATTAAATGTTTACAGATACATTCGAAAGCTTACGATACGGAACTGAATGAGTGAACTATGTCCATCTATTGTGAGGTTTAAATGTGTAGTTTCCTTAAGCTATAAACTAAGTATACTAGTGACGAGTTCGTGTGGCTGATTCCGTGTTACTCATTTCTGATTAGAAAGATTGATTTAGAGAAAAATCTATTTATTAAGAAAATAAACAGAAATTCATAGTGAAAATAAATCTATTTAATAATGCCAATGAGCCTGTTGCTTTCATATAACAATTCAAGCCATTATATACTTTATGTATTTGAACCATGCGTTGATTGACGACGTTTCTTCTGTTCATGCATGAGAGAATGAAAACAGCATATCTCAATGATTGATATGCTTTCATTTATTCGACGACGTGCATCAGCTTCAAGTAAATTCAAAATTTGTTGTGGCTTACAATTTTTCATGTATTTGCTTAAATGCAGTAAACTACGACCATCACAGCCAGTGAAAAGACGAGACAACTGACGAAGATTATGTTCTAATAGCCAATTTTGTACTTGTGATTGTGTCCAGTCAAGAATATTCTCAGAGACGATTGATGACCTCAATACTTCGGGTGGAGATATATATGTAGTAGAATGAGCTACGACGCTATCTTCTTTTGGTCGAACCGGTGCGGTATGAGTCTCCGCCATCAATTCAACTTTCAATTCATTATGTAACATTTGCATGGCTCGTGAAAACTCATACTTGTTAAAATCAACATAGAGTAATTGACCAATAATAAACAAGAGCCATCCATCAGGTTTATATTGTTTCTGTAGAAGAATCGGAACTATTTTCCGTTCGCGTTGGAACGCATATTGTGCTTCAGCTCGACAATAATTACTTTTTCGATACTGTTCACTCATACACATAATAACTGTATTCGATTGTTCAATGGCTTGTGCCATCGCATCCATCACATTTCCATGCATCTGATCGAAATCAATCCAAACTCGATAACCAGCTTTGATCAATTCCTCATAGATTTGCTTACACAGAACTTTTTCTTTATGCGAATAACTGATCATAATATCAAATATGTTCGTCGTATGTTTATCATCAATTGAACGATTTTCGTGATTGATATCAAGATTCCATAGAATTCCATTGATTGCTTTACGCATTTGTTCATTTTCTGATTGTTTAGCTAGTCGAGTTAATTTAGACATGAAGGATGGATTAGAACGAAGTTGTTGTTGAATATCTTGGCTAAATGATAGCGCCCATATGATATCGTATACAATCGGATATTCATCACACATTTCAATAAGTAAATGTATTCTATCCGATTGAGCGATCTTTTGTTGCATTGAATCATTTTTCGATATAGCTTGGCAACCTAGAAACCAAAAACAAAGGATACATTTGTATGAGTTGTAACTCGTCTTAACCGTTCAATAAGCAATCTTCGTGTTTATTTTCATGATAATAATTGTAACTCACAGTATCTATTTTTTGTTCATGTGATTATCAGAAAATTTAGTCAATGCTTATGACTTTGCGTTGCAGAATATTTTAAAATATTAACTAACAGAACGAATAGCACAAAAATATGTCGGAAAGATTCAGTCTATCCCACCGAAAAAACGTGCAACGAAGCTGTAACACAGAAAGATATTATAATCACTCCAAGAGAATCTTTAGAAGATCTTTCGGACAGTCGAATTGACTCGACGCCTCATTAACTAGCTTTTTATCGAAACAGGTATATATTGCAATTTAGAATCAACTCCAGTACACACCTTGAAGCAATAGTATCATGTGTATGCGCTTATACTTTTCCGCTGTTTGATTCCAAGCAGCTTCGATCATTTGAAGGAGATAATTATAAATATTCTCTGCCACTTTCAAATCTTTCAATTCCTCATCAGTCAGAACTTCGCATAGTACGCCATAACTACATAAAGCTACTTCATCATTAATAGCAGTTTCAATAATGGATAGAATAGTTGTTCGTAATTTTGTGCTTAAATGAGAAAGCCAATTCGTCTCTCTCATGCGTATTATTAAAATAAACAGTGTTAAAATGGAGCCCACTAGAATCGTTTCATCGTTCGAGCGATCTTTTTTAATCTGTTTGTAAAATGGCTCATAAGATATTATATACAACAGTTGTTCAAAGTGATTACGTGCAGCTTTTTCTGTAGGAAACAATGTCTCCATCTGTATGTTCTTCGCTCGATTTGACCAACAACATCCAAGAGTGAAACTAACAAGTCGTGCAATGCAACGAAGTAGTTCTTTACTCCAGGATGCAACATTATAGCTGTGAACATGAATTATTTCTAGATAATCGTCGGATAAATATTGAATGATTTCATCAGGATTACATGAACTATAAGCTTCTTGAATTAAAAACGAATTGCAGAAATAGGAACATGCTGCAACGTAGAATAAAAACTTCGCTGTAAATATTCCATGTGATAAATGTGGTTGCCGAAGTTGAGTCAAATATATTTTGTATTCTTTGCTCATAATATAGTTATTTAAAATATATTGACCGATATAGCCAATCACAGGTGAGGCGTATTGCAGATTATCAAAGAGAAAATGTGAATGATTATCGAGCCATAGAATAATGTAGGCAATAAATGGATCATCATCATCGATGCACCGATCAATGTACAAGAAGACATTGTTGATTTGCTCAATCGTTACAGAGAATAGAAGAGATCCCTTCGTCTCTATGTCGATATCACGGCAGTTAAAAATTAGCTTCTCATTGAATGTCGCAAGAGTTTGCAAAAGTTGTTGGTAGGATGTTTCGTGAATCCATCCATGAGACTCTTGGCTAAATAGTTCCCATGTCCATCGTTCGAGAATAAGTAACGATGGATGTGTGCTGGAAACAAAACTGGATGCGGATTGATCAGTTTGTTGTTGAAGTAAAGTCACTATTTGAGAAAGAACATCAGATGATGGAGGAGCTTTGTACAGTGCTGCGACGAGTTGATCAAGAATACTCTCCATCGGCGTGTTATTTCGTGTATTATTTGTAGCACACCTGTATAAAATGATTTATGGTAGAACAAAATACGCGCTGTTTTTCATACCGTGACAACACACGCAAGCAATCGAATAGTCATTATTTTATTTAGCATTACTTTTGGTTAGGTATTCTTGTGTCTTGTATTGTATAAACAGTCAAATGTTAGCATATTTATTATATGCATATATTTTTGTTTTCGTGAACTAGGAGAGGAAGCCCCGACGCTCATTTATTTAATGAGGATTTATTAATTTTGACAATGTTGCAGTATAACCATAGTGAATCAGCTTTATATTTGGAAGAACTTGACGACAATAATATCGAATGATTTAGGCATTTAATGAAAGAACATTTGAAATCTAGATGGTTTTTGAAGGTTGCTATAAAAAGAAAACAAATCAGGATAGAGTCTTTGCCATAATACTGAAGGTATGAGTTAATAAATTTGAAATGATATAGTTTAAATAAAAGAATTAATTCACAAATATTATTCTGTCATCGAATGGCTTACTGGTGAAAGTTTTAGCGGTCTTTATCAAATATAGTAGTAGAGAAAAAAAGTAAAAAATGAAAGACACATAACTAGGAACATGATTCATTGAATAAATTATGATAACACAAAGAAGCCAGAATAGTATCATATTCGATTATTTATAATAGATATACACGTCATGATGTCGTTGATCTATGACGTCGTCGATGATTGTTGCAACGAGATCATCAGAAAAGCAAAGGACCTACCTGAAAACATAGTAATTCGCTCAGATCGCAATTGTATGTAATAAAGCAACGTCGATGTTACTATTGGCACTTGAGACAAGCCTCTCGAGAATACGAAATCATATTGAATATTAGTTATTCTACATTGGGAAATTATGGTATTAAAAAATTATCTAAATAACTGTTTGAATTTTTGTGACATTTGCTACGTAGAGACACTGGCTGCATCAGATGCATGTTGAATGGTGCCTTCATGTTTATATAGTGAAAAACATTCTTTCTTAAATCTGAATTGTAAAAATTATTTATCAATTATTCTCAAGTTCGTTCGCATACGATTTCGTCATACATCAAAATAATGATATAAATAATTGGACCATGAAATTGTTTATTATCGTGCGTGTATACTACGCGAATATATTCTAGATATAAATCATTTGACATCGTGAAGATTGATTTCGAAAAAAAACAGATTTATTAAGACAATAAGAAGACGGTTAGAGTGGTAAAACATTTATTTCACAACATCAACGAACGTCTTGTCTTATATAAAAGTTCATCGATTGTGTCATGTACTTGAATGTTCCCTATGAATATTGAATGGGCTTGAATCTCGAGACAGCTTTTTATCAGTAATATCATGTGTTGATTGTAGGCGTTTCTTCTGTTCGTCCATTAAAGAATGAAAGCGGGATAATTCGATTAACGATATACTTTCATCTATTCGACGAAGTGAATCTGCTTCGAGTACTTTCAGAACTTCTTGAAATTCACAATTTTTTATGTACTTGCTTAAATAAACTAAACTACGACCATCGCAATCAGCGAAAAGACGAGACATTTGTGGAAGATTATGTCCTAATAGCCAATCTTGTACTTGTGATTGTGTCCAGTCAAGAATATTCTCCGAGACGATTGATGGTATCGATATTTCGGCTGGAGAGATATATGTAGTAGAATGCGCTACAAGGGTATCTTCTTTCGGTGGAACCGGTGCTGCACGAGTCTCGGCCATAAATTCAGCTTTCAATTCTTTATATAACATTTCCATCGCACGCGAAAATTCATATTTATTGAAATCAACATAAAGTAATTGACCAATCATAAACGAAAGCCATCCATCAGGTTTATATTGTTTCTGTAGAAGAATCGGAACTATTTTCCGTTCACATTGAAATGCATATTGTGCTTCAGCTCGACAATAATTACTTTTTCGATACTGTTCACTCATACACATAATAACTGTATTCGACTGTTCAATGGCTTGTGCCATCGCATCCATCACATTTCCATGCATCTGATCGAAATCAATCCAAACTCGATAGCCAGCTTTAATCAATTCATCGTAGATTTTCTTACACAGAACTTTTTCTTTATGCGAATAACTGATCATAATATCAAACGTGTTTTCAGTAGTAGCTATTGACTTTGCATGGTCTTGATGGTGTGATTCGAGATTCCATACAATTCCATGGATAGTTTTACGCATTTGTTCATCATCGTGTTGTTGAGAAGCTTGCTTTATTTTAATCATGAATGGCGAATTCGAAAGTAGTTGTTTTTGAATATCTTGATTAAATGAAAGCGCCCAAATAATCTCGTACACTATCGGATATTCATCGCACATTTCGACAAAAAGTGATATTTTTCGCGATTCAGCCATCTTCTTCTGAACGTAATCATTTTTTGATATATTAGCAAAACCTGAAAGCAAAACAATTTAATTGGATTTTGAACAATGCATGAAATGAAAAGCGCCAATGCAGCGATACATCACTTTTTAAGTCGAGACTAATTGCATGATTTAGATCTTCATGAGTACGTTGAAAATAGTTCATATGCTTATCTTACGACTGCGATATTTCTGTTGACTAAGAGCAAAAGAAAAAAAAGTAGGCGATATCACCAGCAGTGTATTATGAAAGTTTCAGATGTTGTAGCTGTTTCAATTTTAATAGACATTTAAGGCAAAATTTACTCGTCTTCAAATCCGCAGCAATGAGTCAACCGAGAAAATTCTCTGCATACCACGAGGAAATACTTGAATTTTACCTCTGAGAAAATAAATAATTGGTATTTGTTTGTATTTTTTTGTAGGGCTATGCCATGCTTGTTCGATCATTTTCAAGACGAGAATTCGTATATCATCAGGAAATGTCAATGCTTTTAAATGATCGTCAGTTAAAATTTCACTTAACAATCCATAGGCACACAGGCATATTCGGTAATAGGCGCATGTTTCAGCAACTTGTAAAAGTATATCTGGTAGCTGTGTCATCGAACGAAAGAACCAATTTATATTTTGTGATTGAACTATATTCATTAAAAAGAGTAGGGCAGAATCTAATATAATAGTTTCATCGTTAATCCAATGTGTCATAACATGTGCATAGTAGTCTTTATAATCCACAATACGAATCATATCTTGTATATATGCACATAGGGCTTTTTCTGTTGAGAAAAGTAGCTTTAATTTCGTACCGTTTTCTCCGTCCCACCAAAGCAATGAACGCATACAACTGATCAGACAACTAATACAGCCAAGTAATTCTTTACTCCAAAATTCGACGGAGTGCGTTTGATTTTGAATTAGTTTTAAATATTCATTACCGATATGTTCAAGAATCTCATCGAGAGTATAATCAAAGATTTTAGGATTCGTGTAAAAGTAAACACCCAACGCTAATGGACATGTTTTCATATAGAAGAGTTGTTTACTGGTAAATATCGATGGTGATAATTGTAAATTAGATAGTTGCGTGATATAACATTTAAATGTTTCACTAAGAATAAAATGACCTGTAATATAGTGATTCATATGAATCAGCGTCGGCGAATGACCAGCTCGTGGAAATTCGTGCACAAAAAACGAGAGATTATCAAACCATAAACTAGCAAAACTAATAAATGGATCATTATCATGTTTAGATTGTTTGATTCGGTCAAATATACTATCAATTTGATCGGTTGTATTGGGCAGTAGGAGTGAACTTTTGATATCATCCTGTATAGTATCGGGACCGAAAATCATACATTTATTGAATGAAACAAGTGCCTGAAAGAATTTTATATAGAATGGCTTATTCAACCAAGTATGAGAATTTTCACCGAGCAGTTCCCATGTGTTATGTTCCAAGATAAACAATGATTGATATTCATCCGAAACAAACTTTGGTAATGTTTCATTCGTTCGTGATTGGAGAAGTGAGGTTATTTGTTGAAGAACATCAGTAGAAAAGGGTGATGTTTTTAATTCCGTAACAAGTTGCTCTAAATTTGCTTCCATACTTTTTTGTTTCACCTGCTTGCACTACTATCAATACATAATATTATCACTCAAAGTTGTGCATACGTAATGAGTTTGTTATTCGGTTGAATGAATATCATGTCTTTTTATTTTTATTTTTCTATACCACCTACCGATATGTGTCAGGCCTTGATTATTGTATCTCCAAGAATAATATTTTTGTAGTGTAGTAGTATACACTACTGTTATTCTTGTTTCGTTTCTATTGTTTTTCTGTTTCTTTCGTTTCTGTTTTTCACAGTATGCCAGAAGTATACATATAGATATGTGTATTGTTTTTCTTTCGTTCACTGATCTTTGTCAACTTAGATTGGCTATTTTTACATAGGAGAAAATATTATTTTCGACCGTGTCCTTGTTTCTCTATTACGTAATATATATTTTTGTGCGTTTTTGAAAATAAATGTGATTGTTAAGAGCAGATTCTTTGGAATACGTGGCAATTTTCATGAAGCATTTTGTGACTCACTTAGGTAATATCATTATGAGAGAAATGCGACTTTAAAAAATTAATCATTTTAAATTAATTTGTACTAGGAAAGAGTTTTTACTGATCACTGTTTTTTAACCAGCTTATAAAGGATTTCATGCTTAATCAACAGTGTTTCTCATCATAATAACTGTGTGCTATGTTCGCTAATATTATAAATAAAGTAAATAGCGAGATCTCGTTGTTTCTCCATAATCGTTAGTCTCTGTATACTACATTTTTTCTGTTTTGTTGCAGATCTTAATGCTATAACAGAATGAAAACTAATTTTTTTCAGAATGATAATGTTAATGGAACGCAAGACACTCCGTTTTCTTCTGACGTGCAACTTACTTTTGTTGTCGTTTAAGAATTTCGAGTCTAGAAAACTCTTCTCATTGAATTCAAAACTTCAAAATACATGCATGGGCTGAACTATTTGAAAACTCAAGATTCACACAGGGTGCGGGCATGTTGAGCAATGAGTTTGGCTCGAGTCAAATGTACTAATCACACTAGCGTCCTGTGTTGTTAAAAATCAGATTAGTGCGGTATTTTTTGTAACATTATTAAGATATGAAATAAAAGTTAGCCATTTGTTATAGGACAACTCGTCCGAATATTTATTCGGCAGTTCCACAGAAAAAACGATAATCTGAAAAGGTCTATTTTTTTTCTTGAAATTGATTTATTGTGGGCAAAAATTAGGCACAGGTAATTTTGGCGTCCATTCAACATCGATGAATAGTGGCGGATTAAGCATTAAAAATGGAGATCCCTTTTCTATAAATGGTTGAAACATCAACGGTGATGTAATAAGAATAAATATATGTGTTATTATCCATCTGATAAATTTAGGAAATTTAATTTTCATAATTTTTTCAAGACAACAACCAATGCCATGGATAATGAAAAACATGAATGTTGGAAATGCTGATGATGTATTTTGAAAAACGGCAATACATACGTGAACATGAAGAAGACCGCTTACAATAAATGTCATGAAGCCTGCAATATTCGATGATGATAATTCAGATCGAATAGGTTCGAAAATAGCTTCTCGTAACACTTTATGAACAATTCGATTGTATCGTTGACCCCAAAATTCTCCTAATGATAAACTTAATATTGGAGAGTCTGTATATGATTCTAGGGTGTATTTATCTTGAGTTGCGATTCGAACAATGATCATTTGAGCATCGAAAATATATGATATGGTCATTATAGATAAATAAAGCATGAAAATTTTCGAAAGAGTAAGTCCCATATCACATTGAATAGACCATCGATATATCCAATGATTTATGAATATTTTAATAAACATTAACATTATACAATAGATCAGAGAATCTCTATTTTCTGCTGGTTTTTTAGGTAAAATCGGGAAAAAAATCCAAAGAATTTTCAATGAAAATGATTGAAATGTTAACAATGGTTTTCTTGAAAATGTCGTCATTGCAATTAAATGCATTGACATTAGCCAACATAGTGACACTATAAATATTGAAGCTGCATGAAATTGAGGAACATTTTGAGTAGTGAAATAAGTTAATAGTGTACACGAAAAAAATGCAAAAATAAATCGAACTAATTTAATCGATATAGAACGAAGCACAAAATAGCATGCTAGTATACACAAAAACCAGCTGAATAAAAAAAATAAAAATGAGGCCATATTTTCGACAACTTTGATATCGTTTTAAAATAAATTTACACATCTGGTATTTATATTATGACATCATGAAAAACGCGAAATTTTTATCATGCCATTTTTATCTGGTTGCCTCGAAAGAGAAACAAGTTACCAGATACCTTCTCCTTCTGACGACAAACATACAATAGAGAAACATTTAAGAGGTCAATATGTACTTCGCCGAACGAGGCATTGTCGAAATGAAAATCACCGAATCTTAGATTATCCAAAAGTCTCATTTATAACAAAATTCCAATGTTTATATTGATGATCTTCTTTTTCGTTGATGTTTCTTTGGCCGATGAGATATACAAACGTTTTAATTTGTTTTTATTGTTACTTTTCGAGCAGAAGGCATAGATGAAAATTTCGAAATCTTGAAAAACATTGCTCTCGAGCTACTTCTCGATGTATTAGAAGAAAGAGACTCTCACGCCCTGAATCTTGGTAGAGGGGTATATTGCAGCAAACATTAATCAACAATAAAACCATGATGTTTTTCTCAAAAGATAACCCATAGGATTTTCTAGTCGCTTACATTTAACCTAGGGGGAATGAAACGTTCTCATAGTGTAATTCTATCTATTTCTCTCTTTGGTTATGAATATAGTGTAGCATTTTTAGATGCCGAACTGATCTTTATTCTTTGCACTCAAATAGCATTGTGCTACTAAATTATTTAGTTGAAATCAAATTCTCACTACTGTCACGCGACAAAATGCATCGATATTCCGAAAGAAAATCGATCTTTTTAGTATCTATTTATATCTTAAAAAGTTATGTTATCAAAGTTCTATTGTTTACAAACCGGCAAATCCAACAATGTGCTAAGATTTCTGGATCTATTGATTGCATTATGCTTTCCAAAAAAGAGATGCACGACTTTTCTCCCCAGCATTTAAAAGCTGATTTCATTATATGCACTGAAGTCGATATATTTATATATCTATACGTAAATAAGAGATGATATCGAACAAGGAAAACATTCGTAAAAAAACAAAAGAAAAGAAAAGAAAAACAAAGTCTATTGACTAGCTCGTTGATACTCGTTTTATTGTTGGTATCTGTGATTGTTGTTGCTGTTGTTGCATTTGAGTACATTCGACGCAAAACCATTTTCCTTTCGGTGGCGTTACAATACCGACACATGGATAATGAAACCATTCGCGACGACATGTTGGATTATCACATGCAATCATATCACCATAACTCATTTCATTACAGAAACAGTACCGACGTTCGTCAATAGCTTGTCCAGGAAAGTTCGGCATAACATTAGCTGAATCAAAACCACCGTTGGTTTCATCGTCAAATAGATTGGGCGATGCTGTTTGATTATTTAGTTGAAAATAATCTGTTGTTGCTGTATTATTTGATTGTAGATTTGAAGCTGATGATGATTCATCACTGTCGCTTGGTGGTAGCATATGATGAAGCGGATGTGATTGAAATGATTCATTTAGGAATGGATTACGTGTGGTACTTCGTTTTCGGTGTTTGCCAACCGTATTTGTTGAAGATACACCTTGCAAACGTTTTCGACCACGTGACGATGTTGATGAACCTGATAGGATACGTTGTGGATTTTGTTTTCGATTGAACGACGATGAAGAATTTGATGGGAGTAAACCTAAAGGAAAATGAATTCAAGGTCAACTGTTTTCTTTTCTTGAATGCGCATTACCGGTTGATGAACGACGAGATTGTGTGGATATTAAATAGCTTAATGTGGATGGATTTGTGTAATCGTCAACTAATGCGCTCGACATTGTCATATCGTCTAGTGGATCGAATAAAGGTTCGATATCTAATAAGGATGGATCGAAATTACCTAAAATAGAATAAATAACCCATGATCAATTCTCATTCCAATTAATAGATAAAATAAATTTTGAACGATGTCAACAGCACGAGGTGCATCTTAGAATAGGAACAACAATTTAATCTCGCTCTATCGGATTTATGTAATAGAACTGTTTTATCTTTAAGTTCACCCTCTTTTAAAGAAGCTAAAATTTATTTCTCAATTATATCAATTTTATATAGTAGTTTAAGAAGATTGAACTCTCCTAATATAAAGATGATTACAATCAAAAAAAATAATAACTTACTATTCTCGCCAGCAGAATTATCATATTCATTGAAACCTTCGCTAGCAAATCCTAAAATGTTTCAATATAGAGAATAAAATACACAATAAAATAATTTCTATCAACATACGTTTTTCTAATGTTTCTGTTATTCCGGAGTAATCAGCTTCAAGTTCCATTTTAAATTTATTTAGATCATTTTCAAGTTTTTTATAATAACGTTCAACAATATCATGAGATTCATTAGCTAAATTATTTTTCGTTGTTGTAGCTTTTACTAGTTGCTGATGTCTTTCAACAAGTTTATCATATTCAATTTGTTTTTCTTTTTGTGCAGCTAATTGTTCTGATGTTAATTGTGGTTCATTTGTATCGATTGTGGATTCTTCATTTGCGATTGAACGATGTGTGTTAATTTTTGATCGTGTTGGTGAAAGTGAAGATTGCTGTTGATATTGACGATAATTACTAAGAAATTTGGATGTATCTTCTTCTAATTGCGCAAATTCAGCTTGAGTTTTTAAATCATTTTCACGCATCAAAGTTAATTTCTCACGCATAATCTCAGGTAAAGGATCAAGTACTAAAATGAAACATGAATCAATAACAAGTTGAATAAATAAACTAACTTACACTCGAGATAATCCTCTAGATAGTGCATGGTAGAAACACAAATAATGGTTAATCTAAAATTATATTAATTATGAATTCTATTCGTTTTCTCAATGAATGTTTTATTCAATAACGAATCTTATTCGTTAAAAGGTTAATACATACGAAATCTTTACTTAGAAACCAAACGAACCACGTCCTGCTGTACGAAAAAGAGCAAAAGTGGCAGATGATCAACTGATTCAAGCAAGGAATACGCTAATTCTTTTTTAGTGGTTGTTTTTCTATGCATTTTATGAATCATTTTTTTAGAAGCGAACAGTATGTTAATAATTTCTGACAAATATTCTTCTGCTGTGTATTTTTATAAAAAAAAGTTGACAGATGACGCTATATGTGGAGTGATGATGGCACACGCGTGGCATAATTTTATTCGATGAGATGAAAACAGTTGGCATTTGCTTTCAAACGTAAGAAATGCGAAAATCTGCACCAATTTGAAGGGTATGCCAACTGCACACAGATCCTTAGCCCATCTGAATCTGCCACATCAGCTAGTTTGGTTTAGTTTTCATATTTTGTTATAGACGTAGAATAAACATGGTACTAGTTAATTTTGATCATATAATAAAGAAAATAGAAATAGTACCAATGAAAATATTATAGAAAAGTACTCTGAGTTGCATCTATTTTTCTCTAACATTGAAGTTTATTTGATTCAGTCTTCAAAATGTAATGAACAATAAATAAATATATATATAAACGTGTAAACTTCATTCTATGCATTTCATAGGTAGGCTCGACTTACCAATCAAAATGATTTTTACTGCGCCATCTATTGGTTCAGATTTGAAGATGAATTTTAATTTTGTTTCTTTAATCATTTACTCAAAATATATGAATGCCTTAATTTAATTATTAATTAGTTAATGATAAACAGCGACACAAATTTGATTCGTCGGATATCATCTCAAAATACTTTCTATTTCTGGGATTCTGACCACACTGCGATATATACTTCGGCAAGTTCCCCCAACTGTTCATACATCAGGGAACAAAGCAAATTTTACTTCATAATCGTGTTTTTTAGGTTTGTATTTGATTATGCATTAGTGCAATATGCTTCTCAATTAGAAATAGTTTGCATTGCTTGCCGTCTTTTTATTGGGCTCGCAAATAGAGGAGACGAAGACATAGTAGTTGCTGGATAAGTTTGATTTAATCATCGGCCTGCTGATAAAGGTAATATACTTCAAGCAGTAAGCGATAATCTGGCATGTTGGTGCAATATTAGATCAAGATAGAATTTTGAAATCAATACATTACACGTAAAGCGATACTTTTTTCTATTTTTTGTTTGATTAAAAATTGTGAGATGACAAAAGTTAAGTCAAAAAACGTGATCGATCTATGGAGATGTCAAGCGAGATATGTGGTAAAATTTTAAGTACGCTTCTATTTTTTAATATGTATTCTTCGTTGCAAGATATTGTTTTGAAAATTGGTACATCTGCTAGAACAAATCGATACGAGAAAAGAAATCAATCGTTTTTCAGTTTTTTTTTAATAATATTTCTTCAGTATACTGTACTAAATCATTGCGAGATCTTACAGTGTGGAATAGCTAAATGTCATAAGAAAGCTTTGATGAAAGCAGAAAACAAAATACCTATTCTGATCGAAAGTTCTTTATATGCAATTAACTTGTTTTCTTAGCATGAAAATAACTGTAGAAAAACTAATTTTTATGGTACTGACTATGCGTGGATCTAAAGCAATTAGAATTTGCCTTTCGATTATGTAATTGATTGAAGACTCAACACAATCTTCGAAGATCAGTTCGATTAAACGGTTTCTATGCATGAGTCAATAAGTAGTAAGCATACATTAGATGACTCATTGGTGTAGAAAAATAAAAACTGATTCGCATCGCTTGTTTTTACAAACAAATTTGTCATATCTTATTTTTAGATAGAAAAATGCCGCGGTTTTGGCCATTTTCACACAACGATGAGAGCTCTACATTTCATCGTACATCGTTGATCGAAGGTATTGATGATGATGCTTTACTGTTGATTTTCTTTGTTGCTTGCTTAATCGGTCTTTGGATTTACTATACGAGGTAGATCTCTTGTTATTGCATCATAGGGATATATGAAAATATTTATCTGTTTGTTTAGACGTCATCGTAATACAACAATTCATCCTGATAATCGACAAGATGTCGAGATATTACGTCAACGAAATGAAGATCATGGAGATACCAATAGTAGAAGAACATCTTCATCACATAGTGGCCGATCTCGACAGGACACATGCCCGATTTGTCTAGAAGATCCGTTAGCATTATGTGTTGAAACAAATTGTGGACACCTGTTTTGTGGTTTGTTTATAATGGATATCAGCTGAAATTTTATTTCTGCCAAATTTTAGGTAAATGCATCATTACATTTTGGAAATTTCAATCTAATTGGATGAGTGGATTGAAGTGTCCTGTATGCCGACAACAAGTAAGGCTCTACCTTTTATTATTCTATCAGATGCAATTGAAACCAGATGTCAATGAAATTCAAATATAATACATTGTAGGTAACCGTGCTTTTAAATTGTTTTACTGCTGAAGAACGTGCAGCACCCGATAGTAATGATCGTCAAACAGTTGTCAACGGCGTGAAAGATTTCAATCGACGATTTTCAAGTGCTCAACGAACGGTAAATATTTCTGAATGCTTCTATTTCAAATCTATACATTCGTTCTTTTCTTAGTGGCTTGAATATTTCTACGATATTCCTGTATTAATTCCTTATATAATTCGTCAAGTGTTCTCAACCGAAGGTCTTGCATTGGCATATCGTTTACGTGCAATCGTTTTAATGATTGTCGTCATCGCCTATGTTATATCACCATTCGATATACTACCGGAAAGTGTTCTTGGCATATTTGGTTTATTAGACGATCTTTTCATTGTTCTTTCATCTGCCCTCTATATTATTATTTCCTTTCGACAAAGTTTGGCTCGTTGATAAAAAACAATTTTTTTTCTTTGTACAATATTAGTCTTTTTTTTAATATTTACCTATTATATTTTGTAGACAAGATTTATACTAAATGACATTACGATTGACTGATATTATTCAAAAACCTGAGCTGGCTACCAGTTCAAAATTTTCAAAAAAGACGTCGACATAGGATAGTTCGCTTATTTTTCGATAGAGAAGTAAAATAGAAGATCGAAAAATGGAATATTTATATGAAGTGTGTTCTTTTGTGTGAAAGTTCACCATTGTAGTGCCGTTATGATTCAATGTGATAATGATAACATTTGAATTGCATTATTATGTTGTTGTATAAAAATAAATCAGGTTAAAAAACATTATACTAAGGTTCAAATTATTTGATCTGATCCTAATAAGAATGAAATCGAGTGCAAAGCTCATGGATGTAAAATCAAACTTGAGATACCTGAGGACGCTCACTCATTCTGAATGCTTAAAAGATAAGCAAATTTGTTTCTTTAAATTTGAATTGAATTTGACACCATCTTTGTATCAACCCTTTATCTACACTCAGCCAGCATATTCTCTTTCGACTACTGTTATCTTCTGATGAAAGAAACTTAACAACATTCTTCGAGCGTCTTGGTCCGCACACACGTCATTATTGCGTTTATCCAAGTTACAATCAAGAGACAGCAGCATTATTTTGTAATAAGAAGATTATTTACTTTGATTAATGACGATGAGATAGTAACATTATTTACTTTAACATTATCGATTCGTAATGATAAAAATGAACGTTTTCGTATTAATCATAAGATTGGTTTGAATAATAATAATACTGTGCGATTAAATCCGTGTATTGCCGATGATTATCAAAATAAATGTATTGGTAGTTATTTGATTCTATCGGGTGGTGTACATGCCGAAATACTCGTGCTATAGATTTTTTTGAAAAATATAAATTTAGCATATTTTCCACGACTTTCCTAAGCCATGATGGATGTGAATGTAAAGATGGTCTTTTTTATTACGTGAAATAAAAGAATTTTAAACGAAAGAAATGTTTTACATATCCTGCAAAATTCCCAATCGATGCTAATTTTAAGGCAAGATCAGATACCACAAAATCAATGTAAAAAGATCAATTAATTTCTAGGTACGCATCAGAAACAACTTCACACCGATTACACTCAACAAAATATTTATTTTTAGTTTAATATTTATTATTTATGTCTTAAAAAATACACAATCTGCTTAATATAGGAAATTTATTCTTTCATTGTATATTCATAAATAGACCATTTTTTCTTTAATGACTCCTCTTACAGTTCCTAAATGTTGTTCATCATCGACAAATATCAGTGAACGTCGGGCACTTAAATTAGACTAATCTCTGAAACTAGAGAGAACAACCTCGTGTATGTAGATTTTACACATATATGCTTTATATTTATTGTTAGATTGGGAATGATAGTTTCTATTAATGTGATATTCATTATCAATAGAAAAATCCGAGCGAGACGAAATACTTTTCACTTACCCTCTTACTTCATAATGATAAATCAAAGATGCGTTGAGAATTCTCATCTATTACATCACTTAGCGCAAGTTGTATTCAGATCGGCGAAGCTTTTAATAAATTTACATTAATTACGTACAAATTATAATTTTAGTTTATCAATATCTTAAGATTCGGTTCCTTATCGTTTAAGAAATTTCTTTTCTAGAACGAAAAAGGGTGTTTCGAAAAAGATTACAACAACAACAGCAGCTAAATAGCTAAAGCACAGTATAGACACAAAACTATTCACAGAAGTCATTGTTTGGTAGTATAACGGGGCTGATTGATTAAAATAAGTGACGAAGATAACCGTCGAATGAATCAGATAAGCAGCATAATTCAAACGTGCTAATGGGGTCCAGATAGGAAAGGATAATATTCGATTTACAATACCACCTTGATTGATACTACAGATANACAACAACAACAGCAGCTAAATAGCTAAAGCACAGTATAGACACAAAACTATTCACAGAAGTCATTGTTTGGTAGTATAACGGGGCTGATTGATTAAAATAAGTGACGAAGATAACCGTCGAATGAATCAGATAAGCAGCATAATTCAAACGTGCTAATGGGGTCCAGATAGGAAAGGATAATATTCGATTTACAATACCACCTTGATTGATACTACAGATAAATATCAGCCATGAAATCGACATTGACCAACCTACTCGAGAGAGAACTTGATAAGCAACGAGTGAAGCTCGACTCAGACCAGGTACCAATATATAATCACCATAGGTCGAAAAGATACAAACCAAACCAAGTACGGTAGCAAGAATATTTCCGATAACTCGAACAATGGTATTCAAACGATAGTTACGTCCTGTACTTACAACTACAAAGCCAGTAAGAAGTCCAAAAGCATAGGGTGAAATGCGACACCATGGAGTCTGATAGATTTTGTCAAAGAAATTCGGACCAGTCTAAAAGCGAGTGAAATAGAACGATAAAAACATATTCAAATAGACTATCAATCTACTTACTGCGTTGCTCGAGATATCCAAAGCATGTGTAACCATACTTGGATAATATAGAAGGAGACTGAGGATTGATCCGATACTAACTAGCACAAAAAGTATGGTCATTATGTATCCGATCGCTCTTTGTTTCATCACAAATGGAATTAAGGCTAGTGGTGCAATCCAATGAAATTGCATGTCATTGAATAGATACCATGTCACGCTAAGACACATATTTTCGGATTTGAAAAAATTTCCAATGTATAAAAATGAAGTCCACCAACCACCATTACGGCAACCTGTCGATTCGAAACCTTGTTGGACTGGAAACAAAGGACCTTGACCAAAATAAGGTGTTAAATAGATGCTGACAAACATGACCAGAATGAAAGTTGGTGTCAAACGAATATATCGATGAACGTAATAGAGAATCATCATTCTCAGCGAGAGTTTTTCCTTTCGTGCATGTCGAACGAACAGCACCGCAGTTAAAAATCCACTCAGTAGAAAAAAAGTGTCAACACTGAAAACACCACTGGTAATCAATTGAAAGGCGAAATTACGTGAAGCACTCAGTAAATCGATGATATTAGACATGTAAAAAATTCCAAAAGTAAATGAATGACCTAGGATAACCCAACACAGAGAGAGAACCCGAATACCATTGAGAAATGCGAATGAGTTCTCGTTCTCCTTTTTGTCGATTGCAAAAATATGCCCTAGCGTACGAACGGCTGAAAATTCTGCAAGAAACACTATTGAAGGCAATGGGTTGGTCAGATATTGAGATGTTTGATTAGCAGAATTCAATGATGCATTCTTGTTTGAACTTTCCGTCAATGAATCCTGATGTCCCTTGCTATGCGGCTTTTTATTTTCATCCGAGCTGACTGACAGTCGAAGCACAAGATCGGCAAGTGTTCCAATTAGTATGAGTGAAGCTAAGAGTGAAAGAACGACACTGAAAGCAATTGTACCGGACAAAGGGTCATGTCTTTCATCAGTTCTCTCATTAGAACAGTCGAGATAATCTATAGTTAAATGTGAAACATTGAATACCTCCTGTAGGAGTGTAACAATTGATTGACGATTACACGATGTTGGTAGGCATAGACCCAAAATTATACCAGAACTCGTTATTTCCTGAGCACTACCAGGTCCGGATTGAAGAGCACCTAAAGAAAAGACGTATTTTATTTATCTCAATTATAAGAGAATAAAATTCGACATACAATATTGAGTATTAATTGGCTGCTGAAGGAAAGATTTATTGTTAATTTGATATAATGGGTTAAGACATTCATCATAATTGCCTAACCAAAATATGTTTCCCTTTAATATACCAGATGGTAATGGTTTACCCCAAGCATCGAGAACTTTCAATGCCCATAATTGACGTTGAGATGCCGCAGATATTAGAATTTCCAAGTCGCGTTCACAATCGCTGCTTTGGTTTTGTGAAGATGTTCTGTTATTCAAGAGTAACTCTGGCCGAATTTTTGCAAACGGGTTATTTACTAGATCATTTACAATATCTGGATAATTTTGATAAAATTCACGCAATCGTTGAATTACACTTTCGAAACGTAATGGAATTGTTTCAAATGTTGGTTCACCGATGGTCGAATGTGATAAGACAAGAAGCAAAACGGGTAGTAAAACAGCAACCATACTGTTTAAAAGAATGACGACTAACTGAAAGTTATCAACTAAGAATGATGTGAGAAAACGAACTAGGAGAACCAAGTTATATCATCCTAAGATATTTTTCTCATTTGATAACACCAATATTGAGTTAATGACGTTGTTTTTTGAAGCAGAGTCATCATGTTTTGTTCTTTATCTTGTTTCGATACCTTTTATAACGAAGGTAGAGATAGCATGGTAGGACAGTCAGTGTGTCATGTTCACGAACGTACCGTTCGTAAGGAACGAGTATTATGCACTTTAGCATATAGAACGTATCGAGAATATTGTATTATATCACGAAATTCAAATAGTTTTTGCGACGAGAATATACATTTAATCTTCTAAGAATATCGAGCGTTTCAAGCAATGTTGCAGGTACTTCTAATATTAACGGCCAGGTCTACCCACTCAGGGACCTTCCCTCGGAAGACTTTTTAAAAGTCAATTTGTTTTGGAAAATCGACAGTATAGGCGTATCAAAATACTAATTACTCGGAACTCGTTGAAAATGTCAATACTGAATTTACATAGATTAGCAAAATTTAGTTATAGATTCCGATGTATTATTTAATATTAAACTTCAAAAAATGTAAATTATAAAATGTTTTCTACCTTAAAAACTTGTCTGAAAAATCTGGCGTTCTAGTTTTGATGCAATCTATTTTCTCTTTTAAACATTTGTTAGGCTTTGATCGACCTTTTAGATTCATTAGCATGATAGTATTATCGTAATTATGAAATGTTTAGACAATGTCTTCTATTATTAAACTATTCATACAACAGAAATAATTCAATAAGCTTTGCATAAAAAAAGCAGGCTGCAGTTCGACCTTTATTTTTGTGAGTCCTACAATGATATTCTAATTCTATACTCCGATTGTTTTTTTTTCGATACGAGTTATAGTTTACTGAAAATGAAGAAAATACTCATGAAGAATGGGTCAATTGATGTCAACGGAATAGTTTTCCTACTGATTTATTTCTGCTAAAGTCATGAAGTGCGAATCAAAACATTGGACACTATTAATATTATCAGATCGTTCAGATAAATTAATGTTGTATGAACATATCTTATTGGTGCAAATCTATATGATTACCCTATCGATGTGTACAGACTGTGAAAATTGTACTCGAATAAAGGCAATCGATCTCCCTCACATTTAACTCTATTATAGCAAAAGCTAGAAATTCCCCTTACCGCCTGTGATAAAATCTCATTATTTACTTTGTTCCATCGAAAAATCACTAATCTAGATGTTTCTTTCCATGTAGATGAGCAAGTAACTGTATGATTCATCTCTTTTAGATTTGTTAAGAAAGTTGGATGTGTTTGACGCAAAGCACTCGTAACGGAACCTTGAGCGATTTTTAATGAAAGAATTGAAAAAAGGAAATAAGCAGTATGTGTTCAAAATAATATATTGTGTAAAATCAGCTATGATGGTGTTCATATTAGATAGAGCTTGTCCAGTTAATCTTGGTAAATTTGTCATCAATTAGCGAGTTTCTCTATGAACGAGGTGTACTAGGACACAACTACACTACAAAAAATGCTGGGGCTCGGTAAAAGGCTTTTTTTAAGAGTAAGGTATGAAATCGATAGAACTCGTTGAAATCTATCTTCATCAAACAGTGTTACGCATAATTTCAGAAAATATACGAAACTTGACATCACTGAAAATCCTTTACTTGTATTGATTCAAAACCACAATTAAATTTAGTAGGTACAAATCATTTTATTCAAATGTTAAAATGCAATTCTCTATCGTTTAAGAAATTTCTTTTCTAGAACGAAAAAGGGTGTTTCGAAAAAGATTACAACAACAATAGCAGCCAAATAGCTAAAGCATAGTATAGATACATAATTATTGAGAAAGGTCATTGATTGATAATACAGCGGGACTGATTGATTGAATATAGTGACGAAGATAACCGTCGAATGAATCAGATAAGCAGCATAATTCAAACGTGCTAATGGGGTCCAGATAGGAAAGGATAATATTCGATTTACAATACCACCTTGATTGATACTACAGATAAATATCAGCCATGAAATCGACATTGACCAACCTACTCGAGAGAGAACTTGATAAGCAACGAGTGAAGCTCGACTCAGACCAGGTACCAATATATAATCACCATAGGTCGAAAAGATACAAACCAAACCAAGTACGGTAGCAAGAATATTTCCGATAACTCGAACAATGGTATTCAAACGATAGTTACGTCCTGTACTTACAACTACAAAGCCAGTAAGAAGTCCAAAAGCATAGGGTGAAATGCGACACCATGGAGTCTGATAGATTTTGTCAAAGAAATTCGGACCAGTCTAAAAGCGAGTGAAATAGAACGATAAAAACATATTCAAATAGACTATCAATCTACTTACTGCGTTGCTCGAGATATCCAAAGCATGTGTAACCATACTTGGATAATATAGAAGGAGACTGAGGATTGATCCGATACTAACTAGCACAAAAAGTATGGTCATTATGTATCCGATCGCTCTTTGTTTCATCACAAATGGAATTAAGGCTAGTGGTGCAATCCAATGAAATTGCATGTCATTGAATAGATACCATGTCACGCTAAGACACATATTTTCGGATTTGAAAAAATTTCCAATGTATAAAAATGAAGTCCACCAACCACCATTACGGCAACCTGTCGATTCGAAACCTTGTTGGACTGGAAACAAAGGACCTTGACCAAAATAAGGTGTTAAATAGATGCTGACAAACATGACCAGAATGAAAGTTGGTGTCAAACGAATATATCGATGAACGTAATAGAGAATCATCATTCTCAGCGAGAGTTTTTCCTTTCGTGCATGTCGAACGAACAGCACCGCAGTTAAAAATCCACTCAGTAGAAAAAAAGTGTCAACACTGAAAACACCACTGGTAATCAATTGAAAGGCGAAATTACGTGAAGCACTCAGTAAATCGATGATATTAGACATGTAAAAAATTCCAAAAGTAAATGAATGACCTAGGATAACCCAACACAGAGAGAGAACCCGAATACCATTGAGAAATGCGAATGAGTTCTCGTTCTCCTTTTTGTCGATTGCAAAAATATGCCCTAGCGTACGAACGGCTGAAAATTCTGCAAGAAACACTATTGAAGGCAATGGGTTGGTCAGATATTGAGATGTTTGATTAGCAGAATTCAATGATGCATTCTTGTTTGAACTTTCCGTCAATGAATCCTGATGTCCCTTGCTATGCGGCTTTTTATTTTCATCCGAGCTGACTGACAGTCGAAGCACAAGATCGGCAAGTGTTCCAATTAGTATGAGTGAAGCTAAGAGTGAAAGAACGACACTGAAAGCAATTGTACCGGACAAAGGGTCATGTCTTTCATCAGTTCTCTCATTAGAACAGTCGAGATAATCTATAGTTAAATGTGAAACATTGAATACCTCCTGTAGGAGTGTAACAATTGATTGACGATTACACGATGTTGGTAGGCATAGACCCAAAATTATACCAGAACTCGTTATTTCCTGAGCACTACCAGGTCCGGATTGAAGAGCACCTAAAGAAAAGACGTATTTTATTTATCTCAATTATAAGAGAATAAAATTCGACATACAATATTGAGTATTAATTGGCTGCTGAAGGAAAGATTTATTGTTAATTTGATATAATGGGTTAAGACATTCATCATAATTGCCTAACCAAAATATGTTTCCCTTTAATATACCAGATGGTAATGGTTTACCCCAAGCATCGAGAACTTTCAATGCCCATAATTGACGTTGAGATGCCGCAGATATTAGAATTTCCAAGTCGCGTTCACAATCGCTGCTTTGGTTTTGTGAAGATGTTCTGTTATTCAAGAGTAACTCTGGCCGAATTTTTGCAAACGGGTTATTTACTAGATCATTTACAATATCTGGATAATTTTGATAAAATTCACGCAATCGTTGAATTACACTTTCGAAACGTAATGGAATTGTTTCAAATGTTGGTTCACCGATGGTCGAATGTGATAAGACAAGAAGCAAAACGGGTAGTAAAACAGCAACCATACTGTTTAAAAGAGTGACGACTAACTGAAAGTTATCAGCTAAGAATGATGTGACAAAACAAGCTAAGAGGACCAAGTCATATCAGCGCAAGAGATGTTGCTCATTTGATAACATCATTATTGATGTAATGACGTCTTTTTTTAAGCAGAATCATGAATTTTCATCCTTCATTTTTTTAGAGCTTTATTTCAACAATGCGTACATAATATCTCGTATCACTTCTAGACAAGATACGGGTTGTTTACATTAATTTGACTCTGATTAATTGTCACCTCGTGCAATTTCAGCTGAAAAAGACACTACAGTTTAAATAGATTAACTCAGAAGTAGATTGTTCTGGTGTTTGAAACGGAAACATGGGTGAACCAATTTTATACAACATCGTTTTGACGGGAACGTCGAACACACGCTAGTTTTAAGAAGCGAAGTGAAGAGAACAGTCAGTTGATTGCGTATAGTTGTATATAGTGAATATCGATAAACCAAGCTTTTCGCGTGTCAACATATATACCATTCGTAGACTTTGATGCTACATATATTTGAAAAATAAGTGTAGTTTGTGAAAAAAAATATTACAACTCATATAATATTTCTGATATATAATCTATTTTCGTGTGGGTGTGGGCGTGTGTATAACATGCCAAGATTCAGATTTCGTTCCTGCTAAAGAACTCATCAGTTGGCTTTAACTCTGTAGTAATAATCTAAATGTTTCGAAAATCATAGATATATTACTGTATTGAGGGTGAGAGTGGGTCAAGTAAACTACGATCTGGATTTTGACCTTGCTTAAGGGTCTCATCGGATGGCTATGATAGTATACTAATTCACAGTGATTTAAATGATCTGAAATGAATTGCATGCATAGGACCACGAAATCTAGCATTATTTCTCAGTGTGAACAAAAAAAACAGTAGAGTTAATTGCTTTTTTTACAACACATATAGGGGCATGTATAGAGAACAGAAAAAAAAGTGACTGATGCAATAATTTATAAACAGCGGTTAGGTTCAATTGACTTTCTTAGAAGCTGAATCTGGTCGTGCAATCATTTTTGGTTGATCATCGAGTATGCTTTTTAATTTTGGATCATTCGTAGAAACTAAACTATCGCATATACATGGTTGAACTATTTAAAATAAAACGTTTATCAAACCAGCATCAGCAAGAACGAGAGATCATACATAGATACAAAGCATAATTAGACTTGGTATCGTTGAAATTATATTTTGAAGACCGTTCAAAAACGATTAGGATTAAATGACGATGAATCTGAGAATCGGAGTGATGGTGATAAATAAATCAGTCTCGACCCGTTTATATTTGTTGCTTTTTGCAGAGGAAGAAGATTCGATTGTTGATCTAGCACAGAGGTCATCAACACTGTTCTAATCGTCGGAACTTGTTTGAATCCTAACTTAAAACGAGAATTATTGGCAACGATGAGAAAACTTATTCAACATGCGCCAAGCAGTCAACGCACCAATCGACAACATGAGCAAAACATTCAGCCAACTAAACATTAAGCAAAACAAAACTGTCTATAACTTAGCCCATTAAACATTTCACTTTCTTACTTATCAATAAAAATTCATCTGTCAATTAATCTGAAAATCTTAAATAGCAGAGCATATCATTGCAGAAAAACACCTTAATAAAACGAATAAGTTACCATCCTCTCATTAGCTAATTCAATAACATTCAAGTAACGCTTGTCGCGATGTATAGATGCACTGTGATACAATACCATTATATCTCCTAAGTACGATAATCTCGATGTAAAAAATATTTTTCTTCAACTACTCCATGTCATACACTCATTTATAAAGGAACCATCTGATGAGATCCATAAACAAGATCGAAACGCGTAATGGTTGCTACAACAAAACATCCACACCCATACATTTTGCACAGTGGTTATATGTAGAGAATAAACCCATGACTGAAAATAAAATAGATCTGACTATCTTACGGGGTTCAAAATCGATCGACAATAAATAGTGTCACAGAGTCACGAAAAATGTCAGTGTTACGTTTTCATTTTTTATTTGAATAATGAGAGCTAGGGGAACATTGCTTTTATCATTGGGAAGCTCGTTTCATGCTCTACAAAGTTGGTTCCAGGCCTATTTTCATTGGAGCTCGTCGTTCACAGGGGATTAAACGATAAGTGAGAGCGTTGCAAACTCACGGACCTTTTACGTCACGGTGTTACGTGACTAAGCCATTTCTGTAAACTATAGAGTTCAATAAAAAAAAACATCAAATTTATAGTACAAATAGAACTCGTCGAATGACGTTTGAATGAACTTTCCAGCTATCATACTTTTCGAGGTACTTCAAATAGTTTGCCAAAACCTCATAGCGTTACGCTTGGACAAGTCGGATTGTCTACTCTAACTTCACTGTTTTCTTTTCTAAAGTTTTGTAAAAGTTTCGATGTTTTTAGAAGTTTCTGAATGTATACCTCAAGAAGAATCCTTCTAATTGAGTATATCTTTTGTTACGAACGCACAAGTCAGGTTTTTTGCTGAGGTCATTTGTCGTTGAATTTCTTTCAAATTATTTCTTAAAATAAACTTGCAATTAAAAGAAGGTTTAGAATTCATTTGATTATTTTTCTATCAAAATAGTTTAATGCTTTGAAAATTGATAATTTCAAAAGAATTCTATATAAAACTTCATTGAGCTCTTAGATACTCGTTTTGATATATTTTTGATTTGCAGGACGTAGCTCTACAGTTCTCAATAACATTAAACTACGTAGAACGTATTTTATTATTACTCTAGGTCGATTAGCTATTAATAACTTTTGAGTTTGGTTTTGGAAAGAACAAATAAATAGTAGACAAAAAATTAAAATTTACAAGGAAAAAAGGCATATCGTTAAGCATTGTAGATAAATACTAAAAAGATTTTTAAGAAAATCCATCTGGTGCACCACCTTTACGTATATCACAGTTTGCCCAATATTGATTTACTTCATCACGCCACTCAATGCCTTGTATAACAGAACCACCATAGGTGCTACACGTTATGTTATGACCACGTTTTTTAAGTAGTTTTAAGATATCCTAAAACAAAACAAAAAGAATATTCAAATAGATATTTCGCCAAAAATAGAATCTTAATCAGGCCATAATTCTTGCCTGATCAAAACCATGTTCAGCCAAAACTGATTGCGGTAATAATTGTGAATGAAGTCTTGGTGCATCAATAGCTTGTTTTATATTTTCATTAAACCATAAATTAAGCATTGCAACTTGAGCAACACTTGTAGTTATTTTAGTGCCACCACTAGCACCTAAAACTTGTTGTATACGTTGATTAGCAGTTTCTAGTAGAATTAATGGTGACATTGATGAAACCGGTCGTTTTCCGGGTGCTATAAAATTAGCTGGACTAGCTGGAACACCAAAAAAATTTGTTGTATTTGGAATTGAAAAATCATCCATTTCATCATTGTAAATAATGCCTGTTTCAGGACCAACAACTTTTGACCCGAAGCTATTGGAGAAAAAATCATTATCTCTCGCAGTTCAAACGACTACTTGAATCATACTAGAGATTAACAGTTGATGTTAATGCAACAGCATCACCATCAGGTCCAACAACCGACAAATGAGCTGTGCCTGTTTTTAGTTGATCATACCATGTTCCTCCATAATATTCGAAATCGAATGTTTTATAGTCACTAAAATATCAAACAAAATTTAGCCACCCGACTAGAAATGTACAGGATCACATTTTTGTATCCGAGCCATTCTAGACTCTCTCTTGTCTATTCCCTTTTAAATTGTATTTCCTTCCAAAGATTAAAAAAAAAACGTACTTCAGTCTCAATTTGATATACATACTTAATACGTGCTCGTATACTATCAGCATAATCTTTTGATGTTAAATTGCGTATCAGCTAGAAGAAAATTTTTAGCGAAAATATTTTGAAAGAAATTCTATACATACATTGGTGATATTAATTTTTAATGGATCAGCAAGTTCAGTTCGTTTAGCATAAGCAAATTTAAATGCTTCGATAAGACGATGATAGAACAGGGCTGCATCTGATGTCTTTTTTAAATTACTTTCAGCTATATTATATCCTAATCAATAAGAAAAATATTTGATTAGATTCGGGAACAGAACTCGACCGAATTTATTACCTCGAAGAATGTTGAGAATGAAAATAAGTAGTGGTCCACTGGATGGTGCTTGTGTTGTAAATGCTGTTAATGACGCATTGAGATTAACACTTAAGGCTTCATTAAAATCAACTTGATAATCAGCAAGATCTTGTTTTGTAATAATACCACCATGATCATGAATTTCTTTCACAATTCTATCAGCTAATGTACCCGTATAAAAAGCATCAGCACCTTGTTCAGCAATGATTTCAAGTGTAGCAGCATATTTCGGTCGTTTCATAATATCTCCTTTCGAGTATAATTCATTTGTTTTATTATTTTTGACGAACAATTCTCTGAAGCCAACAAAAATAAATGACTTTAAGAAATATTTTAGTAATCACCTCATGGCTGGATCGTTCAAAATTAAAGATCTTGTTTGTGCAATAGCTGCAGCTTGTGATGCACTTACAATAAAACCATTGCGACATAGTTGAATTGTCGGCTGAAATAAATCACGCCATGGAACACCGCCTCCGAACTCATCATAAGCTTTTTTGTAAGCTCGTAATTCACCTGGAACTGCAATCGCTAGACCACCTTCAAAAAACAAAATAGACAAAGTTTAAAGATGATTTTTTTCAATTAAATTCTTACCAGTCATAGACATATTTTCTCGACCGATGAACATAGTTGCATTTGCTGCATACGGCGCTCGTTCTCTCTAGAAATAGCATTTATCAAATGAAGAACATGTGTTTTTGTTTTGCAGAAAACATACTCCTATGAGACTAAAAGCTCTTTTTCTTTTCCTATAAATCAATAGAAAACAAAAATGAAAACTGCAATAATAATTAAAAATTTTACTTCGAATATATTAAAATAGCACATCCGCCGCCTATGCCCATTGAATGACCATTCATCACACCATTACAAATAGCGGCTGCTAAAGCAGCATCCATAGTTGTACCGTTTTTTTCTAGTATTTGACGTCCAATTTTTGAACATTCACCATTATCAACAGTTACAGCTGCTCGAGAATATTTGCCTAATATTGACGAACCATTAATATGGTAGGTTTCAAGACTAGAACTACAGATCTCAACATTTGCATTAGGAGCAGCTAGAATCAAAAAGATAGTTAAGTAATAGTTCAATGATTATTTCCTTTCTATGTACTTTAGCATTCGCAATTTTAAGAGTTATTCGAACGGAACTCATTTTCTACCATAAACTAATTTACTAATCATGAAAGTACTGCTGAAAAAATCTACTGATTGAAATCTTACGTTGTTTTAAACCATACAGAAGAACAAAGATAACACCAGATACGACAAGCAATGAAATAGTAGCAATAGTAAAGATAACTGTTCGCCGCCTAAAGGAGGAGAAAAAAGAATGATAAATTAATTTAATGAAAAATAAATTTTTAAAAAGATCGAAACTATAGAACACCTTCGTCTTCGAAAGATGGTTGATGTTTTGTAAAGTAATACAATTTGTACTCGAGTGAGCAACGCTCGAAGTGATTCACTATTCATTGATATAAATATAAATCCAATTAAGACTTAACTCAATTTAACTAATCGAAGTGGATTTGAAGGTCGATGGAAATCAATTGAATGTTCATTTAAACTGTTATTTGAGGTTGAAGGAAGAAGCGGTTCGTATTGTTCTTTGGATATATACATCATAAAAATTGGTAGACAAGTTTTGATTAGTTTCTTTATCATTATCTCTTACATATGATCATAATTAATAAAAATATTTTATCCATATGTGAGTAAACAAACTTCCTAGTTATGTTTTTTTAAGCGTACTGCAGTTTCGTCTCGTCTAAGTTTCATTAAATAGGACAGTTGGTCAATCAGATAGAAGTGTAGAGGGTGCTAGGTATCGGTACATAGTATTTTTTTTATACAATAATTATTCCTATGTCTGTCTTATTTATTCAATTTTTTGTTTCAATCTTCCAAGAGTGACTTTATCGGTAATGTCTATCAAAAAATCTATTAATCATTTGATACAAAATCACGTTTGTCTAATTTCACTCAGATACTCTTGATGCATTATTTAGCACAAAAAGCATAAAAAAACATGAAAATTCGATTCACTATTGTTTCACCTAGATAATTACACATGTTCGAATCATGAAAAGTGACATACTCAAAAAACGATTCTCATTTCAATCCATCAATCACTTCTTTTATTTATAGTGTCATGATTTATAGAACCAACAACTCTTGAAGAAGAATATTCGCTTAGTAAATCATTTGCATTATTCTGACTTCTTGCATAAATATAGATAAAAAATGTATCGTTGTTTTTTTAGAGAATATGACAAAGAAAATAGAAGACGCTAAGTTTCAATTTCCCATTAATATATGAATAATGAATTTCAAACGAAAATTAATTTCCTGCTATAAAATTTTTTTTATACGCAGTTGTTTATTTTCTATTGACTTTATGACTATATATATCACGAAAAATAGATCGAAATAAAATCGATGTAATTCTATGATGTTTTATTTTGTACTCGACTAATTGAAATAGTCTTCGTTTTCATATAAAATACCATTTATTTTTTGTATCGATATACTTTATGTTGCCCATGAAAAAAAAACTCGAGAAAATATGCGTTTTAATGCAAAGTTTAAATAAAAACAGCGCTCTTTTCGCGTTTAAACGCAAAACTTTAAGAAAAGAAGGCGTTTTTCGTGTTGATTTATTTTTCAAGGCGTTTTTTTGTTTGAAAACGCGTTTTAATAAAAGTGTTTAAACGCGTTTGAAAGAAAACATCGTTCTTGTTTTAAAAAACGATTTGAGAAAATTCATTTTAACGCGTTATTTTGGATGAGTTTGAACTTCCTTTCAATAACGCATTTTTTACCTAAAAAACAGTTTCTTTTGGAATATACGATGAATTACGAAAAGTGCCTCTGCCAAATTACTTCAAAGGGTCAAATCAACGAATGTTAGTGTTTCAAGAGTCGTTTCTTTTTTGAATCTTTGGAACTAAAATTTAATTTGTATACTAAATTCGCTTTTTTAACAAAAATATGTTATAAAAGAAGGAACATACACTATTTTTTATTTCTTTTTTTTACTCTACTTTGTTTAGATAATAGTTTACTGTTCTTCTTCTCTTCTCTCCTGACAGCTTGAATATTTATACAGAGATGCTATCTAGAAGTTTTTGCCAGTATTTCATCCAGTGATGGATCAAATAAAAAGGTCACTAATTACCTAGATTATACTAAAAATCGAAATATTCGCACAGTTGAGAACAAAAAATTTTAATTATCATTATTCATTATCAGACAATATTCGGGAAGGGCAATTTACATTTACAAAATGTATTTGATTTGAATAGTAATTTTAAAAAGATATTCATTTTGAAAGGAATTTCTCATAATTTAGATTGATTTTATATTTAAGTTAGAGCAAATTAACATCAAAAATAAGCTAAAAAAAATGCTAAACCTAGATACTATTGAAATTAACTCTAGGTATATAGTGTCATTTATATAGAAAAAGCAGATAAAGTATTTCGGAACTTCGGAAAGCACCGAATAAAATAAAATTTCTTTTTGTATTCACTTTCTATAGACGTGTAATCTTAGTGTTACCTACTGTAAGTATGGCGCAACTCCACTAAGTAAGTCAATTAATATGTTCATAGTTCGAATCTGGTCATCGGCGCTTATTTAAGTATTTTCAATGATTTAAACGCGTTTATCTAAAAATACAACATGTTTCGACTTAAAAAAACGCAATTTACAGATCGCCTTCTAGATTTGAATTTTTGCGTTTTTATTTATAAAAAAACCCGTTGAAACGCGTCTTATAAAACAGGCAAATGTTCTAGCGAAATCATGTTCGAAAAAAAAAGAACGCGTTCAAATGCACATTTTTTTGAATTTTTTTTTCATGGGAAGTATGATGATGATATGCATTCATAAATAATTACATTTATCGTTTCATAGGATTAATTAAAATCTTTCATATTTTGAAATAGAGTCATGTTTTTTTCTTCTTTTGAAAATTTCAAAACGACAAAAAGAATCAAACAAACAAACAAACAAATAAAAAGATAATAAAGAAGTTTCACTGCATAGATGTATGTTACGAGCCTTTACGTCAAGTATACATATATAAATTAAGGTCATTATTATCACTGGGTAATCAGACAAATAAGCAGATCAAGGGATATTTTTTTTTCATATGCCAATCATAAATGACTGACATGCGGTTTATGAAGAAATAAATTTGTTGATGAACCTCGTTGTGGTGGTTGAGGCTTAACCGATGGACTAGCACCATTAAATGATGGCCGAGGAATACTTGATTTACGTGGTGGAACGGGTGGAACAGTTTTATGAGGAGTTACTACTGAGACTTTGGTAGTACATAAGGAATTTGTCGATGTCGATGATGCTAGCGATTTATTTATAACAGGTGTTTGTGAATTTGATGTTGAAAGTTTCAGAGAAGGTGCGACAAGTCCACTTCGAACAGGTAATGAATTTTGTTGGCGAACATTTGTACGTAGTGTTGTTGCAGGTTTTTTTAATAATGCTGAATTTGTTGACGATGGTAATTTCGAACGATTCATATTCATACTACTAATTACAGTCGGTTTAGATTTAGTCGAATTCGATAGAACTTTATTTATATTATTTGATGTTTGCGGTAGATCTTCTAGAAACGATGGAGATGGAAGAGGAAAATCTGTATCGTCCAAATTGAGTGAATCAGACTTTGATGCAACAGATAGTGAACTAGCACTACGATGATCTAAATTTGAGAAAATAATTTTAATATTTAGACAAATTAAAGAAACAAAAAGTCATTTTACATACCGTCTCTTTTAGTTGGCATAATAAAACTTTTACTCATTTGTTGTTGTTGTTGTTGCTGTTGATGATGATAATTTCCATTAGTAAAATGATATTGATATCCATATGGACTTGTATGATTAGATGTTCGATAAGATGAATTTCTATCGGATATTTGTAATGATGGTATTTGTTTTCTTGGTAAGGGTGTTGAACCAACTGTTGTCGCTGTTGTTGATGATGACGGTGTTGAATGATTAGTATTTGTTGTACGTAAATTTTCTGTTGAACTTAAACATTGTGTAGGTATGGTTGATTTTAGTTTTGGCGGAGTAATTAATGTTGGTCCACGAATTGTTCCTTTTGTTAAGGGTGCTATTAAATGGTTTGTTGTTTGCGTTTGTAAGGACGACGTAGACGTTGTTTTAAATGGAAAACGAGCTATAGCTGTTGGTCGATAGCCTGCTGACGATTGAACTTGTATGGGTACAGGTTGAATAGGAAGACGGAAAGATTTTGATACAGGAAGGCATGAATGACGTTCAATTGGATTTGAAGCTGCTTGAACTGGAGCAGATGACGATGATGATGGGATGGGTGATTGAGGATCATTTAGAACACGTTCAAGTCTTTGACGTAGTTCATCCATATAACTAGCCGATTTAATCGGAGAATTTTCATCGCTATTTTCATCTTGTTCACGTTCATTACTATGCTCATTATCAGTCAATGTACTTGTTGACACTATAAAACAAATGAACAAATTATTAAATACAAGAAAAATACTATAAATGAAATCCTTCTAGTATTAAAATATGGAAAAAGATTTTATTAAGTATAGGATTATTAATTTATTTTATCTATTGTCGAATATATACTTCTTCATTATCATTGTTTCACTTAGCTCTCTAGAAATTCAATAAAATCATAATTTATACATCAGAACTAAATAGAAATTATTCATATTTAAGATTAAAAAGAAATGATTCGATCTAGTCAGAAAAACAAAATGACTACTTGATTCTATATTTAATTTATAGGAGGTTTAAAATCGTATACCAACAAGTTTTGTCGTGTTCTATGTGACATTCACATTTTCATACCTATATACTTCAACACTCTTTCTAGTCCCCATGCAATAAAACTCAATATCTTACGTAAACTAGTACAAGAACTTGGTTGAGGTGATGCAGTTGAATGTAGATTACTATATTGATTATGTGAATTATTATTATTATTATTGTTATGATGATGATGATGATGTGGTAAGATAGGTGTTCGATTGAGAACTTGCCGATCACGTATTGATGAACATGGCATAGGTGACGAACATAGGTCATTATTATGACGATTACTTTGTTGTTCATTCGATACTCCTGAACGAGCGGCACATACAGCAGCAAATCGACCTATGACATTAGATTAATTTTAGATTCTTGTATAGAGAACAAAAAAAAGTTCTTTACCCGATGATCGATATATATCCATTGCCTTTTCCATAAGAAGATAATTAATTTTTAATTGCTGTCCAAACTAAAGAAAAATATGAATCTGTTATCTATATTCAAATCGAATCCTTCGAAAAAATACCTTAGCCATACGAATACTTGAAATCCATCGATCAAATTCATTTTTTGTATCAACACACATATATTTTATATATTTTGAGCTTTTCTTTTGAATTAATGGATGCTAATGAAAACAAAATAATTGTTTTTGTCATTTCATGATATCTGAAAAAAACTATTTACCTTAAGTGCAAAACAAAAATCACTTGGTGATTTAAATTTTTTTTTCCAACCAAGTCCAAAAAATAATTCCACGTTTTCAAATTTAGCCAAACATACAAGATCTTTCTAAATAATTGATATAAAACACACACAACAATAATAGTAATAGTATTCATACAAATTAATATTACTTTGCTTTTGCCTTTAGGTACAAAATAAAGACCTGATGAACGAAGTACACAAAAATGTTTTTTCCATGATTTTCTTGATTTTTCTTTTAAATAAATAATTCCATCCATATCAGGTGTTTTTAATAATTCATCATAAACAATCATTGCTCCATCTTTTTCCTATGTAATTAGATATGCATATGTGCTACTCAAAAAGAAAATTCATATTAAACTAAACAACTTACAAGAAACGAAGATGTTGCTCGGAAAAGAGCATATTTTTCTAATCTTTTAGTAAATATTAATCGATTAGGCGAAGTTGTGGGCCACATGAGAATAGCTTCGGTTAGTCTTTGATGATCTTCAAAAATACGTTCTAAAAATAATGATTATTTTCATAAGATAGATTTCTTATTATAATTATTAATTAGTTACCCATATGAAGATCAGGTAAAATTTCTACAAGAGCATAATCAATATCGGGTTCTCGATGATTTTTATGAACGAGTACAAAAAGAACATCTCGTATTGACATTGAATCATCAATAAGTATACTCTTCGTTGAACCATCATCATTATATGTACGAATAAGTAATTTAGATGGATGTTGAGAATTCGATGAAATTGAATCATCTTGATCTAAGATCATTGATGTAGTTTGTTTGGTTGTACTTGTCAATGTGACCATTGAATGGCAAGTTGACTAACAAAAATAAAATTTAAGTTTTCCATAATGAAACTAAGCGGAAGTCAGATGAAAATGACAAGGATATAGTAAAACTAGAGATTTCCCATGTTCGACTAGGATACGAATCAAAGGCCGTCGAGTCAATCGTAAAGTAATATAGTTACGCTAATGATCGAATAAAAATAAATAAATAAACTGAGAAAAAATATTTTAGATTTCGTTCAGTTTTGACTATTGATATTAAATGATAGTTCGAGTCTATGTAGGATTCTCACAAAAAAGGCAGCATAATATTAAGATACTCTTTCGTTGCTTGCTTTTTTTTGTATTTTTTTCTTCGAAAAATCAACTCTGATAGATAGATTTTGTCTTTTAAATTGTTATATATTGAGTAAATTTAAAATGGAATTCTTACAGATTCATCGTGATTGGGTACAGTAACTTTATCCGTTGATCCACTATCACTAAATGCTGAATCACAATCATCCGCTGCATTTGTCGTTCCAACTTTTGTTGTAAATGATACAGTTGTTGTTGTTGTTGTTGTTGTCGTTTGATTATTTGTATTCAATGTATTATTATAAAGATTCGATGAATCATTGGTTATTTCATCGCCAAGTCCACTTGAACATGCACTTGAGCCTGATGAACGCTGTTGTTGTGAATCTACATTTGTCGTTGTACAATCATTAATTGTTAATGTTAAACTAGCTAATGCAGCTTCAAGTTGATCTTCAAGTGTACGAAGTTCATTAACACAACCATTTGTGTTTGATATTGAAGAAGAAGAAGACGTAATTGTTGCCGATGGATGATTTGTTGATTGCTCCATTTTATGAGATTTTTTAACTAATAATTGATTAGAAGTTGATGATGGATGATTTGAACATTCTTCAAATTGAATTTTAAAATCTCGTAATTCTGATATAATTGCGTCAAGTTCAGCTGAATCGTCTTCGTCTAGAGAGGACAAAAAGAGGAACAAAATCAAGACCAAAATAAATTGTATAATGAAATACTTGACGCGAGTATAAACACTATCTCTTTTTTATGACCTCTTCGCGCTTGTTCTCGTAATAATTTGCTCAGTTTCTTCTCTTCATCGTACTCTCGTCTTTATAACTGTTATTATATTTCTCCGAAACAGTATTTGATATATGATAATGCCCTTTTTTTTTCCTCATAGATATACATACACAGTTGTTCATCTCGTTCTACGTGTGCATTTCCGATTGACGATTAGGACAGACAAAAAGAAAAAGAGGCAAATAGGACGAACGTTGTATGTTCACACATCTAGTTCCGACGGAAACAGTTGTACTTTCTCTCTTCTCATTCTATGAGTATGTGTAACCATTAAAGGGAACATAAGAGAGGAGTACTGCGTAGTTATGTAAGACAAACAGACCGATGTTGTATGAGCGAGCATGTACTACTACTACTACTACTACTCGACAAGAGATAATGGAATGTTGATGACAGAAGCTTTGAATAATATTTGTCTCGACGACAGTTATTATCGAAGAAAACTATGACAAATTAGAAGTACTAGAAAATAATTTATAAACTATGATCGATATCTGTCTTCAAATATGTAATAGGTGTTGTGTGTGTTTGCATTCTTCAAAAATTTACTTCAATATGTTAGTCAAGAACAGTAACTAAGAATCTTATTATTTGAATGCTTTCCTTTTTTTTGTAGGATGATTGAATATCTACAAGGACACGTTTATAACGATGCCAATATACTGAGAAGAATCATGATGATGTAATCATTAGTATCTTATTTCATCTCATTACAAATTCGATTCTATCACATGGTTGATTCTGACGATACTTTGAATAAGAAGAATATTTGAGATTTGATACAGTCTTATACATATCTTTCTTTTTGTTCTCTAAGCGAAGATAGTTACAATACTCTTTTACCACATACTGACTTCTTGAGATTGATGGATCAGACTTCTGCATTTGATTGACACTTGCTCATCAATGCTTGAACGATTCTCTCGTCTCGAGTCGCATAATGCTGTTCTACATCCTGTCACTTGCATAGCTGCACATAGAAAAGTTAAGCTCATCTAAGAAAGATAGTGTTATCATATTATGTAATTAATATTATTTTTCTTCATGCTAAGGAAGCGCATCGTACACCGTTAATTCTATCAAATCTATCATTATCATGTATCATAGATAATGTTTCGTCAATCTACTTTTCGATTCAGGAAATATTTATCGGTTAATTAGCACGACATATCTTCACCTTCACCTGTCTTCAAATTTGACTTTTTGATTTATGATAACTCAAAGTAAAATATGCACGAAATAACTTACCATAAAGATGAATTGAAGATGGTGAATATGAACCGTCTTTACCATTCAGTTGACTTCGATGCTAAAAAGAAAAGTCAAATAAATGTATAAAACTCCCTGCAGTTCATTCATAACTTCACCTCGCTATTCTCAGTATCCATGAAAATTTTATGTTTGCAATAAAGAAAAAGAATGTGCGTATCAAGAATAACTACTTGACAAAAGAATGAGTCAATATTCGAACGAAAAAGACAGAACTACATGATCCTTGCAGTTGTTGAACATTCTTCTCTCTCATGCACTCTTCGCTTAATCGAATCAATATATACATATATATATATACATATACAAATACAAATACAAATACAGCAGCACGAGTAAACTGATGATTGAACACTTAGCGGCCGTTACTCTTATGCATACGCACATGTCAGAAACAAATACACAGTACCCACGAGAATAATACATGAAAAACAATTTGATTGAGAACAAATACAGCGCCTCACAGGAGGCAAATTACTTGACTAACTTCGATGCGTCGAATGAACAGATAGAAGAAAACATTCCAGATAGAAAAATCAAGACACAACGCACATCTGCTTTTTAGCAATATTCATTTGTCTGTTCACTCTAAACAAGCACTGAAAACAACAGATCTGGAAATAATAGAAGAAGAAATTGAAGAATTATAAGCACTAAAAAAACAGACGTTCTCTCATTATAGCAAATTAAGCTAATCAATTGGGTTAACATTGATTTAATATGACATTTGATAGAAATTTGATATTGGACTATTGTTCTTTCTTATTCTTAAACGAGTTAGTATTGCTATTATTTATGATCATATATATTTTTTAATGATTTTTTCTTTTTCTAAAACTAATACATAACTTATCAAACAATAATAAATTCTACTAAATAATTGACAGAAAGAAAACAATAGTTTTGATACTTGTTTAGTAACTAATATCTAAAAGATGAATTGTGCTAGTCTTAATGACTCTACAACGATAGCAACTAGTACTCTATTATTTTTTAGCAATCAAATAAGAAAAGTTCAGCATATATTTTTCTTTGATATTACGTAAGAGAAAACTATAGAAAAATTTCATCATCCTTACAAAATAATCAAAGTAAATGCTTAAGAATGATGTTTCGTATTAAGAAAATTATAATACCGAACTAGAAAATTTAGTAAAAATTATCAAAACAGTAAATAATCCAATTACAGTAAGAAAGCAAATTTGTTTATGTAGCATTGAGATAAAGTAAGAATTATACCTTGAACTATAGATCTCAAGTGCGCTTCACTAAAGCAAATGTTACAATCAAAATAGCATCGAAACGCAAACCTATTCTCATATATTATTTTGAATAGTTTACTGACATGATGGATTTCAACATAATTCTGTCTCCTATAGGATGAAATAGAAATTGTACACGGTACATCCTATCATATTCTTTAATTTTGACATAGATACTTGTTAAATAACAATAGAAGACAATTTTTAATATTCTTTCCTTTCAAATCATTTATTTAATAAGCAGAAATCAACAAGAATTTTCTCGTATTAAATATAAATAAAAATGGCGAAAAAAAAATTTTTCTAGGACAATGTGTGATTCGAGTTTTATCACATGCTGTTATATTGTTTCTCTTTAGCAACTAAAGAAAATTCTTTTATAGGAAATATTAACAAGGAAATATAAATATAAATCATACGAAAGCAAATGTTTTAGAAAGAAGGTCACTCTTTTATATTCTATTGTTTACGAAAATCAATACTGAAATCTTAATAGACTAAAAATAGTAGCAGGAGAGTTTAAACAAACAAAATCCATATTAGTCTTTCACTTAGTTAGGTAAAGAAACCACACAAAACTTTTATCTATATAAAAAATAACAACATGGCATAATCAAGAAAGAGACGATATAACCGTATACTTTGCCTAATCTCCTCCTAAACTCTTATAAATTAAAAGCAAATTCGTCATTGTAGAAATAAAATAGAATTCATAATCAATTAGTTTTATCGTAACAGACAATTACTGGTGGATTGTTTTGTAAAGATCTATTTCTATTGAAATATAGTATAAAGATTTTCGTTAGATTTTGTATCTTTATTCAAATGGATGCGTGGCATTGAATGTATCATGATTATTGATCCGTGATTTAATCTTGATTCAAAAATAATATCATCAATTCTATGAGATATTTAAAAAGCGATGTAGTGCATGCGTAATTATCTTCTAAATTTACACTGAGAAAATAATTCGATTAGACGTTCGGCTAATACGAAACATGAGAACAGTAATATTTTCATTGAATTTACACAGTAAAACAAATCTCAACTACAAATAAATTTCGGATTTATTCTATGATTATCATTAAATACTAGAAATTCTCTTATGATTGTATCGATAGTCTCGTTATAGATCTTTATTATAAGATTACATTAAACGAACTGTTCTACATTAATGAAATTTAGGATGAAGCTTTTATTGTATGAAGACTGCATTACTGGACAACGGGTTAGCTGTACAATTTTTATCGCACATTGAATTAATGTGTTCAATGATCTATGAAAATTGTGTAAATAGAGGACAAAAGTCACAACTCCGCCTTCTTTTTATTCAACGAAATCATGCGTGTCACTGCATTTTTGGCGTCTCTTTGATCATTCGTTTTTTCTCTGTCTCTGTTATTCTCTCGTTCTCATCGTCTTACTTCGTATAATTTCATTTTCCCATAAGAAAAACGTGTTATCATGTCCTCCGTATATGTAATTTTTCCTTCAATATAATATGTAAGATGTAATCAACAGTGTACATTATATCAAACAAACACTATCACTGCCGACTGCTGTTCATTTAATTTATCACCAGGCATTGGTATCACGAACGTGTGGATATTTGCATCCAAGTATGTGGCCTTGATAATAGAGTACATAGCCGCTCCTCGTTCACGTCATTAACCAAACAAATAGACTTACTCCTCCTTCTTGTCAGATATATGGAATAAAAACGAGAAAGCAAGTTCAATATATAACAATGACAGTAAGACAAAAAGGTCAAATTAAGATAGTACTTATACAATCATGCTCGTACAAAAAAACAATTCCCTCTCCGCCACAATGAGTACAACTGTGTTCGACGAACGATTTCTTCTAATACATACACGTGCACATACTTGAATAATTTATGACCTTGCTCTGACATCAACAAGCATTTTACAGTAAATATTTCCATAAGACAATGCTAATCGGATGGCCAGACAATGAGAAGCATATCGATTTTGTAATTTTTCTTAAAGACATTGCCTTGTTCTCTCTTTCTTTTGCCTGCAAACTTTATTGATTAAGGTTGATACTCGTTTCCTCTTTTCTATATGTCTTTACTTCAGTGAGCAGACCGATTCTCTAATCAGTCTTCTTCGATAACCTTGATAAATGCGATCTCATTACAAATTATTTCCGATATAGAAGTTAATAGGAAAATATTTTTAATACATACGGGTTTCGAAAAGGATTGTATAAAATTTTGTAGCGCTCGATTTGCGGCACGTTCTTCACCATTCTCATTGAGATCTTCATCATTATCATCAAATTCTTGTTCAGATTCAGATACTTCCGAATCCCAATCGGCTATGGATGGTGAATGATGTAATTTATGGTAGTTGTATGATGGAGATGATTGTGATCTTTCAGCTAGAATCGTCAAGTCGTCGGATGCCGTCGGTTCGTCTTCTTCTTCGATTGACGACATGCTGCAACGTCGAACAAGAAGACGATTCATGATGATAGTAGTATGTCCTTAGATTGATGATGAAGACAGAATGAGTCTAGAATGAACGAAGAAGAGGAAGACCGACAATAACGACAAAATCATCAGAGGAGAAAAGAAGCAATGAAAAGAGGGACCTATAAAAAAAAAGAATTAAACACATGTTGACGCATTTATTGTATGCAGTATAGATGTACTATTCTTACCCTCTTCTGTTTTATTCCTCTCTCTCTCTCTCTATCATTTTTCAAGAAGCTCTCGCATATGCTACGATCCATCGTGAATTGACTATGAAATACAAATTAGAGTCATGTAGAGGGAAAAAAAGGAAAAGAATTAATTTAGTTAATTGTCACCACTTTCACATAATCAATTCTACAGTAGATACGATTGAAAACTGATAATGAAATAAAAGCAAACATGCAAGTGAATGTACTTTTTTTTATATCAATTACAAATATAAAAATGGTTCTCAACATGATGTCAATATTGTTTTTTCCTTCAAGTGAAAATGTCTCCTATCAGCTACATTTTAACACTGAAGTGCGAAACGGATTTTCTATAATTGATAACTCAAGATTGTATGCTAAGAACAAAGAATCTCAAATAGAAGCGATGAAAAAAATGCAGATGTTCATCCGTTTTATCAATTTTTAGGATCAGAATCGATGTGTTCAAGCTATGATTGTTGACGAATAAAATTAGATATTTATCTGCATAATACATACTGTGTTCATCAAGTGACATAGAAAAAAAGTAAGAGAGTAGAAAAAAAGAAACTGAAACGAATTATGCGTTCGATGGTCTTCATCACTATCCATACTGTACGCTGTGTCTATGTACGATGACAAGTTGATCGATATTCATAAATGGATGCATGCGGCGATGTTTCTTTCTCTCTCTCTCTCTTTCCCTGTCTCTTCTTCTTCGTCGATAATCATATATATCGGCACATACGCAACGGTCGATGAGCAATATCTCACACACATATCCACACGCATACATCAGTGAACGATTGTTCGTTCTCAGCTTCGATTTCTCACTTTTTCCTTTCTAATCAATACTCTCTTTCTCTCTCTATCATCAACGTACACAAAGAAAAGAAATATATGAAGGCAATTATTGAAGGATAATAGAGTGTTGGCATATCTTCTTGATTAGCTGCCTACTGATGCTCCTATTGGAATGTGATCGATTTATGCAACATTGTTGCGTACTACATATATATATATATATATATATATCGATGTGACATGAACAATGAGGCTTATGAGCGGCGTTCTCAGCCGACATCAACAAACACCCGACACAATGTGGTAGTTGTTTAGCCAACAGGCTATCTAGAGCTTGTTAACTTTGTCGGCGACGTTTGGCAGGCGATGGAGATAGAAAAGAAAATCGATGATATCATCTTATCTCTTGTCCAGCACCCGTCGTCTTCATCCTTTTTCTTCTGCTATCCGTTAAAAAGAATATTATATGTCCAGTGAAACAAAACTATACTCGTATCAATCACGATAAATTGTTCTAGTTTTGAAGTCATTTGGCTAGACAGCAATGATAGAAGAATTTCTACCTTTAACGAAAAGAACAATTGATGATAATGATAATGATGTGATACACTTGAAAAATGATCCGTTTAACATTCAGGTATACTCTTTTTATTTTTGATAAGACATCAGCCAAAATTCTCATGAGAAATAATCGAATTTCTTTTTTTTTTCAATTGTATCTTCATAACCTTTGATAGAAATATAAAAGTACATAATACCATGCATTTATTTTTCAATACATTCTCTTCGTGATATGCTTGTCAATGAAGTTATTATATTGTTAGAAATATTTGATAATAGCTTGTCGTTTTACTCTGTAATTATCAAGATTTTTTTATTATTCTATCCGATGACTATGTTTTCACATTGGATTAATACATAGAGTAAGTTAACGTGACTATTGTTGACAGATTTATGAATGTATTATAATTGAATATTGAATAAGAAGAAAAATAAGAAATAGGTAAGACTTTTCTTTACAAGAGATAAAAGAAAGAAGTAAAAAGGTCATATAGGTCAAGTCTCTCTATTTTTCTATTCACTATTTATTACTCTTGTATTACTATGTGAATGAACACAAGGAGAGAAGATCAAAATCTGTTGAAAGAGGCACCAGAAGAAATAGCTTATCGATCAAATATATATATGTATATATATATGTATTATGCAACAAATCGACAGAATGAACGAATGCGTATGTGTACCATATGAATGAAACGATACGTTAGATATATATATGTAAGTACTGATATTTTACTGTGCTTACCGTATGTGTGTATGTGTGCATGTATGTTTGTTCAATTTAATTGGAAAAAAGAAACAAGAAAAAAAGTGAGATTGAATCATATGATTTATATTCGACCTCGATTTATCGGCTATTTATTTTCCACCATAGAATCATAAAAGATATGCGCAGCGTTCAAGGCTTTTATAAATGTTTGTATGATGAGCAGAAGCAGAAAGACTTAGCTCCTTCGGTCATTTAAATGAAAAAATGCTTGACAACCATGACACTTGTTCCAATGACATTGCAGATCGATAAGCAATCAATCTTATTAAACGATTTCAATACATGTCATTTGTGACGAAGAAAAAGATTACAAAAACTAAGCGTTAATATTATAGTCCACATTTTGGCTAACACCTTGAATTTTGTTCTTGATGACATTATTCGCTAAAGTAATCTGTCAGTTAATCAGTTTTTCTTCTTCTTCTTCTTCACTTTCTTCTTCTGAAATAAAATATTTTATATTGAACTCATTTCTCAATTTATCTCGCAAATGAAAAATATTCGAATATGAAAATAAAAATAATTTTTACTAAATAACAAGTAATAAAAAATGCAAAAACTAAAGCATATCAATTTTTTTCCTTCTACTTATGCCTTCTGAAGATTTCTTTTATGAATCAGATAGTTTATAGTTTTATGATCTATACTAAACAATAAACATAAACAAATCAATCATGATCTAGGCGCTATATTGCATTATTTATTTGGTGATCTATTTCTATTCGCTATCTTTCAATGGGTACCATATGTAGTTCATCGAAAACGACAGGAAATGTTTCCTTATTGAATCTAACACAGAAGCAACTTGAAGAATTACATGAAATAACAAAGATTTCTGAAAGTGAAATATTAATGTATTATAGACAATTTATAAAAACAAGTCCAACTGGACGAATTACACATGAGCAATTTGAAGATCATCTTAAAACGATGAATGTATCAACAGATGGAAGTAAAGCTATATTTAAAATGATTGACAAAGATAATTCTGGTCAAATATCATTTCAAGAATATCTTGTTTCATTAATTATGTTTTCTGAACAATCTCAGCCAGAACAACAATTAGGTGCTGTTTTTGATACATATCAAGCATTATCTCGGCGAAGCTTAAAAACACCAGTGAATGATTCATCTGTAGAAGGTATGACGCGAAATGATATTGAACATATGCTGAAACGGATACATCCGGATTTATCAAAAGAAGATATTGAAAATCTATGTGATCGCTATATGGAAGATGATCAAAATAAGAATGGTTTTATTAGTAAACAAGAATTCATTTCAGCATGTATGAAAAATCCTAAACTTATGGAACAATTGGGACATAAAGATGCTATTATTAGAAATGATATCAATGAAGACGAAGGTTAATGGATTCTACAAATGGAGAATGACAATCATAGTAACTTTTATTTGGTTATATTTCGCTATTTATTGATGTCAGAGATTATTGATTATATCTCTTAAACAATAACAGCTTGTCTATATATATTCTACATATCAGTATTGAAATGTGTTTTAACTTAAAATTAAGTTCGATAATCTTTACTAGATACCTATAAAAAAAAAGGTAAATAGTGAGAAGGATGAAGGAAAGAGGAGCTCTTTTGCTTGTGCTGTGTTTATTTTTATGAATTCATGTGTTGCACTTTGTAAAACTAATACATTTCAAAGTAAAAGCATATTTTGCATCAACAACCGTGTAGTGATAACATTGCATCAACATTTGTCTTTAGTTTATTTTGAACTTTGAAATGAAATAAATCTCTAATCGGCAGTTTGTTTACTTTGTTGAAAATGTTTTTAACCATGTAAACTTAGTCATTTAAAGCATAGACAGCTTTCGAGAGTTCAAAGTTGATCTAGCTAAGATTTTACACACAAATCTTCTAACGAACAAGTACTGCTGCATTATGATAACGCTCCTATTTTACTGTCTTGAATCTTGATGATGAAAAAAACTGGATCTTAGTAGTAGACGTGTTCCGATGTTTTTCAAAAGTGTTATGAATTTTAATGAATTAGAAATCCATTTATGTAACATGGCTCGCCTCAAAATCCACGAAAAGCTTTATAACTTCCTAGTAAATAGATTTAAATTCCCATTAATGATGATTTTGTAAAAAAAGAATAACGAAATATTTTCTTCCGAGAGAAGTCTTCCATCTGAACATACTGAGAAAGAGTTCAAAATTTTCACTTATTGTTACGTAGATGTCTTCCTTTTTACAGTAGTTTCTAAATAAGTATTGTAGTTCTCCTGAGAAATATTTATGTTCAGATTTTAACTGTAAACTTTATATGGAGATAGACTTTGATAAACATAATTTACCGTAAAATGATTAGGCCCTTTGAAACAGTGCTAGTTTTCGATGATAACATTCAACCGAACGTTTTATGTAATAAATATATAATATAGACTTTTATCAGAGCTGCATTGGAAAATATTTGATTAATGAGAAGAACTCAAACACTAACAAGAGAATATTGTCGGTAAGATCTATCTATGTATAATTCATTGGATTCTATTTAATTTATATATATATATATATGGTCTCAAAAGAGTAGTCATTTATTAGCGACCAGAGTTCCTTCGACCAAGGGAGAAAAGGCGGATTTTGGAGATTTTGAAAACCCCCAAATCTCAAAATTGAAAAGCATCCCCCACCCCCCTGTGAGTGACGTACTCTCGACCTGAAATTCTTCCCATATATAGGTTTCATGGTACATAGAAGATCCTAAAAGTTTCAACTCGAACAAATGTTTCCTTCTTAAAATATTGAATTTTCAAAAAAATTGGATTTTCTGACCGTGCCGTGAAATGAGCATTTCTTGCGCATTCATTATCTTGAGAAGGAAACATCCGTTTGCGCTGAAAATTTTAGAATATTCTAACAATCATGAGACTTACATATGGAAAAATTCAGATAGCAATCCCATCATTCATTCACGTTTTGGATTTTCAAAATCCCAAGAAATTCCGAAAAAATCCCAAATCTGCCTTTTCCCCCTTGTCCTACAGCTGTATTACTTATTTAAACTGTTTTTCATTCCAAGAAACGTACAAAAATTTTAAAGGCTTTGGTTGTACAATTTTACTAATACACTAAATGACATTGTTCGTTTATAAATTATTAGTTTTCTACTAAAATCTTGTATCGCTTTAAAATGTAACTTTTGCCTATTTATTCATACAGTCCACATAAGAATAGATAAAGAGAAACGGTATGTATTCATAGCTACTAATTTTACTATAGTGTAAAGAAGGGTGACTTTTCGTTTTTTCTCTTCTTTTGTTCCGACATGACGATGATAACAAAAAGACATGTTATGATTAGAGTAATTAAATGCATTAAGATTTTTTTTTGGTGGCAAACACGACTGCAATAATGATGGCAATGGCGATGATAATAAATACAATTAAACCACATAGAATTTTTTTTCGACGAACTGCTGACTAAATATAAAATTTATTATTTTTTCCTGTTAAATTTCACTAAACTTTATTTTTTAAATTTGAATTCATACCTGTAATTCAACAGTCTGACCCAACTTTTTAGCACCGGCAGTGACATGAGTTTCCGTTTGAGAAACACTCGACTCAATATTATCTTTTGTAAAAATGGAAAAGTTGGTGAATTTAATATTTATCATCTAATACTCACCTATCACACTACCATGATCATTAACAAGTTCGTCAAAATCACGATGAATTTCATGTAAGTGAACAATATCAGTCTTGATTAAAACAAAATACAGATTTCTCGTATGTTTTATAGATAGTATTTACTTCTATTTGATGTAGCTCACCATGTCGTTCTTCAACATCTCGTAATTGAGTTTCATTTGTCCGTTGTACTTGATCACTACCATAATAAACAGGTTCATTTGTTTGTCCGAGATCGAGCATTGTTCTTTCCTCAAATCGACTCAACAAGTTATCTACTTGAAAAAAAAAGGATATATTTATATTACTCTGTTGTGTTACTGTCGAGAAAAGAAAAAACAATATGAGTAAGAAAATGAAAAAGCAGTCCATGATTAGATAGCAGATAATAATTCTTTTAAACAAACCAAAGATATGATGATTCAACAATGAAATGCTCTTTAGAGCAGTAAATAATACTGATAATAGACAGCCTTTTATTTCTAGAAAAAAAGACTACTATAGTAAATAGCAACTGTCGAGAGCGTTGGAAGCTTATACTGAAAGCTAATTTTTAGTACTAGTTTTATAAAAATATCATTGTTGAAATGAGATCCGACAGGTTGTTTTGCTTTAGCCTGATATTAATGGATTTTGGTGAATTGAGTTCTTATAAATTAGTCCGACCGATTCTTAAAGTACAAGTGAAGGTCTTTGACGAGATACGGATTCATGTCGATGCTTTTACCATTTTTTACATCATTCACTGATTGATGATCCCTTTTAGAATTATTGTTCACTATTAGTTAAATTCATTCTTTCGTCTACATCTTGTTCTTTCGATGAAATTATTTTCACTTTTTTCAATGTGTATGTATATTTTTTTAGAAATAAAGAATAGTACTCCATTTTTGAAAGTTTCAGTATTAATAGTTATTGAACAAGAAATGTATCAATAAATTAAAGAATTTACACGTGAATATTTTACTAATACGCTAAACTGGAAGTTCTTATTGGCAGATTAGTCGTCATTCATTCTGTGAAGCCAGTCAGACCGGAATAGGACAACACCTGCCACCAAAATTTCTGGTGTAGATAAAATTATGTATTTACCACTATCGAGGAGTCATTCTTTTCATAGAAATTTTACATACTGTATGTATATTTCGAGAATTATTAAAGGTATAAATATATATTGTCATTGATATTCGAAAACGAAACCATAATCATAAAAGTAGAGATCAATCAATGCAACAATTTAGTCTTTATCAAAACTAAAAATAGATATTTCTACCGATCCTTAAAAGAAACTTACTGACTGCATATGGTTCTCGATATTGCAAATGTTTCACATTAGCATTCTAAAAGAAAATAAAAAATATTATTCGATATTTTAGACAACGCGGCATGTACTGAGCATTGTCGATATGAAAAAATATCACCGTTATTACTCAGCTATTTTGAAAATAGCCATGTGGAAATATTTTCAATTGAAGTTTTGCTAATATTGAACAGATAAAACAAAAAGTTTAATTATCATCTTAAAAAGAAATAAAGAATTCAAATTGATTGTTTGTGAATTATTAGTCATTCTTATCATGCTGTGATGAATCACCGATATTTATTTTTAGAATGAAAAATCTTAAACAAATAATCAAGTTCTATTTTAAAGCATAAGCTAGATATTTTAACAGCGCTCATTAATTACTGTGACATCAAAAAAGTCAAACGAACTGATATAACTATGTTTTGATGAACACATTTTGCAAGTGATATCTTGCGTGTCAGTACATAATGAAGAATTGAAGGTCATCTGACAGATTCATTTTAGCAAGAATTCGGCACGAGCATTTTTCGTTCATGACCTTTGTTTGTTTAATATAAGAATTCACCAGTAAAAGTTCTGAATACAAGAATTTATGTATTTGATGTTATTCATTTTTTTTTTACTTTAACGTCAGCTGTCCAGATGAGGTGATACTAATGCAGAGATCATTGGTTTCCTTTTTCTTTTTGTTAGTTTTTTGTTGAATGACGCTAAAATTGAATACTCGAATTGTTTTTCTCTGATATAAAAGGACGATGTGTAAGAAGCAGAGAAAAATCTTCTCAATAGTTTACTGAACGACTGTTATCGAGTTTCTTGAATTCTAATAAGATACAAAGAATAGTAAAACAAATACTCGATAAGTACATCAATGAATCATATTTATTTTTTATTGCAAATATTTCAAATTTTCATGCCATATTTTTACCATCTCTCAAGATTCTTAGCATTAAAAAGATTTTTAAAATCTTAAGATCGTCTCATAAAAAAAGTTCATAATTTACTGTTACAATTCTGCTCTTCGATTTGATATTTTATTGAGTAAAATTGTGATTTTTATTATGAACTAACTTTCACCCTTTTTATTTATTTTAATTCAATAAAAATCTTAGACAATGTTTATTAAAACACAATAGTTTTAATTAAGAATTATTCGATTTATTTGTAATAGAAGTTAATGACTTATCTACATAGTCAATTTCTGGATGTCCATAAATGAGATTAGCCAATTCGTACTCAAGTTCAGATTCTGTAACTGACACAATGCGCGATGGAAATGGTTGACAAAGTACTTCATTGATTTTCTTCTGCTCGTCAATTATAAGTTCAACTTCTGAATCGATGCTATTTCCAATCAATTCCGATGTTCGAAATTCACCATTATTTTCTTCTGTGACGCCATCAGTGTTTTGTAGTTTCTGCAATAGTTACTATGAGAAATGTGTGTCAAAAGCGCAACTTCTCTTAATTCAAAGCAGTTTTTTTTCAAGGATAAAATACCTTTGAGAGTGACGGAGAAGGCTCTTTTGGCTCGATTTCTTCTAAAATTATGTCTGAGTCATACAATAGAAGAAAAAAAGAATAAATATTAGAAAGTCAACCTTGTTTTTTTGGTTGTTGTAGTTGAGTTTTGTATTGAGTAGAATACTTAGCACTTTTCTTACCGAAACAAGCACCCATCGTAAAAAAAATAAATGTTTCTAAAATTTTTCGTTTTTATTGTTCTAGGAAATCGATAAATGTTTTATGCTAATGTCTTCTTTTTTTTGTGTATCGTTCTTACAGACGTTTTTGTTCGTTCTCGTATCGACTCATTTCTTATTAAGCTGCAATATAAAAAAAAGAAAAGAACATAGCAGACGTATGTTTCATCAAATAACTTTATGCTTACATACCGAGGAAAGAAGAAAAAAGAAAATTTTTTATTTCTTTTTTCATGTTAAACTATAAAGAATAAAAGAATAAATATCTGAATAGACTTAAAAAAATAGCTATACTTTTTTTCTGAAGCATTATTTTCTAGTCTATATAAATAATAGTTTTAAATAAAATAAAAACTGAAATTCGAGTTTGCTTGTAGTATTGATAACATTGAATGTGATCATGTTTCTTGGTTTACTTAAATGTTCTTATAAATTTTGTTGTTTTAGTATTGACATTATGTAAATCAAACTTATAATATTTTCACCTTCGTCAATTAATATATTGAATGATCAATTTTATTAATAAAATAATTCATTTTGACCTTAGGTGAGAGTTGTTTTCTGATTCTGTAACATTCAAAATAACCAATTTATTGTTATATTATCAGTTCCAATTGATTGTTTAGAAATCTGAAAAATAAGAAATAAGTTGTAAAAGAAAAATCTAAAAAGTCAAATTATTAGAAGAAAAAGATTTTCCAAATTGCAATCACATTAGCTGAAATTTGAATATCAAAACATCCTTTTGTTTTAAAATGACGCGTAAGCGTAAGTATATGTAATTCTTTCTGTCATCATCATAGTAACCATAAAGAGGACGTGCAGAACTGTGAAGCATTTCACGTTATCTCCCATTATAGTTCCTCTCATCAGTAGTAAGACGGAACACAATTGCAACCATAACAAAAGTATACATGTCTGAAGAAGTTAATTTTGAACACATTGAATCATGTGACAATATTAAGTCAAATATTATGATTTATTCTACTAGATTAGCTGAACGAACAATTGAAAGAACACTTGGTGAGTAGTTTTTAAGTTGCTCTAGTTCTGAATAAGATTTTTATGCTTCTCAACTTTAGATATTATATATGAAGAATCAAATATTATGGATCTAAAGATTCATGAATGGAGACATTCATTTAATGAACTTAATGTATCAACTAATTGAATACATTTTTCGTTTCCATATGAAATATTCTATCGGTGTTTTTTTTTCTGTATTAACAGCATTGATTATTTTTAATTATCGATAAAAATAAAAGTCCCAATTGTCTCAGACATTCTCCTTTCTTCTTTCTATTTTGATGGTTACATCTGTTGGTTGTCAAAAGAAAAACAAGTGTCAAATGATTTCATGTGAAAAGTGGTAAATACATTTTATATTCTCAGTTGTTTTTTTGCTTTTCGTTCTTCCTCTGGGAGAAAAACAACCGCATGATTTTTTTCTAAAGCATTTATTTTCATGTCTAGTAGAAATAACATTCTAATCATACAACTCAATATTCGATAATAGAATTATTTATTTTTATGGGTAATCATCCAGGAAGTATTATTCATAAACTGAAGCGCGACATATCAGGCACGCATGAACACTCACTGTCTTCATCATCAATAGAATCAACACCACAAAAGAAGCCTACAGATTTCGAAACATTTTTACTTATATGGCTCGACCCCAATGTTGACACAAGTACAGATAATGTTCAAACTCAAAAACGTCTAAGAGAAATTCTAACATGTCTTATAACATTTGATAAAGTTGAACCATGTGAACGATGCCTTAAGAAATGTTGTGCCAATGAAAAAATTATTCTCATCGTATCGGGCGCATATGGACAAGAGATCATACCGAAAATTCATCATTTAAAAAGATTGATTACAATTTATGTCTATTGTTTAGACGTTGGCCGAAATAAACAATGGGCTAAAACTTTTGCAAAAGTACGAAATGTTATATCTTCAACAGATATTCTTTTAGACGAATTATCTCATGATCAAACTAATCGTGAAGGCGTTGAAGATTCTAAATCATTGCAAATATACGAACACAAACAACAGATCACTCATTTTGATACGAGAACCGTGTCGTTTGTGTCGTATCAACTTTTACTTGAAATTCTTATATCACCAAATTATATACTAACACAGGGAACATATTATGAATTGCTTCATATTCTTCGTCAATATAGCTCTGATGATCAGTACGGTACACAATTAATTAATGAATTCCAACGAACATATGATCCAAAAAGAGCTATACTGTGGTTAACACGTCATACACCGTTGTCACGTTTCGTTAATAAAGCGTTGCGCGAACAAGATATTCAAATGCTGTTTGCGTTACGTTTTCTCCTTGTTGATATTCATACTCAATTAGTTTCACATCAAGGGCCATCGCTCAACATATTTAAATTACAGCCTATGTTGAAAAATGAAATGGAACATCTTCGAGCTAATCCAGGTCAATTGATGGTTGTGAATGGATTTCTATTTGCGTCAACTGATAGATCTCACGCGATGTCTACAGCTAGATTTGATGATCAATATGAAACAGTTTTATTTGATATCAAAGCAAGTTTTCGTACAGGTGTAGCACCTTTTGCTATTCTACAAGATATTGATTCAACTATTGAACATCGAAAAGATCAAGAAGTACTTTTTATGTGTGGTTCAATATTTGAAGTTGGCACTTTAATATACGATAATTCTATATGGACACTTCATCTGAAATTAGCTAGCGATACTGATTCAATAACATTGTATAATATGAAAACTAAATTAAAAGAAACTAAAAATCTCAGCATTATTGGTGATCTATTAAATGAATTCAATCAACAAGAAAAGGCAGCGATTTATTATGAGAGACTTTTTCAAGAGTTGCCTACACAAAATCTTTTCTTATCAACAATCAATCAGCCATCACCTAGTAGAAGTAAAAACGCAAAATCAAGTAGATAATCGATTTCTTTTACTTATCTTATAATTAATCTTTGCTATTTTTTTCTTGTTGTAGCTTCTACCACTAATGTTTCATTTGTTCTTATCAATTTATCTCCGCATATGTCTAAATTTGCTCTCACTATTTTAAATACTCTTTCTTCGACGGCATCGAATCCAATATCAATTATAGATGATATGGCAACTATTGATTTTTCTCGATGGCCTACAGAGTCAGTTTTTATTTTTACATCTGCAAAATTTTTATCTTCGATAAAAACGAAATCGGCCGGTTGTAAAATTTTCCTCTTTGATGAAAGTAATGATAAAAACCATAGTGATCAACAACGATTTTCAACTATTGACGAATTAATATGTCAATTAGCTGATGAAATCATTCAAAACTATCGTCGCATATCTGATGAATATATTAAAAATAATAATTTGGCTAAAGCAGACGAACAAATCAAACAAATCAATCGGATTTATGCCGAATTAAGACAAGTAAATGAGAAATTTTCAAAGAGTACATCTGTTTTGAAGAAAGCATCTGACAATATTGAAACACAATTAATTTGTTTAACATCAAAAGCAAAAAATGATGAAGAAGATATGAAGTGTATTCAAGAGGATTTCAAGGATTATTTCTCGTCGTATGTCACTTTTAGTGATTTTAAGAGCTTCGACTCGTTTTTAGCTGATGAAAATAAAATTACTGATCTATTTATTATCATTTATAATAATTACGAAGAATCAACTGTAAATCTTGTTCGTCAATTATCGAATGTTAAATATATATATCGTTATGGAGAATCAAGAAATAAAGATAATAATTTCATATCAAATCAAAATGATCTTCGTTATCGTTTAGCATCTGATCTGATAGATCATTATGCAAAATTAGGTGAACAATATCGAACTAATAAACAATCGAAATTAGCTCGGAAAATGTTTGAGAAAGCACGAAACTTGTGTGTTTTTTTATCAGAAAATTGTTTTTGAACATAACAACTTGTTTTCAATTTTAATTTTCTAGATGAGAACTATTGATGATATAAACTTTGATAGAAACTATTTACATCCAACCATTCGATTTTTATTACTTGATGATTTTACTACGAATCGAGTGGGCCCTACACCAGTTATACCATTGCCAAATGCACTGCTAATGACATTTGTAAATGTGTACAATAATCTAATGCAATGTCAACTATATATACGTAATGAAAATCGAAAAATGATTAAATTATGTATTTCCAATAGAAATATCATGGACTGGGATAATTTAAACAATGAAATGCATTCTAATGTAAATGAAGTTTATATTTTTTGTGATACATTTTATGACTATACACTTATGCAAAGATGGAATGGATGTTACCAGGATAAAATTCGTGGTGTCTATTTGCCAGATCAAGTTGATCATAAGCTATTAAAACTTGGTATCGATTATATATATTCAATATTACCCGAATTCCAAGAAGATCGAGGATTGAGCAGAATATTCCGTGCTGATGCAAGACGGTTGTTAGACGCCTTACGCGAATATTTTCAAGATCAAATGGATGAAAATGATGACGATGATGATTAAAGTGAACATCAAATATAGTTAGTCGTTTTTTTTCCACAGAATTAAATCCAAAATCAATAAATAGAATCAAGTAGTAAAAGAAGTTTAGTCCATCTTCGCCGATTTCAACGTCATCGAATAAGTTGTTAAGCGAAAAATACCGAAACAAATATGATCCAATCTAGATTTCGAACTTTATTCTATTTATTTAGTTTATTAGCGAATCAATTGATTAACCACATCTGGGTTGGTAACCTTCTGACTTAAATATCAGTGTATATGCCTGTCTACAGATGACAACTAAAACGATTGCCTATACAATATGAAAGTCTAAATGTGCGATATCATTTTTTAAGGACTATACGAGTTATCAGAAAAAAGATTCACGTCGATTTTCTTCGCTATATTTATTTCGTGTATTCATTTATGCATCTTTTTTGAGTAAGAATGAGAACAAAACGTAGCTAAACAGAAATCGCTTCTTCGAAACAATAGTCAAGTTTTAACTTGTGGAATGTTCGTTTCCGTTTCTTTTTGTCAAATCACCAACATTTTGTAAATCTTCTTACGGTAGTTGTGATAAAGACTTGATCTCACGTTACCAGCTGTTTAAAAAAACGTAAGTTCTGCTTACTGTTATTAACAACATATGCGCAACGAAAACACAACATTGATCACAGCGTATTCAAAACACGATAGTTTACTGTCAAAGTCAAGTTTTAGCTTGTCGATGAGATTTTGTTTCTCAAACTAGATAATATTTTGGTTTTAATACATGAAATCAGAACAATTCGATTGAATTTTGATTTGATTAACGAATGAACTTGTAATATGTCTAAAGCGAAAGTCAAATGTCCTTATCCTATTGTACACTTAGTAAATTTGAGTGCTATCCTATGTTTTAAATTATGTATCAAACGCAGTTTACAATGTTTTTCTCTTTCGTACAAATCTGATACTAAACAAAAGCAATTGTGATATTATTGGGCGAAATTAATTTAAATGCCACTTAGCAAGAACCGTAAAAGAGATAATCGCATTTTTGTTGACATGATGAGAAGATTACGAATATCCAAGAGTAGATTCATCAATTTACATATTATAGTAGATCTTGGCAACGGTTTCAAAAGTCAATATGATATTTGGAAAAAAAATATTAAACGATTTTGGTAACATTGGTTCACAAATTTTCTATAATTCTCCTTTGCTTGTACTATTCATCTGTTCTTATATCACTATTTCATAGTGATGAGAAAAGTCAACTCTATGAGTCTCATTGAAATTCAACTTTCAGCTTCTCATTCAATCACTTTCCAAGAAATATAAGATTCCATTTCACAACAGAACTGATATTTAGAATGAACTTCTTCATGGGCGCTGAAATCATCATCTGTCACATGCATTTCTTATTGAAATATATCAAAAACCTTTTAGTCCTGTGATTGAAAGTCTTCTGGAAAGCTTATGTCGTTGATTTTTCTGGTGTTTTAGTCTTCAATGTTTAGCTCTAGTCAAAAATGAAACTAACATTCATGGATGTACTATTTAGTATTGAGTATAACTGCAATTAGCAGGTAGCCAATGCGCATTGAGTTAGTAATTCCGAAAGATTCTGGTATTTTACTGAGAGATCCATCCTTTTGCTGTCCTTTATGTAAGATCTTTGGTTCTAACCAAGAAAGTTTTATCCACGTTTTCTCTGCATAAACTATCGATTTTAAACATTGATCTGCTATGGGTATGGAAATTCTACGTTAATTTTGATGCGAAATCTTTTAGTTGCGACATAGAACTTCGTTAGAGCCAAATTCAACGGAAATCTTTTTCACGCAGACTTTAAACAAATCAAACATTTAATAAATATTTTCGAGACTGGATCAGAGTGTTTTTTAAGTAAAAAATAATGAAGTTGAAATTAAGCCAAGATTTGACTATACAAAACTCGAACTGTAGGTGGTTAGTGGATTCATTTGCTATCCTCTTTCTTCCGTTATAATAATATTTGCTGCCAAACAACATTCGTCGATGTTTTTCTCGTATCAAATCACGTCCACCAGAAAAAAATGAATAATTTACAAGATCAGAATAATACACAACGAGTTATTGTTCTAGTCACTTTGGGTGGCTCATTTTTGTTTTATATTTGTGAGATTTTGTGACAGAAACTGTGATGCATAAAAAAACGTCACTGTGACTATATGCACAACATAATTCGAATATGACTTCATCGAGTTGTATTTTTTTCATTTCTGTCACTCGACTGCACCTCAACATCAGTTGTCTCTCGTATGAAAATATTTCGAATCAAAGAACCACACAAAAAACTACTTTTGTGGGCATGAAAGCGGTTGATATTTTTCATAATCTTATTTGAAATAGTTTGCTGTACAGGATTATTTTATTAGAGGAAACAATATCTATTAAGCTTGATAAACATAGAATATAAACACATAGATCTGTTCCAGAAGGATAAAACGTTATTTTAGACGGAAGAAATGAATACAATAAAAAATGCAACGCATTCCATCTTTTTTTTATTCAACCATGTTAATAAAACGATATCTATTCGTTTGTGTGTTCTGAAAATATTATTTTATGTAACCTATAATCGTAAAATAAGTAGATATGATCGTTGTATATTCCAAACTCTTATGCAAAAATAGGTAGGCAAGATCAGTGAATAACTAGATGGTATTCAAGTTTCACTCGAATACGAAATGCGATGCGAAGCAGGAATCTCCATCCAGGAAAAATCTGCAATTCAGAGAAATCTTGAATACTTTTTATGTCGACATAATGAAATTCATCACTGAGAAAACTCCATTCTTACTTAGCGATATATTCTTAAAGATCGATTTCGATTGATCGATTAATTATCTCCATGATTCATTATCTTAGATCAGCTGTAAATCAATAGACTATAGTGGCTAACATATGTTGATGACGTCACTTTAATTATCTCTTGACAAATTTCTTTCATTTTCGTCATTTTGGAATGATATTTGTGACCGAATGAAACATCGGATTTTAGATTCGAAAAAAGCTGTAAGCAGTTCNCGTGTAAAAAAAAAAAAAAAAACTCGCGACGGACTACAGAAATGCTTCTGCTTCGCATCGCATTAAAAAGCAGATGTCATAAGTAGCAATGATAGCATACTCGATACAAAACCTTAGTCTGTCTGTCTGTCTGACTTTCTTTCTTTCTATGCCTAAGAAAAGCAGGGTGTTAATAAACCAATCGCATCTGTTAGTGTAGGAGTGAGCGAACAAACAAACATGATAAGATCATAGAATAGCATATTTAGCTTACTGCTGCCATAAAAAAATCTAAACAACGACGAATTCATTACATCCAATAGAATACAAAATCAATATTTATCTCGGTTATTAACACATGCAAAGTAAAATTAAACAGTTACTATTTAAAAAAGAACGGACGCATTCGTAGATATATATATATATAAATGTATACTTACACAAGTATTCAATATTGTGTAATAAAAACCTTCGTGATGAATATTATGTGCAAGCGGATTAATGTGAGAGGAGCTAATTTATGCAATTCTTTTTCTATACCGATAATTAAGAAAGCTACTCAAAATATTATGAAAGCATTAAAATAGTTTTAAAACAAAATTATGCAGAATACGTTATCATGTTTGTAGTTATGCGATACCATTATAGCATGCAGAAAATTCAATATACTTCCGATAACATATATTGATTAAATGTGGTGCACAATTATTAATAATAAAATAATTCGGAGATGTAGTTTATGTCATGTGTTTCTGACATTGTTTTCTACAGAGAGAAGTTTATGAGAAAATGCTTTAGAGGAGAATCGTTCTGAACAAAGTGACTGAGTTCAGATGAACATAATTTAGATTTAGTGACTTCTAACGAAATCAATTAAAAACTTGTATTTTCGTTTTAGCTGAGTTGCTTGTTTTTAAAGATTCTCCCCAAATCTATGAATCTAAATTAGAAAAAAAGATATTTTGCTATTCTGCCAATAACATGGCAATTACTATAACTCAAAAGAAAAGTCCTGCAGTGTCATTGATCCAAAAAAAAAACATCGAAGCTATTCAACGTGAATAAAATACATAATACAGTCAAAGAATAGTAATAGATTTGTGTAGATATATAAATAGGTAATCTGTTAAAATCTATGATTCTAAGGCAGAAGTGATAATTACAAGATGTTTTTCTTGAAAACTGTGATCATAACGTAAGAAAAAATCTGAATATTAAATGAGAACGAGTATCACACGTCAGTAAATGCGTCATAAGAAGACTTATTCAAACAACTCAAAAGAGAATTATAACATTTAGTACGTCACAAATGAGCCAGATAATTCATAGTATGCCATTCTGATTCATCATGAGTTGTAAGCCGTCATCAGGAAAGAAACGATCAGTAATGCTGATGATGCATTTCGATCGAACCATTTTTTTTTCATTTCTGTGCTTTTTCCGATATTACAATGGGAGAGAGAGGAAAGTATGATTATTTTTATACTGTGAAAAACATGCACCAATGATGATATGAATTTATCTATTGAGAAATTCCTGGTGATAGTGAATTATCTGTTACAATCAGACAAAGGAATTATTTCATTGGAGAGTATATAAAAAATAGAATATTTTAATTTAGTTTTTATCATCGAAAATAGGTAGGCGGTTAGATAAAGCATTTTCTTTTATATTAGAATAATTGTATACCTTGATTTCAACTAATATTTAAAAAAACATCATTCAATTAAATAGTTTAATCTAAGCTAAATAATCAAATAGTCACTATTACTTGCAAGGGTACTCTATGTAAGATTTTGTTTTTATGTAATAAAAAGCGTCATCTAGATGTCGTAGTTTCTTTTCTATTTGCAATGGGCAAGGCTGTCTTCTTGTTTTCTTTCTTTTATTATTTTTATTCCCCGATTCAGGTAAGAACAGAAGAAGAATAAAGCATAGCAGCATGGTGTTGCCAAGCGTTGCACTTAAATATATATATATATTGTATATATCCGTTAAAGAGAATGAGAGACGTGAAAAAACATTTTATAAAGATATATTCATATCGAAATGTTCCCATAGTGAAAACACTTAATTAAGTTATTGAAATGTGCGTTTTGGTTGCTACATAAGCTTTCAAAGTCCGATCATTTACAATATTTTTTTTTATTATTGAAGTTTTTTACATAAAACAATTGCTGCAATATAATGGCTACTCCTCGAACAGCCAATTCTGCACGAAAAGCACTAGCAAAAAAGAATGGTAACTTGATCGAAACTCATCTTGTTGTTTTTCTTTCTATAGTTATAATTTTTTTAAACCATATTTAATTAGCTTTAGGCAATTTTACAATCACATGTCCTCATTTAACCGATGAGAAGAAAATATCAGCTACTTATACGTAAATATAATTCAATAATAAAATGTATCTTTTTTTTATTGGTTTATCGTCTTCTTCTTTTTTTTAAATCTATAAACAGTCTCGAAGTACCATCAGGAATGACTACACTTACTTATCATGAACAAATTATTGAAGTTACTACAAAACAATTTGATACTCTTCGTGTACTTGGGCGTGGATGCTACGGAACTGTTCTTGCTGTAACAATTGAAGGCCATCCCGATGTTGAAATGGCTGTTAAAGTAATAGATCGATATCGGTATTCATAGTTAAATATTCGATTTATCATAATAGAAAATAGCACTTGAAACACAAGAAGAACGTCGAGCATCAACATATACAGATTTAACAACCATTCAAAATGTTGGATCACATAATTATCCCTATATAATTTCTTACTATGGAGCAGTTATCGATAAAGTAAAGTATCTCGTATGTCTAAATAGATTTTCATATTTTTAATATTATTTTTAACAGGAAAGCAGTGAATTACTTATTTGTGTAGAACTAATGAATGCATCAATGGAACGATTCTATCAAGCTATGCATGCACACAATGTTTCTCCAACTGACTTTGATCAAATTCTATGTCGATTAACTCATAATGTAAGACATCTTCTATTGATTATTTAAAAAAAATATTATTATGAATTGAGTAAATAGATAACATCGGCACTTCATTTCCTTAAAACTCGTCGAATTTTACATCGTGATGTTAAGCCGCAAAATATGCTAGTGAATAAACAAGCAGTCTTTAAATTATGTGATTTTGGTATTAGTCGTCAAATGCGTGTATCACAATCAATAGCTGATGGTGCTGTGCAAGGTACTGAAGCATATATGCCGGTATGTAAAGAAACCTAAATTTATATTTAAACTCAAATATTATAATCTACTAGCCTGAATTGATTGGGGATGTTGGCCAAACCTATGGTATTCGTGCTGATATGTGGGCACTTGGTTTAAGTCTATTTGAGATTGTTAATGGAAAACAACCATTTGCAGGTATGACAGCCTTTCAAACGATGATGGCAATTCGAGCATGGGCTCCAACGATACCATCGAATCCAAAAATTTCCAATGATATGAAATGTCTTATTACATATTTGTATGTATATTTGTGTGCTTTAGCTTGTTTTTGTCTGACTGATTAACTTTTAGACTTAAGAGAAATGTTGATGAACGACCAAAGACTTATCTTGAAATACTTGAAATACCATCAATACAAAATGTTACTGAACATCCATCCGATGAAGAAATCAAATTTGTAACTTATATTCTTGATAATCTACCTCCATTAACTGAATTCTAATTTTTTTTCTTTTCCCTCATACAAATCATGTTTTTAAGACGTTCACTTTGTTTTATTTTATTTTTTCCGTTTATTTATGTCGAATAATAATGATTACTTTCGTAAACATATTTTTCATTTGTATACATTGCAAAGGGAATCGTTTCATTTAAGAATGGGGATGATGCATAAATCAATCAACTTTAGGTGTTCAATCGCATGTAGCTACTCACGATTACTAATTGTATCTTGAACCGATATTAGTTTTCTTAATTTGGAACTCAATTGACACTCTTTCCTTCCTTGAATTCAAAGTTTACAATTTCTTAACTTATATTTCAAATAAAGAAATCAACTATTTAGCTATGCCATCTAGGAGCAATAAGAAAATGAGATTATCTTAAATTCGGAAAACAAAAACAAGTAGTTTAAGATTCGTTTGAATCTTATTGTTTCTAAAATTCGAAAAATGTAGCCTAATTTACATCTAATTGATACTGTTGAAGCTAGCATACATTGCAGTATCACTATAGAATTTCATAATTGTAGATACCTACATAAATGCTGGTCACATCCTTATCATGTAAAAGTAAGTATTCTTTTCAATAACTGAAATAGTGCTTAACGAATGCGTGACTGAAAACTATCCTATCGAATATAATTCATTCTGTAGATATGTATAACATTTTATTAAAATTAATTAGTTTTTTTTTACAGAACAAATTGAAAATCATTTGAAAGGTGGTAGCCATGCCGACTTCAGTGTGAATTTGTGAACATGAGTATTCGTTTAGGACACATCTAAATTTCTAAATAAATTAAAGATAATCATAGATCATTATTAGGTCTTAAAGATTTTGTGTAACGTCGAAAATTTCAATCACAAAATTCAAATTGATTCTTTGATAAATAGTTTTGCTTTTGTATAGATTTCATATCATGCAGATTGTTTCAACCGTAAATAAAGAAACAATTAATATGATTCCATTTTACTAGTGTACATCTAGTTAATTATTTATATGAATGAATTTGAGTAGCAGATGATAGAATTCAATGAGCATCAATCGTTTTTATTAAGAAAACTCGTATGATTTTTCGACAATCAAGTGGTACAATTTCACAGCAAATTAGGTCATACAGCTGTTAAATTAGGTTTTAAAATGCAGCATGCTTAAAAAGCATCAGTTGACTGAAAACATAAAAACTAAATATTATACGAAGCAGAACTCATTGTAAACATAAGAACTTTTGTTTGATCGTATAGCTGACTTTTAAACTGTTGAAATATTGTTTTTTTTCGCGAAAAGGACTACATGTAAATCATACACTTTATACGATGTATATCTTTCAAGAACAAATTTGAGCAGTTTCAATAGTTAAAATCTCCAATAACTATAAAAACATTTTTTTTATTCAAGAAATCAAATAATAATGATTAAAGCATCTATACTCTGGTGAACTGAAAATATCTATTAATATCTACTTAGTTTAAAGAATATTTTGTAAAGTTTCTTGACTACCAAATGTTTGCCGGAAAATATTAACATATTGAACACTATCTCTTTAAAACAAATAACATATATTCGTCTAAAAACTTCAAGTGACTATGCATATTAATAGAACTTTGGAAAGATTAACTTTCGAAGCTTCAAACACCATCGTTCATATAAAATACTACATGTTAATAGTTTTCAAAAGACTTCTAGATGTCAGAAAACATCCCAACTAATGAATCTTATCGTAACAATGAGATAGCAGCATGTTTAAACGGTGAAGAAATACGTATTGAATATTTTAAATCCAGAGGAGATCATTCAAAGTGTTCCCTGTTTTCAAGTAACTAAGAATTATTACGTAACAATTGATAGAGATATTATCCATGAGATTTTCTTATGAAATATTGATTTTATTCAAAGGTTTCATGACATGTTAAAGAAAACTGAGGGGTTGAATGAAAAATTGACATCGCGAAAGCTCAAGATTCATACTAATTAAAATGAAGTCTAAACTTATAATCACAATAAAAGTTAGGGACAATGCAGTATCAACAAGTATTTAGCAATCAGTCACACCAAAGAAAACAATATTAGAACGAAACTGAACAAATAAATGTATCTAATCAAATATATATATATATATCAAGTATATTAACCGTTAAAAAGTGTCTAGTAGTCACGCATATCTGCGTGGATTTAAGAGATTTGAATTTCGGGTATTGGACTTTAACCTGGCTAGAATATCAGACCAAAAACGAGTCGATTACCTTCAGACGAATAACATGTATGCATTTCCTTTTCATTCGTTTTAGTCTTGAACAAGCTCTCCTCTTGACATTTTTCTGAAATTATTTTATGCTAGTCCTAATTCTTAGATCAAGAAAGTTATCTGTAGCAAATCTTATCGTTGTCTGAAAGGTCGTCCCTTGTCTCTTTTCGTGATTAGATCCACTGTGAAACTTCATTTGTACGTCTATAAAAAACAGCGTTTTTTGAACACTTCTTTTATGACATATACGGGGAATCAGTCAATTAATTGAGTAGATTCCTAGTTCTTTTTTGCTGTTTTCATAAGAAAAATTATTATTCTGACTGAAATCGATTCAATATCAGCCAACAACGACATTGTTTTCGATACTCACAAGTATTTTGCATTTCAATGCAGTGTCCTACCTACTAATTATGACCAGGTAAATGTTAACAATGGTTAGAACTCTGACAAATCTATTGAACAATCTATAATCTAAAGTGAGTCAATACTTGCAAAGTACAATAGTAGTGGAATTATACGATAGGTGTCTTTTTATGTTATGAATAAGTCATTAATTTTCTTTTTAAAAAAATAAAATGAAAGAAACATAGTTTCTCATCTTCTTTCAAAATTATTCGATAGAAGAATATAATAAGCTTTTCTTTAACATATTATTCAAATTAGTAGGGTTAAAGATCTTTCATATATAGATCTTGTATTGTATGACGCTATAGTACACATAGCTAGATAATATCAATTTTCTATGTAGTTATGCTCAGTTTAATTCAAACTACAATCTACTCGTTCTTGTTGAATTAATTATTGAAAATAAAAGAAATAAAATTTCGAGAGAGAACTATTGCCGTTCTTAGAAAAAGCTAATATTTTCCCTCATTTTTATTCAATGCAAGTAAAATAAATCGTTTACAAATTTATGTACTATTTCATTTTTTTCCGAATAGTTTGTTGAATTGTTTCTTTTTCCCAGTTTTCTAATTCTCGTTCTTCTATATTGAATAAATCATTTGTATTTAATGTTGGATTACAAAAATACAATGAACCATCTTCATTCTGGAAAAATCTTGCTTTAAATTGAAAAGATTTGGAATCTTTGTAAATATTAAAATACCATTTTTCTAGTTGATCATGTTGTATAGCATTCTCCAATTCATAATTACAACATTGATCGCAAACAAGTAGAATGACGTTTTTAATTTGAATATCTTTTGGATACAATACTAAACCAAGTTTTAATCGTTTACACAAGCAATTATGAATTGAACAACTAAATTGACTTGACAAAGTTGACGTTAGTTTATTAATCGGAAGATTTTCATTATTAGTGCATGTTAAATTAAAATATGGCTCGATTGGATGCATTGCAGAGGATATATCATCGAATATAAAATTCGAATATTGTGAACAATGTTGAGAATTTCTATCGTAATGCTTTGATAAAATAAAAACAGCTCACCTGTACGGAAGATACAACAAGAATAAGATAGTTATCTTATTTTTATAATACATTTCTTCAACACATAAATATTCCTTCGATGAATCAAATCTATGACAAAGGCAAATCTAACGACAATTATAATGTGTATTTTAGAATTAAAGTAAACATATTTTGGATTTTCTTAAGTTTTCGAATGATGTGAAGGTGATGATCTTGTTAATGAAAAAATGTCATGCCTCTCCTACACTGTAGGATATGTAAATTTTAAACAGAAGTAAACGCCAAAAAGTCATGTAAGGCAAACAATGATTCAGAGATTTTTTTCTTTCGTGTTGTCCTCGATGCTCTACGGTACGGCAACCAGAGGACCAGTTTTTTCCTTGTTTACTTGTGTATTTAACATGAAGTAGGCAGTATTGACACTTGCCATTGAAGGGGTAGTGTTGTCATTGTAGATTAATATATTACACCTGTCATCTCAATGAAAAGAAAGGTTTTTTTTTCTCATGACATTCATAGTAAAAGACTCCGGGTAAAAGTAAACATTAAAAAAAACAGTTTACTTATCCGATACTATTAACATTTTTCTAGCTAAGCTAAGTATGAGGATAAAATACCAAAGAATTTGTAGTTTAAGGTATGAACTTCGGATTTTGAAATGAACTCGTACAGAAAGAGAATAGAATATTGAATAATATTTATAGGAGAGAATATTCTCTGTAGTTGTAGTTTTTTTCTTTGAAATGCAAAGCAAAAAAAAACACAAATATATATATATATAACTATACATATACACATTGAACAACAATTCAATTAACAATTATATAATAACTGTTTTAGAACTATAATTTGTCATCAAAGAATTTGATGAGAATCTGTATGAATCTGTTGGTGTCGTGGGTGTAGATGATGGTGCCCATGGTTCTTGTTTTGTTTCTAATATCAGATTATCCGTATGTGCTCTTAAATGATCACTGAATTTTTTTAAAGGTACCCATTTCATGCACTGTTTCCATAAACATCGTTGAATCTTAACAAAAGAAAAGATGAATATTTGCCATAAGAAACAAAAAACAAAAATTCTAAATGATTATTACAGTAGATGAATGTTGAACATGAAAAAGTCGAGCATGAATAAAAACATCTTCGCGACGAGAAAAAGGCTGTCGACAATTTGCATACTGAAAGAAAATAAGAAATATTTATTGAACTGAAAATGCTATTCATAAAATCTTACTTCACATCTGTAGACTTGATTAATATCACATTGTAATACTTCAATTATACCACTTTCCATTCCACAATAGACCTAATTTTTAGAAAAATATTCGAAATAGAAAAGAAACAAACAAAATTTTATTGATAAATACAAGATTATTTTTATAGATCATTGAAATAATCGATTGACTTGTTGATGTTGTTAACTGTTGAATAAGTTCATGTGTTTCAATATTAAATATTTTAATAAGGCCATCAAGTGATGAAGCAATTAAGAGATGTTGTTGTTGATTCATAGCAATATTTGTTACAGCTTTTTCAAAATCTTTATATTCATATATAATAGTACCATTGAGAAAATTATGTACAATGATTTTTTTATCTGCTGAACAACTATATAATAAATGATGAGTTGAATCAACAATTAATTGACGCGGAGATTTTGTATGACCTAATAATTAATCATAATAAATATTTCTGTTCAAAGAATAAATTTGTCGCAACTATATATTTCACCTGTCAATGTCAATCGTCGTTGTTCATTTAGTAGAGAAATAACAACAATAGATCCATCGAACGAAGATGCAATCAATAAATGACGACCATCTGGATCACGTGTAGCGGCTACTGCCGATACAACATATGGCGAACATTTAATAGTATGAATAACACACATCTTTTATATACGAATAAATACATGAGAACTCGAGAAAAGAAAAAGTCAACTAAACAATAACTTACTTTTTTTAAAGAAATAAATGCTACTTCACCGGAACCTAATCCAACCATTAAAATATGAAATTTTACAGCTGTACAATGAACAGGTGCAGCCAACGTTATTTCACCTTTGGATTCATGTAATGGATGATCACGAAATAGTCTGACTGTTTGATCAAAACCAGCAACACATAATATTGTACTACTGAATCGTTTACAATGTGCAACTTGTAATGTTTGTGAACCACCATTTGGTGTAAATATTGCTTGATGACGTGGATGTTCACTAAGTGTTTGAATTTGATAAAATCGTACTTGTCCATTCAATGAACATGAATAAAGTAAACCACGATACATGCGTAAGCAAACAATAGGACTTTGATGTTTTGTCGTTATAATACCAGCTCGTGGTTGTTGATATTTTGTACGTTGATAAGTTTTACCTAATCGACGACGATGCATCATACGCCAAACTTTATAATAATTTACTCGTGGATGATACTGTATTGAATTTATTTTTGCTGACATTAATGGATCACAACCAGGACGACGACGCTTAAGAACATTACCGAGAATTTCTGGGCCAACTCTTGATCGAGCTGTTGTACGAAATAAACCTGAACATGTACCAAGTAAAAAATCGATCAGTTGTGGACCAGATATGGTTATTAATTCGTATGATAAATCATCATCAACATTCTAATTTAATTGAAAAAAAAAAGACAGAGACATAGTATTTGGTACTACGCTATAAATCTTATAGATAAATTTTAATTGTTTGATTACTGTGACTATCAATCCAAAGATATCATTATAGTTTGATGAATTTTTATACAAACAAAGAATATGCTTTTCCATAGATTTCTATTAAATTCTCAACTGATTAATATTCCGTAGTATTTCAATCATCTTAAAATCGAGATATTAATTTGCAATTTTTTTGTATGTACCTGTTCGTCAGATAATTTTTCAAGGTGATCTCGAACAAAGAAAACTTTCATTTCAAATGGCACGGTTTGTTCAGATGTTTTTCGTAAAGTATTTGAATGTAACGTATTGGATTTATTTTTCAGTGATTTATTAAACAATAGTCGTGCCATTTTATCCATATCTTTTCGTTCAACAAAATGATGCTGTAATTTTGATTTTTCAGCAATTTGTAAACATAGTTGAGCGAGAATATCGCGACCGCGACGAGATGTTAATGAACCAAGAAATTTACAGTTGACAGCCGATGATGATGATGCAGATGGCATAGCAGGCAGACCTGAGCCAGAAGTGCCATCATCAACTTCCATGTCGGTCATTTATTTTTATTTTGAATAAATTGAACGATCAAATAGATATAACTTTATGCAAAAAATAATTAACCATCGAATCTAAGCAATATTATATGTTTAATACTTGTTCAAACAATATGGTCATATCGATCTCATGTAATTCAGGATACTAATTGGTTTCAATCTACCAATGAGACAGTACTGTCTACCTCTATAATGTTACACAATATCATAGACTATATATCGAAAAATCAATCATTAAGAGTCCTTTTTTTATTCTAATAACATTCACAGCACTTATTTTAGTTGGAATCAAAGAATGTGTTGCTAGAGAAGCAGCTGATTAAATTAGATACATATTTGAAATATATGACTTTCTATGTACAGATGCCGCCCTGTTACTCGAATAAGTGCTGTCACTTGATGAGTGATGCAATAAAATATAATTACTTAATCATACATCATTCAATATAATGTTTATTATGTTCAGTTCTTATTTAGTAGAAACACCAAAATCGAATGAACAGACCCATAGTATGGATAGGCAATTCAAAATGCGTTTTGAAAAGTCTTGTAACTTCTCAAACAATTTTTATGCTACGAATGGAAAAAGTACCTGAACATCATATAGAAAATTTCAAATCTTTACGCACATTGCCAATTCCAAGTGAGGAATATTTTTTTTAATATTTCAGCCCGAGTATGTAAGCCAGAATTGTGAATAGGGCACGTCAAAAATAAGCCAAATAATATGTGGCCTTCTCTGGTTCGCAGGCTTTTGCGGCAACAAAGTAGAATAACATATTATATCCTTATGAGAAGCCTAAGTATAGCTAAGAAAATTAAAGTAGATAACAATAGAATCAATCATTATCAGGAGTATATGCAACCTTTCGAGTTGACACAATCGCTAACATTACGAAGTCACGAAGAATCCTCTGAGTTGTTCTTAACCTAAAATCAATTTAAAAACAAATTTTCCTTTTTTTTTCATTTTATAAAACAAGCTTAAAAATTATTCTTTCGTACTTTTCAATAGTTAATTTCATACTATAGATATATTTTTGACTTGTTTTCTATCGCAAAAAATAGTGATCTACATAGTTACGCTGTATATCTCTAACAACACTTGATGTGTTAGCATTAATGACAATTCAAAGTTGAATAGGATAATGTCTCAGTGAGTACTTTATTTTTTTTAATAACCAGTTTCATAAATCTCAAGTTCTTACAAAGAACTATATCCATTCTCAGATTCAACGCACAAAAATATTTTACAATTTCTTTTCTATCAAAATAAACAAGAAAAGTAGAGATGGGATCTTGATTTCTACGCTATTTGCATTACAGGAGCGGTATTGTACATACAAATCAGGAAGAAAAAATTTACATAATAACAAACTTCTTAATAGCAAACAAATAAAAACAAGGAAATAAACAAAAATTATCTACTACTATTGATCAATGCCATTGCATTGTGTAGCCGTTTCAGTATAGTTTTTTCCTGCACATAACCAACAGCCAGAAATAGTTGGTTGATTTAGAAATGCCAGAAATCTATCTTGATTAATATCTGAATTGTTTCGTGTCGTATTCGTTGAATTTCGTTTTTGTTCTTCATCTAATATTGATATCACAAATTGTCTTAATTTGCTTAATTCTGTCTGTTGTTTTTTTATCTTTTTCAAAATTGCATTAACTTGAGCAATCGTATCTGCACTGGTCATGGTTGCTGACGCTCTTCTTATCATATTAGTTAATTGTGATATTGAATTAGTTTCTGTCGTATCATATTCAACAATCCAATCAGATGCAGATTCTTGATGATCTTTAGTATTGACGGTTGATGTAGGTTCAGATTCAGCAAGTTGTTTGACTTCATTTTCAATCTTCTCTTGGTTTTTCTTCTTCTGAATTTTTCTTTGCATACGTTTTTGACGTCTTGCTATTTCCTTTTGTTCCGCATCGGCTGCATTGAGTTCATGGACTAGTATAGCACGTTGCTCGTTAAGATCGTTTTGATTTTGCTGTGATACATTTTCAGTCGTTGGAGATAGTGAAAATGGAATGCGAGGTAGAGAAGAAAGTGGACATAAATCTTCTACTTCATCACAATTATCAATAAGAAAACCTGAATAAGGTAGACTTTCGAAATTTTTTTGTAATACGGGTTCACCATCAACGATCTAGTAAAATTTAAAAAAGTTATATAAATAAGAATAAAATCGTTTTTTTTTGTATCTGTTCAATAAAAATTTGCCTGAAAGAATAATCACTCTTCATCAGACAACTTGAAATTCAGTGAAATGCATTGACAGACAGTCTAAAATCTACTTGTTTTTTATCTATAGTAACGTGAGTTTTTATGTGATATCTCACTTTTTGTTAATTTTCGCCATCGACTCGATATGTTTCAGTAAAAGCGTAAAATCAATTTCTCGTTTAAGATATCCCTGAATATTCGAAATGAAAATTTTTCAAAAATTCTTTGCAACGAATAGAACGTCTCTATAATGAAACATCACTTTTTTCGAGTTTTTCACGATATTGAACTCGTTGTCCTTGTTCTACATATACAATTGAAAACTTTAAAAAAGAAATGCATTTCATTGATATCTTCTGTTGAAAAACTAATGCAATCTACATACGGATGGATTAAACAGTCCAGATGATATTTAGCCGCCCGTATATGTGAACAAGCTTCAGAAAATGTCATGACACTAGGCTAAAAATATTAGCCTCAATAGACGCAATATATCCTGAACGTTTCGATCAGTATACATTATACTGAAATTTGATAATCTACACTTTGACAATATAACTTTAGCCTGTATCTATTCTTGATGATTGAATCTATCGATGATATCATATGAAAGCATTTGCAGTGTATTTATCACTATGAATATTCAACAAGTGTAACGATGGGGAATGATCGTCGAAATGAAACTCACGAAGGTAGATGATCGAGTAGTCGGCAACCTTCATTTCATATTGATCATGATGGTTCTGGTTGTACTCGTTTCAGCAATCAAAACTTGGGTCAAGAGATGCACAGGCGGAATGTTACTTTTTGTAGTTGGTTTTACAGATGTAATAAACGCCAAATATACATACGGATGGTGGTGATGTTGGTAATAATTGCGGATTCAAACATTGACCATTTATTGTTTGCAGAGATTGATCAAATAAAATTCTTTCTATTGTATTTATATCGCCGTAACTATTAGCATTGGAAACAAAATGAAATGAATTTTCATGAATATTATCAGCATGCTCTGTTGAAAACGTTGACGTTGGCCTTTCTTCATTCGCAAAACGCATTCTATCAAATGTGGATGAATTTATGGAAGATTTTTGTTGCTGTGGCATACGAAGCATTGTTTCTAGATATTGTGTTTTTTGTTCATTACTTTCATTTATTTTTGTCTTTTTTACCGAACGTATCCATGATTCACGCTCTTGAGGTATAGCAGTTACTGATGTACATGTAAATGTAGATGAATTAACTGCTTTACTAGCCATCAATGGTACAGGCAATGATGAAGGACAATATGAATATGATTTGGTATTTGATTTTTGTTGATTTGAATAATTGATTTGATTTTTATTATGAAATCGTTCATTGCGAGAAGATGATGCATGTTCATGGCGATGTCTATATCTTTGTCTATTATCACTATCATCATATCGTCTATCAGTAGAATGTTCTGTTCTATAATACGGATGATGCCGATGCTTGTCGTCCATTTTATTCATATCTAATAGGGAAAAAAACGAAAGAAAACAAAATTTGTACATATTCTGTATTTGATGCTTCCGAAAACGTTTGAAATACAATGAAAATGATTTTATTTCTTCATCCGAACGAGTCGAACATTACACAGAAAAAACAAACGCAAACACCGAGAACAAAAATGGTGCATGCGCAAAAAACAAAAATCTGTTAAAAACCAAGCGGAGCATATTTTTTTTGTACATATATTGATTTAAGAATGCTCGCAATTATATTCGAAATACATATGAAGACGAACACGAAAAATAGAACGCTGTACAAAATGAGGCTGATATAACAGAAAACTAATTATGTATTTATTTATTTTTCATTCCAAATAGTTTCATTTTGTTCAGGACACAAAACGAATATAACAAAAAAGAGATTCTATCAACGAGAATACAAAAGAAGATTATCTACAAACTAAAAGAATGCGAACGACAATTCTATTGAAATATATGAATAATGCACAAATGGAAGGATCATTCGTCAAGAAATCACCAGAAGACATTTAAAAAAAATTCATTTTCTTCTTCTTCATATTACAGATCATTTATTGATACATATCGTAAACGTTTATGCAATAGTGGCGAATGTTCATCAACAATATATGAAAAACGAAATTGATCATTATTACTTGTATGTGGCTCACGTTCGTAACGAACATATAAACAGTCATCAGTTGTATTTCTTGGGCGTTTTTCAATTGAATTTGTATGTGATATCTTTGGAAGAACAATAGTCGATGAATTAGTTGATGTTGAAGGCAGTTGACAAGATGATCCTGACTTTATTGTTGATGGAACAACAATAAGTGTTTGCTTCTGTAAATATTGACGACTAGATAGAGAGTCTTTTGCCGAAATTGTTTGCGAACGAATAGACAACGATGATGAATTCAATATAGTGTCGAATGATGGTAATGGTTCAGTCGAATTACCATGTAATGAGCGAGATATGATTTGAGATGTTGAAGAATTTTGATAGTCAATTGAAGATTGAGGAGTATGATGAACTAAATATGACGGTGTTAATGATGAACGAGAATTTGAAACTAAAAAATTGGGTTATTGAAAAAGGAAAGTCTGCTTTTTTTTCTCTTAAATAATTTACTTGTCGAATTATTATTAAACGATGAAGATGTCGAATAAGAACCAGATTGTTGTTCTGGATGCTGTCCACCAATACAAATAGTTTGTGTTGGCTGAGATTGGGATGTTGATGAATTGAATCCTCCGCTAGCTAGTGCAGCAAGTACAGCTGCATTTGTATTTGAAGATGAATTGTCAAGATAAGAATTTGTCGATGATCGCTGTTGTTGATTTGTGAACTGTGGTGGTGACGATGCATAACTTCCATTATTTTGTAGATAAACACGTTGTGCTTGTTGATCATAGGTAATTAAATTTTCATTGTGTAGATGATTTGTATTATGCAAAATAGACATTGTTTGTGTTGTAATTGCGTCTGTATTAAAAACTAAATTTGATGAAGAGGACGGTGATAATGATGGAGATGGATAATTTATTTGTTGAGATGATGATGATGATTGTATATTTTTTGATATCATCTGCCCAGATGGAATTTTATCGCCGTAGCACTTCAGCGTTTCAGCTGATAATTCCGAAAAAGGTTTATTACTTATACGTATTACTGTTTTTTGTAAAACATCATCTGTATCTTTTATTTTTATATCTGGAAATGTTATCTCAGCTTCATTTAATGAATGTAATGAACCATTTACAAAATCCCGTAATTTTCTTAAACCAACATAAAATGGTAGTTTATCTTCAGCACGTGGCAATTGGGAACAACGAGCACTTGATGATGGCATTACGAATACGTGCTATAGTAAAAAGAAAAACAATAAGAAATATTATTTCTTTTAGTGACAATGAAATGATGAATTAGCTTAATCGAACATTGTAGTTTCTATTTCAAATATATATGATCTCAAATAAACATATAATCTGTAAGTAAACATCGATTATGAAATGTCAAAGGTTCATGAAAAAAAAATAGCAACATATTTCAAGCATAAATTGATCAATCGTATTCATTCAAAATACTTTGATATCAAAGTCTAGATAAATATCCTTCATCAATTTTGAACTATAATTCAATAGTATGCCTTTCACTGAGAAATAATCTACTTTCGAATTGAAAAGATATAAATCTGTAAAAACAAAAGTCTTATCATAATTTTATTTTACTATTATTCTCATAATTCTAAACATCAATCATGACATTTTTTTCTTTACTAAAGTTGAGAAATTGAGAAAGCGAGAATTTTCTTTGGATAAAAGCTGCTATATATCTGTATTCTATAGATCATTTAGACCTATCAATAGATAAAATTTTCCGATGACATGATTTGTTCATGTATAATATGTGGTATTGATTGAAACATTTATCTGTAGAAAACTTTTACTAAGTTTCTGCTATTCTTGTCAAGATAACTTGGTAATTGCAATATAAGCTAAACAAGAGCCTCTCAAATTTCGCAATTCTTCGACACAAACGACCTAGCGTCGATAGAATTAAGTCGTTAGAAAATGTATCAAGAGGACCAAGGCTACATTCTGACATACACGCCAAATGCTGTATCGTATTCGACAACTAGTAACCGATAGGAAATGATATCTCGAGAGTATACACATGGCATCGTGAAAATACACATTCTAATCAAACTGACAAACCAATTGTATCCAGTTAATTTTTGCATATATATATATATCGATGCTTACTGTATCTGTCCCAAGAAATAATTCCGGTTGTTTTCCATAATGAAAATGTTTATTGCCAGCATAAACCTCATAGATTCCTAAATTAAATAATAAAATATTTTATTGATTAATGTAAAAAAATTCCTATTTTGTATTTATACCTCGTCCGTTAAACGCAACAATTTTCGGTCTATAAGTTTTAATTTTGTGCATTAAAACCTCAGCACCCGTAGTTATTTCATCCCTATACAGATTATTTATAAGAATATTAGAAAAACAAATACTGTTTTTCTTTGTTTTTTTTACTTCGTAATATCTGATCCAGCTTTTGATGGCCTTTGCACAATATTTGTAAAACCAATGCCATATTGTGGCATACGGTAATCATCATTAGCATTCAGCGAATTTGGTATTAAACCAGACATATGTAATAACTTCCAAAAATGATTTCCTGGTCCACCATAGTGATGCCCCTTATGTACAGCATAGAGACTTGGATTAACACCGACCTAGATGAAATTTTAAAGACAACAGAACGCATAAATTCATGACATACAAAGACAATATCAAGATTTGGTTGAAGAATATCTGAAAGAAGACGTTGTGATAGCTCTTCTTCAGTTGCACCATCAAAACGATTCGGATTCATTGATACTGTCGAAGCTTTTCTTTTATTATTAACGTTCGTTATTTGTGATTGTGGTGATGATGGCGAACTTGTTTTATCCATCATGGTTAGTATTGAAGGTAATAATGGGGATGATGTCACATTCGATATTGGTGACATCATCGTATTTGAAGAATTCAATGGTGTCGACGTTTGTGATGAAGGAATTTCAGTATTCGTGTTGGTTCTACTTCAATAATTAAACACAAAAGGAATCTTTTTTTAATCAAAAAATAATATTGATCATAATACACTTACTCTTGAGATTTCGATTCATTTTTAGTGTCACGTTTAAGTGATTGCCTTAATTTTGCTAGAAATACTTCTGCAACTTCATCGGAGCCTAGGGTACTTTTTAGAGCACTATTAAATAAAGAAGAGAAAATTTTTTGTGTTTTATTCAAGTAATTTTCATCTACTTAAGATCACCGCCAGATTCCAAATTTTTTTTAAATGTTTGCATTAAAACATTTTTTACACTATCTAATGCTTCATCTAAAAGTTCTTTTGTATGACTAAAAGAAAAGTGATTTGAATTCTTCTTCAAAAAACAAAATGAAAATTTACGTTTCAGAAGTTTGATCTAATACTGGCTTTTGTTGAGATATTTGATTATTATCGTCATTATTAAAATTTATTAACACATTTGTTACATGTGATGTTGGTGATGATTGAATCGTTACTGGTTCATATAATGAATCATTATGACCATTTGTAAGTATTGTTGATGTAAGTTCATTTGCTGTTGAACAGTTTTGTTGCTCGTTTATTAGATATTCTGTTGACATTTGTGAGCCAAACGAATTTTTACGTGTTATTAATTCGCCATTTTCATTTTTCTTTAGTTTTATTAATAACTGTCGATTTGATTCGGGCTCAACGATTGACGGAATCCTAAACAAATAAAAGATATGAAGAGAACAGCATAAGATAGAGATATAATACATAATGAACTATGTATGTATGCACATTTCTTTTATATAGCCAATTCTGTTCGTTGACAAGAGGAAAGAAAGCAAACGAGGGAGAAAGAGAAGAAGAAGAACAAGAAGAAGTAGAAGAGAAAAAGGAAACCGTACATTCCAACTCAAACAAGTCGGATATATGTATGTTTGTTTAAGCATATAACTATGTTGAAGAAGAGAGAAGAAGAAAAAAATGAATACAAGGTTGATGTTAAAAGGTGAAAGTATAAAAATACCCGTTTGATGAAGTTGTAGTTGTCATTGTTAAACTGTCTCGACGAATTTTAAGAACTAACGGCGAAGTTAAAGTTGGTTCACTTGCTACACAATGTTCTTGTTGTACACTATACAAATAAAAAGAAGAAAACAAAAGACAATTATCAATTCTTTTTCATTCTTGCACTAAATGACTCACTCGGTAATTCGTTTATTTTGCTGATTAGACACATAATCATTATTAAGGTCAGTATTTAATCTAAACCAAAAAAAATAATAACAGAATTAAATAGCTACTATTTTAAAGAAATGTTTCGAGACTAAACCCTGACAGGCTCTGTTGTTAGTTTTAGATAGTTTTGGAAGTTTAGTACGGAATATAACACATAGAATTCCACTGGAAAAAAAGACAAATTTTTACATATTAGAAGCTCAGGTTCATTTCAAAAATATCAGTAAAATCTTATATTTCTCATAGAAATCTTTCATTGATACTGAAATAAAATTTTAAAGTTGTTTTTCATGTGTTTCAAAGTGATCGGTTAAACTCGTTTTTAGTAAATATGAATAAAATAGATAAATCATGCATTTTATTAATGGTTTAAATGAAAGAAAATTTCAAGCAGAAATTGAAGAGATAAATTATTATTTCAACATCAAGCAAAGACTTTAGCTAGAGAAATACTTGACTTATAAGAATGAGATTGATATGAAATTCTTTTCCACTTACATATTATTACTAACATTATCATTTGATAATGACTTTTTAGTACGTTTAGCTGGACGAGTTACGCTTTCCAAAGAGATCAAACTAAAAAAGTAAATATTTAGTTTAATGAAAAAAAAAACAATTTTTTTTGTAAATGATATACTCTGTGTATTCTTCATCAATATGATCAGCAGCACAACCATTGAGAAATGGGTTTTTTAATTTGACACGCAGTGTTCCAGGTGATGCAGTCATAATAACACTATCACTTTCGTTGTTCTGAATAAATGACGATGAATTAGATTGTCCACGATCTATAGTTTCGGTTGATATATGACTGTCAATATGAGCAGAGAAAAAAGAATTTCAATTAAATCACTAACTAACAAATTAAAAAAAGAAGAAACATTCTTACAATGTATGAGGATTTATAACATCTGGATTATGATCATCATATTTTTTCAATTTCAAAACTATTGGTGGCGGTGCTGTTTGAGCTCTACGAACCAACAAATAAATAGATTAGAAACTATACAGAATATTCTGGATGCATTTGTAACTCTTATGTTTAGATTTGACTTCGAGAAAATCAAATGATACGTTGATAATTATTATTCAGTGTTTGTATGTCGAAAAAAAAATGTAAATTTTAAATATAGTAAAACAAGGCTATGAGTTTTCGTTGACAAACTTCATGGTAATGCTTTTTTTCCATTTAATTAGAAGATTTGTAGGGTTCAATATATCCAGATTATCTATCGGTATATTAGTAAATGTTTCGTTTAGAGTTTATTTTATCAAAAAGTAATTAAGAATGAGATGAAAACAAACAAGTACTTTTAGAAATGAAGACACATATGATCACAACTAAAAGACTTATATCGAGCTCGGATGGTATTTGGAATGGCTTTCACTAACTTGAGCTACACGATAGATTAAAAAAAACTTCTGATTAACTTGATATTTATCTTTTTCTAAAGATAGAACTCAGCAATATCCTCGCCCAGATGCGTCATATTCATGACCGAAAATTACAAATGTCATTTATCTGCTTTTCGAGAGTTTATCAATCTAAAGTTTAATCTAGATAAAATTATCTTGATCAATAATAATGAATCGAAGCCTGACTCAATTCTAACAGCGGATAAGCATTGTGAGTTAAAATCACAACAGTTTCGGTAAAATATTTTTGTTTGAAGATTTTCCTAACAATTTTAATTTTTTTCGTAACGTCAAGAAAAACATTGAAAATTTACATTAACGCTAAATCTAACGATAACTCTAAAAGTTCTTATTAGTCTTTTACATTGATTACAATAATTTCTCTTCGAAAGAACGTGATCTAATTTCTTTCTACTTGAAATAATATATTATTTTCGGGAGAAAATCATTCGATTTCGGAAAATTTCAGTTTGATATTTTCAAAAATCCCAAATAAAAATTCTTACGTGAGTTGTTCATTCATTGTTGCCTTTCGTTGTTACTATCAATCACTGATATTATTTGTTATACTCGTATGATAGTTAGAAAAGTCTTGGCATAAATTTACAAACATTGTTTCATTTTTTGACATTGTTAATAATTATGATTGTATGTACACAAGACAAATAAATAAAACATAATCAGAAAAAAAAGAATCAAAAATAGGACGATTGGTTGGTTAAAAGTGCCAAACAAAAACAAGCACAAAAAGTTGATTGATCTATTTCTTCTAGTAAAAAAAGGAAAACGCAGTAAACTGTTCTCTTGTTGTCCATATTTTAACTTAAATGTCACATTGACAACCATATCCAATAGTTGTTGTACTCTATTCATTTAATGTTTATAAGTGTGGATGATAGATGGTGCTTGAATAATTACAAAACATGAAGAAAGAAATTTCATCTAAACATTATTTCGAAAAAATTAGAAAAAAAAGAAATAATTATTTTTCCTTTTTGCTTCACCCGTAACACAAGAAGCATAGCGAAAAGCTGATCAATGGGTAATTTCTTCCTATAAATACGAAGGTAAAAACCAGTATCTGATTCATAGTCATATCGTTCTCTTCTTTTTCATTGTCGATAGACGCATCTATACATCCACGTGAAATTACGGAGGACATTTTCTTACAATTTACTTATCTGTTTCTTTTTCAGATGACTTTTGTTATTTATCTTTGTTAACAAATATGAAAATTGATCGATCGAAATTGAAAAAATATCTACCGGAACCAGTAAGAAATTAAGAATATTGCATGTTTACAAATTTTTTGTTTACTTGTTTTCTTTCTCTTGTTTGTTATAGCCGGCTGATTGTAAATTATTTATCGATAAATTAAAAAGTTGTGATCGAAAAGAATTACACGATCTATTGACACCAATAACTATTTGGCATATTGGAAAAGTAAGTTTTCAATTGATAGAATTTCGATAATTTCACTTCTTTTTCTCGACACTCAACTTTTATAGTTTTACAAAGTTAGTAAAACTATTACGTTCTTATGCAATCCTTTGTTTCGTTCATCTTGAGCAACTCATGTTTTGAGAATAGAAAAAAATATATAAATATATATTTATTTCATTACTATTTTAATTTTTTTGCTTATGTTCTAGTGTGAACTATATCATTGGATTGATGCATTGGATTTATTTGATTCAATTCTAGAAGAAGCTTGTATAAAAACGGGCACATGGATGCTCAACTGTGACAAACCAGAAAATGGAGAGGTTTGTTTTCATACATTAAATATAATCCGATAATTCTGCACTCGCATCTCCAGCTAGGATTTTATTCTTTCAATCTGTAGAATATTCTGTTATTATATAGAATTTTAATCCGGAAGATGTTAAAACATTTAAATCTCATTGGAATGCAGTTCTACTGAATAGGGTTACACTCTATTCGTTCAGTAGTCAATTTAGAAAAATACTTCGAATTTTTGCTGGATATTAAATAAATATTTATACTCGTAAAATACGTTTCTGAGATCTTCTATAAATTTGGTTTTCTGATCAAATATATTTTATTTGAAATAAATTAAAGAAAAAAAAGAATATTCTATTTCGGTGGGAAATTCATAGTCTAAAATACTACAGGTCTGAGTCAGTGATTTGAACATTTATCGATAATTCTATATAGATTTCTTATCGAATGTATCTTCATGAAAAGAGGAAACTTGTATTTTTTTAAAATTATAACTAAAACAATACTGTCATAATAAGGCTTCGATGAATATTTTTTTGCTCTACTTGACGCATATGTTTATGTGAACAAATAAAGTTTATTTTTTACAATTTTTGTTTTCTTTCTTTTATTTAGTTAAAAATTTTAGTTCTCGATATTCTTCATTTTACTGCGTTATTAATTGAACATTCATACTCTCGTCATTTATATAATTCAATTGAATATTTAATTATGTTGTTACAATCATCCGATGTCCATATTGTACTTGGTGTGCTATCGCTTCTGTATGTATTCAGTAAACGTTCAAATTTTATAACAAGACTTCAAATTGATAAGAAGCAAGCATTGATTGGTCGACTTATTTTCTTAGCTGAGGTAAGCTAATTTTTTCCTTTTTCTCAAGAAAATGTAGACAATGCCAGAGAAAATAGGACATACATGTTTGTTTCGGTTTTCTGAATGAATTCTTGTAGTATACATCTATAGACTATTGTAGTAAATGATTAATTAACGAATATCTTTCCATTTGAATTACAAAAAAATTAATTACGACATATTCTACAGTTAAAGCCTTCCTGTTAAAAGAAATTTTCTATCACATGCTAAATCATAAATATTTATCTCGATAAAATCTGCAAACTTTTAGGCAAATGATTTGCGCTATTTAGAATTAAAATTTGAGTTCATGATTTGCCTTTAAGATTAAATCAAGACGTTTAGCGCCAGGACATCTAGAGTCATTTGACATATATGTATTTACTCGAAAATATTATTAATTTAAAAATAATTTCACTTATTACGCATTATTTTACTGCTATTTATTTATTTATCTATTTTAGACTTGGGGTGGACGAGAGAATGGATTTGATTTAGCGCGTTGTTGTAGTGTTTTAAATCCATCAGTAAGTATTCCTATTTTAATCTTATAAGTTTGACTTTCATTCTTCGTACAGGACTTTCCTGAACATGCAACAAATCTACATTTTTGTTATATCGTACCATCAGAATCCACATCAAATAGTGGTCCAACATTGGTAAATAAAATAAAACATACTTTTTATTTCGTCTTTGCTGTATCTCTACAAACAAATCTTGATTTTGTTTTTCTTTAGCAAATCACAAAACAAATTGATATTCCAAATGTTCATCAAGCTGGAGTCAATGCTGCTGCTGTGATGGAAATAGTTCTTGCTGAACATCCATTACCTGAAGATAAACAGATAAAATTATTTACACATCTTCGTCTAGCTTATGCGTTTCCATCATTTGAGCAACGCTTATTATGTATTCAAGCACGATTACAAGCATTATCCATTCTGAGTAACAAAACCAAATATCTAGACGTTGAAAATAAGAATAACTTTTTTTTGTCTCTTTTTAGTTTATTCCTCAGGAATGCAAGAGGCAAATAATGTTTTATATGATGGTTTGATTGAGGAACTAGTTGAAGTATTAAATGTTCGTGATCCAACATTAACAGTATGTTTTCTAATTAATAAATGAATATACAGATTTTCAAATGTATTCTTTCTTTTGTTAGGATATAAAAGCTTCAGCATTAAAAACTTTAACATCAATTATTCATCTTGAACGAACGACAAAGTATACTTTATTCTGAAACGACAGTCTTCTTTTTACTATTATTTTCGTTTTTTTTTCTGTCAGACATCCACCACGTTTACAAGAAATAATTGAAACAACACAAGCTAATTCATATCATGGATTTTTACCAGCACTTGTACGACAATGTATTGATAAATTAACTGGTAAATTCATTGAATTATAAGATTATTTGTTTCTATTTCTATTCTATTAGATGATAGTAATGAACGATTCCCTCAATCGTTATCAACAGCTTTATTTTCTTTTCTTTATCATTTGGCATCCTATGAAACAGGCGGTGATGCATTAGTTAACTGTGGTATAATGCAATCATTAATCAAAGTTGTTAATTATTATGATGAATCTCAAGATTTTATTATGGTATGAAACAAAATGATTAAACATAGAATCTTGATTTTTGTATTTGATCTTCTATTTTAGTTTGTTACACGTGCCGTTCGTGTTATTGATTTAATAACTTCTCTAGATATAACATCATTTCAGACAAACAATGGTTTACAAGCGTTCATCAATCGATTGGAAGTATGTTTATTTAATTCATTTGTTTTAGTCATAGGAAAACAAGAGGTCCCATGTACAAGCTCCTATCGAAGCATTTCTATGATATACGTGATTAGAAGTGTCAATGTGTGAGCAATAAAAAACATTCAATAAGAACGGTCGCAATTTGTATTATCAATGTATAAATAGCATTACCAACTTATTGAACATATCCTATTTTTGGTAAAACACGATCCTAAAAATAAGACATAAATTTTGGCATGTAACGATAAAAAAACACTAGCTCGGATTTTTCTTATCACATGCCGACTAGAGACCGAATGTTATTTTGTTGATAGACGGCATATAAATAAGTTTTTATTCAAATATTTGAATAACTTTTGTATCCTATTGATGCAGAATGTAGTAAAAGAAAAATTAAATCTAATCAATTTATCTTTGACGAATGTCTAAATCGTGTTTCACGTTTTTATTGTTCAAAAATTATGTGAACAAATTTTTTTCTTAATTTCTATAACTAAATTTTAGCACGAAATAACACAATGTCGAAAAGAACAACCATTTATTATTCGCATACCAAAACGTTCACAAGGAACACCAACAATAAATCTTGATTCACATCCTCCTTTATCACCGAGTGCACAATCAGATATATCTGGTGAACATCCAATACTGCCAGCAACCACGATGCATCTATCAAAAGATATGGATACAAGTGAACTTCTAGATGAACAACATGAATTAATGCCAAGCAGTCCAATACCTGGTTTATCTTGTTATCATCAACGTGCTGCATTACTTAAATCAATATTAAATTATTTAAAACGAGCTTTCACTGAACCAACAATGGCTGATACAACACGTCATATCATGGATGCTTCATTACCAAATTCTTTAAAACATATTATCAGTAATGCTGAATATTATGGTCCATCATTGTTTCATTTAGCAACTGATGTTGTCACATCGTTTATATTTCAAGAACCATCACAATTATCATCTTTACAAGATAATGGTTTAACTGATGTATTAATGCATGCACTTTTGAAAAAAGATGTACCCGCTGCTCGTGATGTTTTAGCATCATTGCCAAATATATTTAGTGCATTGTGTTTAAATACACGTGGCTTAGAAAATTTTATGGAATATAAACCATTCGATAAATTATTTTGCGTATTATTATCACCGGAATATTTACCAGCTATGAGACGACGACGTGGTACAGATACAATCTATGGTACAGCGTCAAGTCTTGGTAATGCTGTTGATGAATTAATGAGACATCAAGTTAGTTTACGTACCGAAGCTATGAAATCAATAATTACATTACTTGAACAACTTGTCGAATTAGGAAATAATCCAAAATATTGTTGTCAAAAACCACACTCATCATCATCATCAACTACAACAACGAAATTAACCGATACAATACGTGCTCAACATCGAACTGTACGTACAACAAATACAACAAATACGAACACAGCAGGAAATGATAGAAATTCATCTGATGATGAATACGATGATGATGAAGCAACGAACGATGAAGCACCATTAGCCAATCGAGCAGTACCACCATTAACGGGAACACCAACATCATCATCGATAGCAACAACTGCAACAATAATTGAGCCAATAACAAATATTCCAATAATACTTAATCAGACATTATTGAGTGAAAAAAAATCTGAAGATGAAACAATTCCAATAGCTGTACCATTACTTGATTATATAACAAATATAATGCGTTTTGTTGAAGGTGTTATTAGTAATAATACGACGGATGATCATGGAAAAGAATTTGTAAAATTAGGTGGTTTAAAACCGTTGCTTGATATTTTACAAATGAAAAATTTGCCAATAGATTTTCCATCAAGTCAAGCTTGCCAATGCGTTGCTGCACTTTGTAAATCAACTCTTGTAAGTTTATCGATTAGAAAAATAGGCTATGATTTTTTTTTCTCTATTATTTTCTCCTTTATTTTAGACTCTTCTTGTTAAAGATAATAAATTAATTGAAATGATTATAACAAATCTTGATGCAATATTAAATTCTCTCGCAGATTTCTATTCAAATCGTACCTATGATGGTTCATTATTAATAGAAGAATTAGCACGTGCTGCATCATCACCATCAGCATTATCAAACATACCGGTTGATCCAATGGATGCTATTAATCAATCTTCATTGACACCTATTCTTCACCAATTATCTATTGTTCATTCCCATATATCATTGCTCATATCATTATGTAAAATAACTCAAAATGAAGTACGTAGTATACTGATTAGTTTTTGGGGCGCGGAAACTGGTATACGTGTATTGAAAAATCTAAATAAATTATGTTTAACATTAATATGGGAAAGTTCAATATTATTATCATTATGTTCATCGGACACGAATATGATGGATCAACAGTTTAATAAAAATGATTTGCTACAACTATTTCCAATGATCAATGATTTAACAAATACAATATCACCATTACAAAATGTTTCAACACAATTAAATGATTTAACAACAAATGAAATGACGCGTACATTTGACATTGATGAAATCATGTCGATGGATACAAGTGATTTTACAAAATTGAAATTAAAAGTATCGTTAAATATTCAACAACGTATTAAAACAATAAAACCATTATTATGCGTTTCTTCAAAACTTGGTCGAGCATTAAGTGAACTTTATAATTTACTTGTTAAACAATGTTCAACATCACAATTGAGACATGCTAGACGATTTAATCAACCACCGACGCCTTATGTACCGACAGCGGCAGCAAAACTTGTTGCATCAACATTAACAGAAGTGTTACGAGATGGATTTCTATTTCATTTGCCAGCAAATATTAATTTAACAGAAAGTCAAATTGAAAAATTTCGTTTAACATTTTTTGTGTGTACAATAGGGTAAGCTATAGAATTATTATAACATCTGTCAATTTGATCGATATTCACTTTTTCCCCCCAAAGTTAACATGACATAACAACTATACACTAGAATCCATACATAATATTTACCATTGTCATATCTGAAATGATCAACATTATCAAATATAATCGCATGAATTTGATTTCTTGTTTTTTATCTAACTTTCTGTTTCTATCTAACAATTCAATTTATTCATTGAATAAATTTCTATAGTCTATAATCTATTCAGTATAGAACTTAAAATAGTCTTACTTAAAATAGTCTTACTTAAAATAATAGGTTAGCACTATCAAAGTTTATCGTTGTTATTATTATACGCAATAGAGCACATATTGATCTTTCCCGAAATGTCATGTTCATCTTGGTGAAGCCGTTGAAACTGCCAAATGTTTATTTTTATATTTCACAATACACCGTCGATGTGTTCTTTAATTTTCATTTTAAAGCATTAAAATAATTTTATTTTTGACATTTTTTATTTAGTTTTGCTACTCCGATGCTATTCGATGAACGTCGCCGTCCTTACATGTTAATGTTACAACAATTTGAATTATCTAAAGCACAAGATGCACTTTTTTCGTCACTTGAATGGACACTTGATTTAATTAATCGTCAATCATTAATAACTGATGATCAACAAACTTCACAAGTTAATAATACATATGATGCATCACCTACAGAATTTCTCAATTCAGCATTAATGCTTATATTACGCTTAGTTAATGTTAAATCAATTCTTGAATCTCCACATTCAATACCAAAAAAAGCACAAACAGAACGTACTTATTTTGTTCCATTTAATCCATTACATTATTTAGCATTAACACATAAATGTGCATTTAATATATTAACAAATTCATGTTCTGTACTTTGGGATAAACCATATTTATTAAAAGATCATGCAACAAAAATTATCGATAGTATATTATCAATATTTTGTCATATCTTACGTGGTGAATCGCAAATCAAAAAAAAACTTCAAGATGAGGAACAACTGCAGCAACAACAACAACAACAACAACAACAGCAGCAGCAACAGCAGCAACAGCAACAGCAACAACAGCAGCAACAACAGCAGCAACAACAGCAACAGCAGCAACAGAATTTACCAACATACACTGTTCCCACAAGTGAATTATCAAATCAACAACAATCAAATACGGATACTGATTTACCTGGTTCATCTGCATTGACATCGACGAATGCTACACCAGTGAATGAAGATCTTATTCAATCTATTACAATGATGGGCTTTTCTCGTGAGCATGCTATGGAAGGTTTATTACAGACGAATAATAATCTCGAATTAGCTGTTGATTATTGTGTTAATCATCCACAATCTGTTATAGCTCCACAAATTCAATCAAATCTTCCTGATATGGATGCTGATATGGCTCGTGCTTTACTCTTATCATTAGGACAAGAAGTTGATGAAACAGCTCTATCAAATCCAATAGCTGCATTAGCTGCATTATCAAGAGAAAATAATAATTCAATAAATGAAATCAACACAGCATCCTCCGCATCATCATCAACTGCAAATCCAATAGTAAATCGTGAATTAATAACTAATCCAACATCGATTGAAAATCTAAATCAAGAAAAATCTTTATCTGTTATTGAATCATTATCAAAAGAATCTGTCGATCGTTTTACTGATTCGATTATGTTGAAAATTCTTGATATATTACCTGATACTGTTTATAAAATGTGTGAGCTTGTTGTAACAACAATGCATCGTAATGGCATTCAATGGCGTGATCACTTTCTTGAAATCATTGCAAATGATATTAAAACAAGTTATTTAAACTTAATTGAATTGTTAGATAAAAATCTTTTAAATCAACAAGATGAACAATTAATATTACTATTTTTAAATGACCATCATAATTCTGTTTTATTTAGTCGTACATTATTAATGTCATTATTATTCGAAGAAATGCCTTTTCCGTGTGCACGAATAGCTGAAAAATTTTCATTGATTAATTATTTTTGTATACTTATACATCGTACAACGGATTATTTAAAAAAATGTAATGAAAAGAAAACTCCAACATGGTTAGCACCAGCATTTATATTTATTGATTTATATGAAAAAGTGTCATTAGCATCAAAACGTCGTGCAATTATAAATCAAAACTATCGTGATTATAATCGTGTATGGCAATGGTTCGATGAACGTGCTGTCCGATGGAATAATTATCCAGCGACACAAAATAAACAAATCGACGATGCCTATGCTAATGGTGAACCATCATGTAAAATTGTTATACAACGAAGAAATTATATTATACAATTTAATACTATGTTACAAACCAATGAAGATACACATAATAAACGACCTATTATGCTTACATTTTCTAAACCATCAACAAAAACAACAAATACAGATGGATCAGTACCAATACCGCCAACATCATCAAGAACATTTTCAGCATCACATACAAGTGACGATGATGATGACGATGATGATGATGATGATCAACAACCACATGGACAAGGTGTATCAATAAGTTTAAGTGATACAAAAAAAGTTGAATCCATGGATACCGAACAACATAGTGATACTACAACAATGTCAGTCATTGAATCATTAGCTGACGAACATGCTTTATTATTAACAACTGATTGTGTATATTTAATACGAATGCCTGTTGATCCTGATGCTATACATGCATTATTACGTCTTATATTACGTTTAACACGTGATTATAAATATGCAAGACAATTTGCTCAATCCGGTGGTATACAAGCTATATTAAGTTTAACACAAACATCAGCATTTCAAGGTTGTGCATCATTAATCACATTAATATTTCGTCATATTATGGAAGATGATAGTAATTTACGTTTAGCTATGGAAAAAGCTATACGTCAAGCATTGACAGGTAATCATGGTGTATCAATTGGTGTTCAACCAGCATGTCCAGGATCACATGAACTTAATGTTATATTACGTATATTGGGTCCAGCTATGACACGTGCACCAGATATATTTTTAGAAGTTGCATCAAATGTTTTACAATTATCACCACCATCAGCCGGTCGTTTAGCAGGTTCATTAAGTCGATTTACAAATCCATTTTTAGCTGATGATGATCATCATACACAAGCAAATACACCAACAGGTCCATTAATTTTACAAGCACGACCTGCAACTAGTCAAACAGCGACAGCAACATTAACACCTACACCAGCATCAACCTCAACAACTACCACCACCACAGCAACAATGACAGTAGAACAAAATTCTCAAATACGTTCAAATCGAACAACAATGATTACAGCAGCAACAACAACAAACGAATCAGTTGGAGAATTAGCTGAACGTTTATTAGTTGATTTACTTGATTTTCTATTAACAAATGATGATTCGAATCCAAAACGTTTATTATCAAAATCAACTGTATTACGCATATTGGCTGAATTAATACGTTCATATGCTAATGTTGCTAAACTTGTATCAACAAAATCATTTTCACTACAAGATAATCAATCGTGTTCAGCACTATCATATATACTTGATTATTTATTGCCGGGTAATCATAATCAACAAGTTGATTACGACAAAGACATACCAGCATTATGCCGTTTATTTCTTGTTGCTATGGCTGCATGTAATCATTGTTTAGAATCTCAAATGAATTTAGTTAATGAAGTTAAAATGTCATTAAATAAAATTCTAATTTTACCTGAATGCGATGAAAAACATATGCGATTACAAGCATTAGCTAATATTATCAATACAATGATTGAATCATGTCCAGCACCAAATACATCTGCACCTCAACAAGGACAACATCGAATGTCTCAATCCATTATAAATAACATGATTAAAATTATGTACAAACGTGGTTTAATTAATGATTTAGCAAAAATGATACATAGTATTGAATTATCTAGTCCAAAATTAGCTGATACAGTTAATGCTGTGCTTAAACCAATGGAAACATTATCACGTGCAATTAATTATGCGACATCATTACATGTACAAAGTGGTGCTCGTCCACATGCAACAAGACATACAACAACAAATCAAACAAATGCTTCAACTGTTCCACCAACAGCAGAAACAACCACTACAGATTCAACAACATCAATTCAAGAACAATCAACAATACGAAACGAAGAACAACCAATTATCACAGCGGGTATAGCAACAACAGCAACATCACTACCACCAACAACAATATCAGATTCATCTCGACCAACTGAACCTCAACAACAACAACAACAACAACAAGCATCGTCCATAGATGTACCACATACGTCAACACAAGATGAAAATCGCTCATTAATCGATAATACAACTACAAATAATACTAATAATCCAGCACTCAATTCAGCTAATCAAGTTGCATTAAGTATAAGTCAAGAAGAATTATTAAATGCAACTGATATGGAACCTGTTGCTGGTTTACCACAAGATGTTGATATTTTTGAAAGAAATATTCATGGTACAGCTAGACTTTCAACCGACGAAGATGAGGATGACGACGATGAGGATGATGACGAAGAAGTTAGCATTGAAGATGAGGATGAAGATGGAAATGGTGGCGTCGGAGCAATTAATGTCGAATTTGATGTTGCACGTGCTCTCGATGATACAAATGAACATGGTAGGTTCACTGTAGAGAAATAACAAGAAAATTTCTATTTTGTTTTGTTTTTATCATATATATTAGCTTCAAGTGAAAGTTCGACAACAAGCGCTGATAATGATGATGAAGATGATGATGCAGAAGAAACCGATAGTCCTGATGAAGAAATGGATATGGATAGTGCTAATGGAAATGATCGTGAACCACAACATCGGTAGGACTTGCTAAATAGTTTATTTGTATAAAAATCTTGATATGAAATAATCACTCCTTATAAATTCTAGCATATTAGTTCTAAACAAGCATTAATTTGAAATAATAATAATAATAATAATAATAATCTTACGAAAACTATTTAATCTAGAGCCTACTGGAAAGAAAATCGGAGGACACATTTGAAAAGATTACAAATAATTGTTTTTGTCTCTAATCAGCTGCCATTAAAGGATTACAAAATGAAGAAATATTTCATAACAAACTATTTCTAAAATGAATACATTTTTCTTTTATAGTTATAGTGATGATGATGAAGATATAACTAGTGAAGAAGAAGTTGATGTTCGTTTAACAGGTAATTAAATCGTTTTTCTTTTTATTGCTATTTTATGAAAGTGTCTGTTTCTTCTTCTTCTTCGTGTAACTAGGACCAACATCATCCGGTGAACAACATGATGATGAACATGATGATGATGATGATCTTGACGATGACAGTGATAATAGTGATAGTGATGAAACTCATACTGGAGATGAATTAGATGAAACTGAAGGACCTACAATTGATATTCACATTGAAACAGCATCAAGTCAATCGGCTGATGGAAACTTAACAAATACTAATGAACGAGATGGTCAAACTAATGAAACAGGTGGTAATATGAATGATGATACAACAAACAATAATAATAATATTCAAGAAGATGACGAAGAAGAAGATGATGAAGATGAAGACGATGAAGATGAAGAACAAGACGAAGATGAAGATGATTTTGCTGAAGATGATGATGCTGCTGCTGAAGATATTGAAGATATGGTTGAACGGTAAGAATAAATTGAGGTTTTTGTTTTACACATATATCGATCAATTATGAATTCTGTCTTTCAGTGATATGGATGCAGCGAATGCTTGGCAAGATGACGACGAAGAAGACGAAGACGAGGATGATGAAGATGAAAGTACTGAATTTGAAGATGATGATGGTGATATCGCTGACTATGTTCATGAAATGGAATTCGATGAAGAAGTTCTTTCGGAAATTCGTAATAATCTTATGTCACCAACTGATATTGATCCGATTTTAATATCTAATTTTCAAGGTGTTCGAATTCGTGCCACTGGTTTTCCACCACTTCACGGCATCAATGATACAGGTTAGTTTTCATCAAACATAAGACAGAAATTTTTAGAAAAATTCAGAAAACGATTAACTTTTTACTTTTTGTTTTTTAGTTGATCCAGCTCTTCCACCGCCACCAATGAGTGTACCTGCTCTGCATCCATTACTTGTTCATCATGCTGATAATCAATTAAGTTCAGGTGCTTTTTCACGTTTTCGTCAATTAGGTACGACAACAACAACAACTACAGCACCCAATCAACCAAATATAAATGTTCTATCAGCACAATCAAATCCAACATCAACATTGACATTCGGTCAACCAAATGGACCAGCAGCAGCAGCAGCAGCAGCAACAACAACAACAACAACAACAATGCTGACTGGACAAGCAGGATTGAGTGTACAACAACAGATCAATCAACAAGCACAGCGCAATCGTATGTTTTTCATTTATTACATCGAATCTAAATCATTTCTTTTCATAGGCACAACACGAACATTATTTATTCCAAATGGTACAACTACATTTGGTCGTGCAGCAGCTGGTGGCTTTGCTGAATATCTTCAGCATGCTAATCAACTTGATGTTGATCCATTGGCAGGTCCAACAATAACAAATACTGGCACATTGCCAGGTACAGCAACAGCACGTATACTTGTTGGTAATGGTGCCGATTCTGAAGCATGGCGATTTTTACATGATCAAATGTTAATGGAAATTGCACCACAAGCTAATGAAGGAAATGAAAATATTGATGGAACAAAGATCTATATGATACGTACACCATTGGCACGTTGGATTGAAGAAAGTATTGTACTTGATGGACCTTATGTGCATGATACAGTGTTAGCATTAAAATCGAAAATAACTGAACCATTAGAAAAACAATACGAATCAGAATTACAACTTGCTTTAACTAAAAAAGCTAAAGATGATGAAGAACGTAAAAAACGTTCTGATGAAAAACTACGGCAAGATGCTGAGCGTGCACAAGCAGCAACAGCTGCTGTAGCTGCCTCTGTATCATCGACAACTACAAATGATCAACAGCCAACAGAAAATATAACATCAACAGAAATAACTACTAGTACAACCACAGAACCAGTGATATCATTGCCTTCATCATTACAACATATTCGTGATATTGTTATGACTTCACCTGAATTACAACGTTCTTCACAATTATATCCGTCTCGACATAATCGAAATGTAAATACAAGTCCTATACGTCCAGCGAATGATGAATCAGCACAAATAAGTTTACAACCTAGTGGAACAGGTAAACAGTCTAAGAAATTCTGAAAGAAAAATTTCTTTTTTTTTTTCTTTTATTTAAGTTCCACCAATCACAACTGATGCTGGCACAAGTCCATTAGCCACTGAAAATATGTCTACTGGTGGTCAATCGCCTGCTCAATTAGCAACATCACCTACAACATCAATGGAAATAAACCATCCATCACCAATTAGAGAGAATATTACTGAAGAGCAACTACAGCAACAGCAACAACAACAACATCAACAACAACAACAAGAAATAACAAATGAACTAGACATAACACTAACAATAACGACTGAACAAATTTTTCCATCAACTGCAACTGAACAAACAGTTGCTGCCGCCGTTGCCGTGGCTGCTACTGTTGTTGCAACTACTACTCCAGTTACAACAGCACCACCCGTTGAACCAGAAGTTGAATGGACAACATTAACTATTGATGGACGTGAATTTCGTGTTCCAAAAGCCTTAGAAATTGATCCATCATTTTTAGCTGCATTACCTGAAGAAATGCGACAAGAAATTTTAACTGATCAAGTACGAAATTTTGAACGTGAAGAGAATCAACGACGTGCTCAACGTGCCGCTGCTTATGCTGCTGCAAATCCTACAGCAAATTTAAATTCACAAGCAAACGATGGTACTAATAATGATAATTTCGCTTCAAGAACAAATCAAGCAACAAGTGAATCTGTTATTGGTGAAATGCTTGGTGAAATAAACCCGGAATTTATTTCTGCACTGCCACCTGAAATTCGTGAAGAATTATTAGCTGAACGTCGTCGTACGGCTGCTACAATGGCTGCTATGAGTGGTGTTAATTTACCTGATAGTGGTCCAGCAGAATTTCTACGTACATTACAACCACATCTACGCCAACAAGTTCTTGCCGATATGGATGAAAGTCAAATAGGTGCTTTACCAGAAGACATGGCCAATGAAGCTCGTGCATTACGTGCTGCTATGGAAACTCAACAACAACAATATATACGTGAACGTATGGCACGAAATCATCATGATATGCTGAATATGTTAACACATAGTGCACGACCCATACGTATGTATAATCTACGTGCATTACAAGAAGCACGAAATAATCGTACAGATCGACAACCAACAAATTGGTTTGCATTACGCACAGGTACAAATACAGCTGGTGATGTAAATAGTAATACAGCAGCCATTGGCTCACGTGGTAGACAATTACTTGATTATGAATCAATTTGCTGTTTACTTGTTTTATTATTTATTGATGATACACGTTTGAATTTTGCTCGTTTGCAAAAAGTTTTGAAAAATTTATGTCATCATACACAAACACGACAATGGATTATTAAAGCATTATTATCAATTATAAATAAAAGTACAGGACGTACAGAATATGAAGGACCAACATCGACACCCGGTGCACCAACACTTGTACTTAAAAATCCAAGCACAAATAATCAATCACAAACAACAACAACAACAAATAATATTACTGGAAATGAAATTCAACAAATAAAAAATATTAATCCAGCATGGTTAACAATTAATTTTGAAAGTGCATTTGGTGCACGCACAAACGTGTTTAAAATTCAGCGTCTCGGTAATACAAAGCGTCACGGTTCTGTACACATATCAGTTCATGCGCAAGCGTGTCCTATCGTTTGTCGGCAAGTACTTGAATCATTAATTATATTAGCAAAAAATTTTCCAGACCAATTTCTTCCATTACCATTAACCAATAATGATCAACAACAACAACAACAGCCAGCTATTCTACCATCAAATGAACATACGATGAAGATGAATTCACCTGATAAGCAATTAGTAGCAACACCATCGAAGACTTCTTCAAATATACGTGATTTATCATTTTGGGAATTAATTCTTAAATTAGATCAATCATTTAGTAATCGTTCATCTCGTTCATCAACAAATCCATTACAAAATATATCGTCAATTGTTATTACAAATTCAACAACAGCATCTTCAACTACAACCAATACTAATAATCAACGAACGGCATTAACATTAAATATAACTACTAATACTAGTAATTATGAAGTTGATTTTGAATCATCACCATTAGCTGCCTTATTACTCATGCTCGATCATCCAATATTAAATAAAAATAATCAATTAATGGATAAACTATTTAAATTACTTTCAATTATATCACAAAGTTTTCAAATACATATTATAACGAAAAAAGATATTACACCATCGCCATTAGCTACATCAACACCGATGACAGCTGAACCACAAAATCCACCAACAAATCCTATTCAACAACAAACTAATGATCAACCATCAGCAACAAATACAAATACAAATACAAATACAAATAATAACAATAATAATAAATTAGTCGTATCCGATGATCAAGTTGTTTTAGGTTCACAATTAGATTTAGTTATTAAAGCATTAATATCTAAATCATGTACAGAAGATGGTCTAGAATTTGCAACAATACTCTTATTAAATGTATCGAAAATAAATCAAGCTACAAGAGATAAAGTTTTACATTTACTACTTAATGGTATTCGTTTATTAGGCAAAGATGTTAGTGATGAAATTAAGTAAGTTTAATTTTAATATTAAAAAAAACTCAGTCTAAACAAAAAATTCACAATGGATTCATATCTTTTGATTGGATTCGTCAAAAATATGTATCAAGTAGATTTTAATGAGCTATCAAGTTTTCTTTTTAACTTATAACTAATTATTTGACATATCGTTTATACAAAACCTTGATTTCATAATCTATCATTCTAAATTAGCTCAATCTACAGTTAGCTTCTTTTCTTTTCTCACGCAAGTCATTCATAGACGTCCATGTCGATTCTTTTATTCTTAAAAAAAATACAGTAGAAAAAATCTATTTGTTTTAAATAAAATTCTTAAAATTTTCAATCAATAACCTTCAACCTTTTTTTTTGTATTCAGACAATTACATTGGGAAGTTCAAGATTATCTATCGAAAAATAAATCTACTACAGCAACAACAGGCAACGATGATGAATCATCAAATACACCAATAGATGAATCTGCTAAATTATTCGATTCATATAAATCAATACGTTCAAACACTTTGCCAACAATGAACGCCGATCCGAATGCTAAACAGCAAGATTTACAATTACCAGCTATGGTTATGTTAACATCTAAAACCGCAAATCAACAATTTCTATTACGTATTCTTAAAGTAATAATTCAATTACGTGACGCAACTAAAAAAGAACAACTCGATTCTCAAACACACTTCGAAAATGAACTTCACACATTAACACGCCGTCTTGATACATTACGCCAATCATTACGTTCACATATTCCATCGGATAATAATAATCAACAAAATGATGTATTACAACCTATCGATGACTTATCAAATCGTTTAGAACAAATGCGTACACGTTTACAAACAGTTTTAAATTCGAATACAATTGAACAACGTCAACAACTATTTTCACAACGTGAAACAATAAATGATATTCAAGATATTTATCGTTTAATTCGACAACTTGAAGCATTAATTGAAACATTTCAGGAACCACCAATGTCAACAACAATGACAACACGTATCAATGATGTTTTACAAACAATTCCACCATTATTTCCACAAATCAATGAACCAATGGACATAGGACAATTTTTACCATCGCAACAAACAAAATTAAGTGATCTATTAAATATAAATCAATTATGGGATTCATTAAGTGATTGTTTATTATCATTAGCTAAATTACCTGATCCACATGCTGTATTAGTACTTCAGCCGGCTGTTGAAGCTTTCTTTCTTGTGCATGCTGCTGATTTAGATAATGAAAATGAAAAAACCAATCGAAAGAAAAAAGATCGTGAAACACGTGAAGCACTATCACATTTAGAATGTTTTGGTCCAGCACCATCAACAACATCTGATGAACATGTTGCACCAAGTGAAACAGTAATGACCTCAGCAACATCAGATATATCAGCAGTGCCAACACTTGTCTTACGAACAAGTACGACACCAACAATATCAACAAATGATTTACCATTAGATGCACAAAAATTTGTTGAATTTGCTCGTACACATCGTACTGTATTAAATCAAATCCTACGTCAAAGTACACAACATTTAAGTGAAGGACCATTTCATATATTAACTGATTATACATCAATACTTGATTTTGATGTTAAAAGAAAATATTTTCGTCATGAACTCGACCGATTAAAAGAAAATATACGCGGAGAAGATTTAGCGGTGCATGTTCGACGTAATAATGTATTCGAAGATTCATATAGAGAATTAAGTCGACGTTCACCAGAAGATTGGAAACATAGATTCTATATTGTATTTGATGGCGAAGAAGGACAAGATGCTGGTGGTCTTCTACGTGAATGGTATTCCGTTATAGCACGTTCAATGTTTGATCCAAATTATGCTTTATTTATGATTAATCCAGGGGATCGTGTTACATATATGCCTAATCCATTATCGCATTGTAATACAAATCATTCACAATATTTCAAATTTATTGGACGTATTATAGCTAAAGCTATATTTGATAATAAATGTATGGATTGTTATTTTACACGTTCATTCTATAAACATATACTTGGTATACCTGTACGCTATACAGATATGGAATCGGTTGATTTGCAATTTTATAAAAATCTAGTGATGTTACTAGAAAATGATATACATCAGTTAGGTTTAGACTTAACATTTTCATTAGATGCTAGTGAATTCGGTGCAAATAAAGTGATTGAATTAATAGCATCTGGTTCAACTATAGTGGTAACAAACGAAAATAAACATGAATATGTTCGACTTGTTTGTCAAGAGAAAATGATTGGATCTATTCGACAACAAATTAATTCATTTCTAGAAGGTTTCTATACAATTATACCAAAAAGTTTAATCTCAATATTTAATGAACAAGAATTAGAATTATTAATATCAGGTTTACCAGATATTGATATTGAAGATCTCAAAGCAAATACTGAATATCACAAATATAGACCAAATTCGTTACAAGTAAATATTGAATATTCTTTTCTTCTTCTAGAATTCCTAGTATAACGATTTTTCTCCGTCAGTTTTCTTAAAAAATAAGAACTAAATTTTCTGAAAATCATTCCAAACTCACTCTTGACAATTTCAATGACTAAAACAAATATCAAAGACAAGGATACTTAGTAGCGCAGATATACATCACACCATTGCTAATCATAAAAGTTCAGATTGATTTCAACTCTATTTAATTTTGTATTGATCTCCAACGAGTTTCATATAATCAATGTCAAAACCTTAGTAAATGAATACTATTTAAAATCTAGCAACAAACAAAATAGTTCGATTATCTGTGAATAATATCAATTTAGTTTATTCGGTATTTAAAAATTTTCTGTTCGTACAATGAGATCATGACAATCCTAGTTTAGCCGTACGAGAACTATACATACAAATTTCTTTTGCACGTCTTAACTAATTTTGACTTTCTATTTAGATTCAATGGTTTTGGCGTGCATTGCGATCATTTGATAAAGAAGATTTAGCCAAATTCTTACAATTTGTTACAGGTACATCAAAAGTACCATTACAAGGCTTTGCTCATCTAGAAGGCATGAATGGTGCACAAAAATTTCAAATACATCGTGATGATCGGTCAACTGATCGTTTGCCGTCAGCTCATACTTGGTAGGATCTTTTGATTTTTTGCTTGAAATATTATTTATTCATATATTTATATTTAGTTTCAATCAACTGGATCTCCCAGCTTATGAAAGCTATGATAAATTACGTAAAATGCTTTTGATTGCGATTCGTGAATGTGCTGGATTTGGATTTGCTTAAATTAGCACATATTCTGTCTATGGCCTGTTAAAGCAACAGCTAGTCTTTCGCCGTTATTTGCTATTTTGTTGTGTTTTTTTTTTCTTTCTCTATATATGTTCTCGTTTTTTTTCTTTTTTTCGAATATCATGAAACGGATATTAGAACTCACACATTCTCTCCTTTGGTTGGCTTTGATCAATATTAGATTGATTGACAGTGAATTTTTCCTTGTGCGCCGGTCATTTTTTTCCTTTTAATCCGACCTATCCAACGGTTCTGTTCATTTGCGTGTCTCTATGTGTGTGTGTGTGTGCGTGCGTGTGTTTTCTCTCTTTCTCTATATATAAATCTTCATGCGCTGCAGATGCATTCCTTGGCTAGCGATATTATAATCCGTATCGTTCACTTCGTGGTTACTATTATTCTTTTGATGTTATTTGAGTAGAGAAAAAGAAATCATACGAATGTTCGGCGCTCTATTTCTATTTTATGTATATAAATAAACGAGAGAAGAGATATTGTTCAATCTTTTTTTCTTCCTTAATTTATCCTATAGGATTATTTACCTTAGTTTCCGATATAATGGAACTGCAAGAAAAAATTCAGAAATAATAAACTATGTATTTAGTTACTGAAGTAAACACAAGTAGCAGTAATCGATTTCAGGATTTCAAGGATATTGAGAAGCAAAATAACATACATGGTAATCGTCTCCTTAGAATTCAATAGCTTCTACGTATGGACTGCAACAATGGATACGATTTTAATTGAAACTAGTAGTTCTGATTAACATGCAGATAAATAGAATATTAAGACTCAGTGTTGACTTCGTCATGGACATGATTAAATGTTTTAGACAAAAAAGAAAGAAAACCGTAAATTTCCCCGAAGAGAAATAGAGATTATAACTGACGAAAGAAATATTCAATACTTGGAAATTTCAAGCTTATGGATTCTGCTGTTTTTCCGTATGATAAATGTTGCAAATATCAGATGAGTATATCATAGCTATCGGCCAATAATTGGATTCATTGTTGCTAGTATCTAAATAGCAATTTTATTGTATTGTTGTCCAATGTTTTATTTGTAGAATAAAATGTCAAATTTGTACAGTTACTTTCAACGTATCGAGCCAAAGAAAATGGCCGCTACAACAGCGAACGATGAATCGACTAGTCAAACAAAAGTTACACCGAAACGTGAAAATAATGGACTTACAAAAAAGAAACAAACGCCGAAAGAGCCACGTAAACCAATGAATATGAGTGATATCTATAGTGCTGATTCACCTAAATCTGAAAAACGAAAAAAATCATCAACAATTGCAGCAGATGATCATGATATATCACCGAAAACTAAAAGTAAAATAGTTCTATAAATATGAATAAAAAGGTTTATTTTTTCACATAGAGCGAAGAACACTCAATGCACGAAATGAATCAGATAATGAAGATGATGATGAACCAAAACTAAGAGTTAGCAAAGTAAAATAAAAATTCGTTGAATTTCAAAAAAAAAAGAGAGAAATTCACAAATCGTTTTTTTTTAGAGTCAAAATAGAAAGCGTGCTGCTATTCTTGATAGTGATGAAGAGGAAACAGAAAATGGTATAGCCAATCATTTTAATATATTGTTTTTAATGAATTGTTTTTATAGCTCGTATGGACGTTGATGTTACACCAATAAGTAAAAAAACAATCCAAAAAGATACAAAAACGAAAGCTAACAATTCAACTAAAACATCACGAAAGAAAAAAGCTGAAGAAAGTGAAGATGAAGAGGTATTATACAATGATGGTTCAGAAGAACAAAGCGATCAAAATGAAAGCGAACCTGAAGAATATGATGAGGATGAGGATGATGAAAATCACGTATAAATAAATTATATTTAGTTTGTAAAATAATTAATTATATTTATTTCCTATGAAAGACAAAGACACCAAAACGACGAACAACGACGTTAAATAAGACAAAACGGCCACCAAAACATGTCAATGATAGTAATTTCACGCATCTTTCTTTGGAATTTCTCAAAGATGGCCATCGACGGTGAGTTATATTAAATACTTAAACAATAAAAGGTGTTAGCACACTTCTTCTTGTAGGATTGGAATAGGAAATATAATCTAGCTGCTATTATCTATCATATAAAGGAATTTTTTTTATAATTTTCGGATATAGAGTTTTAGTTTAGCCATTAGAACGAGACCTTATTTACATATAGTCTATAATTGTATATTAACATCTGCGATGTGGAAGCAGTAAATGTTGCTAAAAATTGTTTTTCAATATCTCTGACTAGTATTTACTATGATCTGTAAGTTTTTACAATAGACGTTGACATTTCTTTGATTTCATATTGGAAAACAGCTATAATGGAAAAAATTCTTTTGATATTTTCAAATTGTTTTGTTTTAAATAAAACTCAATTAACTATTGTGTTATTTTTTATTTTATTTTTAACGTCTTTCATATAATTATATTCATGTCGTTTACATATCTGATTAATGGAATGGTTTTCACTAGTTTTGAATAGATAATACAGAAAATAGAGTTGACTACATCGTCGAGAATAACATGCACTCTATGATAAAATAATGCTATAATCTGTTTTATTCAATACAGCATTTCTCTTCTGATTCTTAATAATGTTTTTGTTTTCTTTTTCTATTCACAGTGATGCTAATCGTCGTCTTCATACTGATCCAAGTATGTTCATCAATGAAATAGATTGCTTATGTTTTCTTTTTTTGTTAATTATTATCTAGATTATGATTCACGTACATTGTATGTTCCAGAAGAATATCTTAATAGTGTTACACCGGTAAGTTGTATTGAGGATTTTATTTTATCAATCTATAAAACTATCTTTTTTGTCTTTTCTCAAGGCCTTACGACAATGGTGGGTAATGAAAATGGAATATTTTGATACAATTCTTTTTTTCAAAGTAACTATTTCTTGTTCATATTCTTATTATATAAAAGCATACTTTTGTTTCTTATAATATTTTAGGTTGGCAAATTTTATGAGCTTTGTACGTTAGCTTCTTTATATTTTAAAAAGAGTGATCTCATAATTCGTTTTTACTACATTTAACAGATAATATGGATGCAGTTACTTGTGCACCAGAATTAAATTTAACAATGATGAAAGGTAAATAATTTCTAGTGATTTCATTTTACTTAATCTTTATTCGTAGGTGACCTGGCACATTGTGGTTTTCCTGAAAAAGCATATAGTAAATTTGCTGATATACTTGTGTCAAAAGGCTATAAAGTGGCACGAGTCGAACAAACAGAAACACCAAATATGGCGAAAGAGCGTCTTGAACAGCGTATGCATATTTATTCATTTATTTATTTATTTATTTATTCCTATTTGTCTTGTACGAAATTTCAATAGTGCATCTTTTTTTTCTTATAGAAACAGGAAGAAAAAGTAAATTTGATAAAACAGTACGTCGGGAAATATGTCAAATAACTACACCCGGTACAAAAACATTTAATACATTAGACAATGATAATGTATTTCGTGAAAGTTCCTATTTATTATGTGTTGTTGAAGTGGTACGTGTATTTAATTAAAAAACAAGCAAGGTAATTATATCAGTTTATTTTCTATTTAGCCAATCACTGGCAATAAAATGACACCATGGGAATTCGGTATATGTTTTGTTGATACAACTATTGCACAATTTTATGTATGTTCGAAGGCTTTTTTGTTTTCATGAATCTATCATGAATTATTCTTGTTTAGATCGGTCAATTTGAAGATGATCGATATTTGTCACGTTTACAAACTTTACTTGCTCAGTATCCACCAGCGCAAGTAATATTTATTTCCATGGTGTTCTTTCTTTTTTTCAATTTGAATTAAAAATTTTTTTAAACAGATATTATGTGAAAAAAATAAATTATCAGAAAAAACGAAAAAGGTTTTAACATTAACTCACGCTAAAATTGAATATTTAATGCCAAATAAAGAGCTGTATGAAACAACAAAAACACTTGATATTCTTCGTGATGATACATATTTCAAAGATGAAAAAGGAAATCTTCAATGGCCAGATGCATTTCAACATGCTTTTAATGAAGGTAAATATTTAATCTACGTAAATGGTGAAAGTCTTGGTACAGATTATGCACTCATTTTTCGGTTATCCAGGGACGCTTGCTTAGATACTTCTTGAGAAAATGTTCAAATTCTTCTTCTGAATCAAGATTAAATAGCTATCAGTAAAATTTTGGTGGCACAGTCTAGAATAGTGTCAGTACTAGGTAAGATAAGAATTTTCGTACAGTCCTTAGTTTATGTCTTCAAACAGGTTTTATTTTGCATCGATTAAAAGAAGTTCTGTTTCAAAACTACAAAAGTTTAAAAATCTAACATACAAATGTAAATAAAATATTTTTGACAGAAAGTTCAATTGTTAAAAGCTATTTCGCATTTTGAATTTAATAGGTTCCAATCGAGACATAGAATCAGCTTAGTTGAATATTCTATAGGATTACTAAGGATTTGTTTGATCTAATGTAAGAAAGATTAAAATCACAAAATTTTGATTTTAATCAGCAGTCTCTGAACGATGAACAATTTGAATGAGTATATTTTGTAGAATAGATTATGTATTATAAAATATATTCATAGGTGATCAACAAGGTTTACATATTCGCTCAACTTTTCAATTATCCATACGAGCATTAGGTGGTATTCTTTGGTAAGTTTATTACTACTTTGAAATCTATAATTCGATGATTTGCTCAGGTATTTACAACATTGTCTTGTCGATAAAGAACTTTTGTCAATGCGTAAATTTTCGATATTTCAGCCACCTGATGAAAATATCGAACTTAAAGAAATTTCAACATTTAAACAACAAAATATGGTTAGATTAATGATTGATATATAATCATTAAATTCAATAGAATGTTTTATTTATTTAGGTACTTGATGCTACAACATTATATAATTTAGAAATTTTATCAAATAGTCGTGGTGGAAAAGAAAATTCATTATTATATACATGTGATCGTTGTTCAACTCATTTTGGTAAACGTCTTTTGTCTCGATGGCTTTCAGCGCCATTATGTAATGTCAATGAAATCAATGAACGATTAAATGCAATTGATGCGTTACGAGATAAAACTGATTTATGTAATAAAGTTCGTGATAAACTCAAAATTATTCCAGATCTCGAACGACTCTTTTGCCGGTAAAGAAAATTGACTCGACTCGCGATGTTTTATTTATTTATTTTCTTGATTAGCATTCATTCTCTTGGTCATCGCCCACTCGATACTGAACATCCAGAAAATCGTGCCATACTTTATGAAGATATTACTTATAGTAAACGAAAAATTCAAGATTTTCTAGCAGCACTTACTGGTTTGAAAGTGGCTAATGAAATCGTTCAAATATTTGCCAAGCACAATGATTTATCAACATCGTCTTCATTGCTCAATGCTATTATATATCAAAATGATGAAAATAAAAATAAAAGTTTTCCAAACCTCGATGAGTTACTTGATTATTATACAAAAGCATTTTCACATGCACAAGCACGTACTGAAGGTAAAATCATTCCAACAAGTGGCGTTTGTCAACAATATGATGATGCATTAAATGAAATTCGTGATAATGAAAAAGCTTTAAATGATTATTTAAGCAAACAAAAGAACATTTTAAAAAATCGTGATATTAAATATGTACATGTACAAAAAATACGTTATGCAATGGAAATGTCTGAAAGTGCATGTCGAAACTTAGATGATGATTATGAATTAATGAGCTCACGAAAAGGCTTTAAACGGTAAAAATAATTTATTAAAATATTATGTTGTCAAACAGTTTCTCGTCGAGTTCTTATCATGATTGAGAAAAAGCGCATTAAGAGAGACAGTTTCAGTTGCTTGCCTACGGCATCTATAGTATTGATCGAAGAAGTTTTTAAACCAGCTTTAGTTCATCCTGATTCTGTGTAATTTGAAGCACATGATAAATTGATCTTCTTTATGATAATCATACAAATTGAACTGAAAAGCGATACTTGCTATACTATGAGTACTTTTTATAATCGTATTGCACAATTGTTTACTTTAAAAAAAGCTCCTATTTAAGAATAGAAAAGTCTAATTTTTTTTTGTTTTTTTTTGAGGTATAAAATATCTCTCTAGATTCTTTTAAGATGTCTAGTAAATTGAATATATTCATATATATTAGATCTTTGATTTTAATAGAAAAAATCACACAGAACTAGCTTTTCTATTTATGTTAATTAGATAGAATGTTTTGAATATACGTTATGGCGATGGCAAGTACAGTTTTTGACAAATGCAGCCACGTAGTTTGAAAAAAAGAAGTCGGCTATTCTTTCTAATTGATATTTCATCTAGCGCATGAATTGAGTTACATTCTCTACAAGGAAAATAAAAATATTGTTTCTTTTTTAATCCTTATAGGTAAAAACTCGATTCTACGTTTCATATTATCATTTGATTTTCTTGTTCTTTATTAGATATTATACAAGTGAATTACGTGAATTACTTGAAGAATTAACTGAAAGCGAAAAAAAGAAAGAAATAGCATTAAAAGATACAACAAGTAGTTTATTTCGTCATTTTGATAGTCATCATGAAACATTCCAACGTGTACTTAGTTGTCTAAGTACACTAGATGTATTACTTAGTTTCACAGCTTATAGCCAATCATGTGCAGATATGTGTCGACCAGTTATTCTTCAAATAGAAAATGATCAGCAACCATTCATTAATATTCGTGATGGTAAGCATCCATGTATGCTTGAAAAAGCCACAAGTACATTTATTCCAAATGATATTATTCTTGCCGATAAAGTAAAGTCAAAAAACTCTTTTCTTTTTAATCGAATTCATTTTTCTTTTATATTTTAGTCATCAAATGAAGAATGGCAAACAAAACCGTTAGTACTTGTTACAGGTCCAAATATGGGTGGTAAATCAACATTAATGAGAGAGACAGCCGTACTTGCTATATTAGCACATGTTGTAAGTTTACACTCTATTATAAGATTAGTGGTATAATAAAATAAGCTATATAACGGTGTTCAGTCTTGGAGACATATCTGTATAGGAAGTAAAGATTCCGTTGTTAAGACTGCTAGAAGGAACAGTAACATATTACTAATCGAAACTAAACTTTGGATAGAGAGAGAGAGAGAGAGAGAAAGCAGAATTGTTGTCTACTTACGTTATTAACAAAAAATATAAATTTTATAATAAAACTATGAATTATTTTAGGGAAGTTATGTGCCAGCAGTGTCCTGCACCATGAGTGTTTGTGATCGAATTTTTACACGTTTGGGTGCTAGTGATCGAATTATGGCTGGTGAATCAACATTCTTTGTTGAATTAAGTGAAGCATCATCAATTTTACGTCATGCTACTCGTCATTCTTTAGTACTCATTGATGAACTTGGTAATAAAATTGAATACGTTAAGTATTCATTTTTATATTAAATATGTTTTATTTCAGGACGAGGTACATCAACATTTGATGGAACAGCTATTGCTTGTTCTGTTGTTAATGATCTGGCAAATCGTATTCAATGTCGAACATTATTTAGTACACATTATCATACATTAGTTGATGATTTTGAAAAACATGAAAAAGTTGGATTAGGCCATATGGTATGGATTTATGAGTTGTGTCATTGATTAATGTATTTTTGTTTAATTTTAGTCATGCATGATCGAAAAGGACGAAGAAACATCAACAAAAGAAATACTTGTTTTTCTTTATAAATTTGTCGAAGGTTCATGTCCAAAAAGTCACGGATTTAATGCAGCACGTAAGTAAATCGATACAATAAAGAATAGAATATTTTATATTATTTGCTTTTAAAGGTTTGGCTAATATTCCTGAGTCAATTGTTGAATTAGCACAAACAAAAGCCTCAGCATTTGAACGATGGGTAACACTTAAGCGAATATTGTTGACGATGAAAAAAGTAACTGATAGTTTACAACAGCACGATATTCTTCAATTCTTATCACAATTAAAACTACATTGAATATTATTATTATTATCATCTTTCTTTTTTATCTTCTATATCTATGTGCGTGAGTGAGAACAAACGAGGTATATGTGTGAAAAATAATCATGAGAATTTATTTGTACTGTTACTAGAAAAAAAAATGCCTAAATTAGATCTTCTTTTTCTTTCTTTTCTTTTTTTCTCTATTATTTATTTTTTGTATTTTGAAAATCATAGCCAAGGTCTTATTTTTTTTGCCTGTAATGAACAAAACATTAAGAAAAACAAAAGAAGATTACATTTTTGACGGCTTTGATTTCATTTTTGCTCTTTGTGCGCGTGTGTTTATCAGCTGTTGATGACTCATACTGATTACAAAAAAATCATGAGTTGGATGGGGTGAGTGAATGAAATGGCACGCACACAGCTAACGTTGCGTCCTCTAGGGTAGACTCAGTAGAACTGTATGTAAGTGTGTCACCTAAAGATATTTACGTTTTTTCTTCTCTCTCAACCAATATTTTTTCCATCGAATATTTCAACTGAATCATGGAACTAGTGATACTGAGTGTCAGTTTGAGGCAGAATATTCGGTTGGATCTAAATAATTTTGTATCGATTTCTTAAATGTTTTGATCAGTGGTGATAATAAGAAAAAAATACAGAGAATTCAATTGTTCTATTTTTATTTTTGGAATAAAAAAATATATTTAACATTTTGTTTTTAGATCTTGTTGTTGCTTTTTTACACTAATAAACCAACAAGGATAATATACAATGGCATCACGTAAGAAAGTTTTACTTAAAATAATTATATTGGGCGATTCTGGTGTTGGTAAAACATCATTAATGAATCAATTCGTAAATCGAAAAGTAAGAATAATTGTGTTTGATTTTTATTTGCATAATATAATTTCTTTAGTTTTCAAATCAATATAAAGCGACAATCGGTGCAGATTTTTTAACAAAAGAATTACAAATTGACGATCGTCTTGTTACAATGCAGGTAATTCGATTTAATTTTAAAAAGAATTGACAAAATACTAGAGACTTTTTTGTTTTTCAAGATTTGGGATACAGCCGGTCAAGAACGTTTTCAAAGTTTAGGCGTTGCGTTTTATCGTGGTGCTGATTGTTGCGTTCTCGTTATGGATGTAACGTCACCAACATCATTTAAATCGTTAGAAAGTTGGAAAGATGAATTTCTTATTCAAGCTGGACCACGTGATCCAGAAAATTTTCCATTTGTCGTAAGTTTCTATATTGATACGATTAAATATTCAAACAGAAAATATCGATTCCTATTTCTATTATTATTAAGGTACTTGGGAATAAAATTGATTTAGAAAATCGAATGGTAATTTTTTTTAAAATTTTAGTCTATTTCAAATAATATTTTTCTTGTTTAGATTTCAATGCGTAAAGCACAAAGCTGGTGTCAAGGTACAACAAACATATATAGCTATTTTAATATCAATCATATTTGTTGGTTTTTTTGTCTTTAGAGAAAAATAATATTCCTTACTTTGAAACATCAGCTAAAGAAGGTATTAATGTTGAAAAAGCATTCGAAGCTGTTTCACGTAATGCATTAGCACGTGAAAAAGAAATTGATCAACAAACTGATTTTCCAATGCCAATACGCATTCCACAACAAGAAGAACAACCAAAGCAAGATGGATGTGCATGTTAATATAATAAACTAGTAAGTATAGTATTCTATTCTTTTTTTTTCGTTCTTTCTTTCTTTTTTTGTATATAAGCAAAAAAATTAAACATTCAAGCTATTTCCATATTTCTCCTAATCTGTTTTCAAAGAAAAACAAATGCCATGTCTATGTCCTCTTATTGTAACGTTGATCTTTTTTTCTGTATCTATTTAACTTTCGCGAGTACACTGATTTCAATCTTTTTCGTTTTTTCGTTTGTGTAAAAACAAATTTAAGATTATACGCAATATTGACTTTATTAAAATAAAGAAATTGTTTAGTCTTCTAAAGTAAATCTTCGAAGAGTCAATTTGTTTATCTATGATTCAATCGAATGACGGAGTCATTTTACATCATTAGATAAATGTACATTTAGCAATTTGATAATAACAACAACAACAACAACATATATGCGAATTTGATAAATAAACAGCAAAGCGTTTACGGATTATGCGTAGCTCGTTTATATCATTCGAGAATGGTCAGAAATTAATCAAATAATTCTGCACATTAGTAGATTTTCATAGATTATTAAACTTGCAAGAGTTTCACATGTGCATACACTTTAGCTTAATTAATAAGCATCGATTTGCTTGAACATTAAAGTTGTTTATTTATGGATAGGATGAAAAATATTCCGGTAAAGCAAATGATTTTCAAAAAGTCGCCTATTATCATTTTTACACACAGCTACCAAAGCCAACCAGACGATCCTCGAGACTTTTTTTAAGTCAAATTAACAAATATCTTTATGCATTCAAAATGTCATGTCCTTCAAAAAATCTTGTGAGAAATATAACTTTAGAAAAGGCTTGAGAATTAAGAACTGCTAGCTGAACTATTTATGAAATAAAGAAACATACTTGGTAAATCGTGCAAACTGAAAGTGCTCATTGAGAATGCATCAAATCAAATTCTACAATACGCTGGATGCGCGTAGAATAACTGACAGAAAACATATTTTAATGAATTAACAATTCGATATTTATTTTTCACGATTAAATCTAGTTCACTTCAGTCTAATTCAGTCAAAGTCAAGAATGGGACTTGCATTTCATTGAACTTATAATTTGTGGATTTCTAGGCCTTTTGACTTGTCAAATCTTGAACATTTTCATAATTTAATCCAATTTATTTTTGATTGTCCGATAATTGCAGTAGCGAATTAAAAAATCATCACAATTTAATTATCAAATAACTGAACAGTATTTCTCTTTTAATTAGAAATAGAGTCTAACTACACACAATTATCACTTGTGATTCTCGTTTTCAGACGACCATCAAGTTTGAGGCTTGCTCTTTTCACCTATAGATGTTCATTGCTAATAACGAGAACAATGAAGTTTCACTGTTCGACGTAGATGTTGCTAGACAAAATGATGCATAAATCGTGTGCATTTTCTTAAAGAGATAATCACGTTTTACAGATAATTAATAAAATAAATGTTATATCTGAAAAACAACAAAAGTTAAATTCATTCTTTACAAGTAAATAATTGTTTCAAATGAGTTTAGCTCATCAGAGTAGTCAACAACAGGATTAAATTATTAATCATGTGTGGATACTCATGAATACTTTGCAATAATTACTTATGAATGAAAAAATTCATAGAATACACCAATACCCGACTGATATAAATGAGATAATGATCTTTTACGGTAATGAAAAATAAGACAATTATATCAATCATACATATGGTTTCTACGTCAGTAAAAACAGATATACATACGTATATCCGTTTCGTACAATAGTTTTTCTTACTTAACACGATCGATCAGTAATAAATATATGTATATACATGACGTTTCATCCAAACTAAATCTAGCGTTAGATATTTTGTCGATTTTCTCTCAAGAAAATAATAGATTTCAACAATTAAATAACTTGAATATAAATTACTTCATACGAAATAGTTATTTTTTATTAATGGTTTCACAAAGTGTCCTTTTGATCTTTTACTTTGAAGTGATGGATGCATAAATCAAATAGTCTTTATAAACTGAGCATTTTAATAGGAATTATTTTAAGATAATTTATGTCATATTTTAGTTCGAGAGAAGTTAGACTTTTTAATTGAGCTAATTTCTACAGCTGCTGATATCTCTATTGTAAAGATATAACTTTCTTTCAAACTAAATACATTACAAAACTTGTGATAGATTACTATGATCATCAAGTTTAAAGTTTATTTAAATTACTGAAGTCAAAATGATTTTCTTTTTCAAAATACTACCAAAATAAAACAGATTGATCGATTTGGATCAAGTATCAGATCAGGTTGCAAAATTTTCTCGGTTTATATCTCAACTATGATTGATTATCCTGAACTCATCAGTCGAATTTTCTTTTTCGTCTAAACAGAGATTCAATTCGATCAGTTCGATAGAATACAAGAGGAAGGATTGACATTCATTTGTTAATGTTACGGTTTGATAATATTGCTGATCAAATGTAGACTGAAAAGTTGAATCATAAAATTCAAAAATATATTAGTTTTCATCTGTAAAAGCAGAAGTTGCAACTTTTTTTTGAAATATGGATATAACTCTAGACATTATCAATATGATGATGGAATGCTTCTTCAATTTAAGTATCAAAAAGTAGCATTTGAAATCTCTAATTCGAAAGTTTCTTTTCTCATGAGTACTATCAAGAGAAAGCTGCACTCGTTTTCAAATTAATATCACGCACACAAAATGAACTGGTCTTCAATGACAAAATACACACATATATTTATAGAAACTTTAATATCAAGTTTCAAATCAGTACACAATGTCATACGGTTGAACAGACGATAAAAAATAGTTTTATTTTTCAAACAGTCAGAATATTTGCATCCTAAATTGCAGAATGCAAGCTTAACTCAATATTGAATAACTATTAGATTTTCAATTCTGAAATGAGCTGAGAAATATAGTGCTCATTCATTCTCATTTTTTTTTCATAAATATAAATAATTGGAAGTTGGTTTCATTGAATTACTTTTTATTTTCACATACGTATTAACAAACACAATCATAAATACATAAACCAATGAAAAAAGAAATGATGATAGCTATACAAAAATAAAATGATAATATGTTTAACGATGTTTTACATCTAGGTTAATTATGCCTGTTTAAAGTCATTATATGAATTAAGAGTAATGTTCGAATTATGTATTATTTATACCAGTTTGATTTGGTGCAAAATCACGCAACAGTTTCCTTCGGATAAATTGATTCAGTTCACGCCTGAATAAGAGTGACGATAAAGTACACACAAAAAATGTTAAAGGAAATTCAAGCTAAATAAAAAAATAGCTCATATTGCTAATAAATAATTCTATTGTCAGATGAAGAGATGATTTTGTATAATTGATTGTTATTGTTCAATAAAATAGATAACAAGGATTGAGAATATTCAAAAGAATCCAAAGACATATTTGATTGAATAACATTTTAGAGATTTGTGCATCTCTTTTCGATATTCTACTAAGTGGTGAAGGCCATGTTGTACTAGTTATTGCTAATGGTCTTATTTTTCGTTTGCTTTGCCGAATATTATTGAGTGCAAGGAATCCAAATGTAAGCGTGACCAACGGTGAACATAAGTCACTTTCAATCGAGAGATAAATATTGCAGAAAATACCATAAGCACCATTTCGAAATGAACAATCATCCGTGTGAATTTCATAAAAGATGAGAACTTGATCAGAAGAACTAGCGAAATAACGATTCATTCATGCAAACATAATCTAATAACATGAAGTGGCAACAAATATATAGAAAAAATAATAACGTATCTTGCAATACCAAAGTAAAGTTTTGACTGCTTGAACATTGAAATCAAAATACAGAATTCGTGTGAGAAGAGCAGAATTGAAAGTTATGAACTAACAAACAGTAGACACCAAAAAGCAAGGGGGAAAAGACGGATTTGTGGGATTTTCAAAATCCCACAAATCCCACAATTGAAAAGCATCCCCTCACCCTTTTGAATGACGTAGTTTCGACCTAAAATTCTTCCCATATAAAGGTTTCATTGTCCATAGAAGATTCTAATAGTTTCAGCTCGAACAAGTGTTTCCTTCATAAAATATTGAATTTTCAAAAAAAAACTGTATTTTCTGACCATGCCGTGAAATGAGCATTTCTTGCGCATTCATTATCTTGAGAAAAAAACGTCCGTTTGCGCTGAAAATTTTAGACTACTCTAAGGATCATGAGACTTACATTTGGAAAAAGATTCAGATGGAAACTTCATCATTCACATTTTGGATTTTGAAAATCCAAAATCCGCCTTTTCCCTCCTTGCTAAAAAAATGCATAATGCATGGATTCTTGCGAAGAGTTGATTGACAAAAGATACAGAAATTCATAATGGATCCAAAATTTCCGACGAGCCAAGTTAAACTCATAACATATATTGTGATATTTTCATTCACAATAAGAATACACTGAATTCAATGTGTCTCATTATAAGCAGTCATAGAATCTGCGCTGTTTAACATTTGCAATAGATACGTCTATAAAGTCGTAAGAAAAATAAATAAATATCAAGCAGATTGAACTAAAGGATTTCTCTAGTTATAATTCTTCCAAATTTTTCTTTCTAGAAAAAGATATCGTTTTACATGGAAAAAGTTTTTCAGCTGAAAATCGTCACTATATTTCATATAAGATTTAGCGTCATCTCCATCATTTTGACTCCTTACGTACAGAATATGCCCTAGAATGCGAAAGATAGGCTACATGAAATATGGTGTCTGATAAAAAGCCGACTCGAACGTAATAAAATTTTATTTAGATCAATTTTTATTTACTTGCTATTTGTTTGACTGAATCTACAACACGTTCAATTCAAAAGTTCATAATATGAAAACTATTTGCTCTATTTTTCGAGATTGTTTTAAGTATGAACACCTCAAAGTTTGATCATTGATAACACATACATATAAATATATATTATAGTTTAAAATAATCCTAATGTCTTAACATTAAGTTACTTCCTATGAAAAATAATAATATAACAGTCAGTATTGAAACTAATTAATAGTCGAATAATCAACTGTTAATAATCGAATCTAATACAGTGATACCAATGAGTTCTGTCGATGTATATGGATCTTGTGTTATAAAAGCCACAGATGCATTAACTTGTTTGCCTAAAATTGAATCCACTCTTGTAAAACCATCTTGAGTAACAATCAATGGGAGTTGCTGAACGACCATAGTGAAAGCTCGTGGATAAGACGCAGCTAGAAATGCAGCTAAAACATCGTACATGGTACTTGTACCATTTTCAGGACTAAAAGGTTTCATGGCATCATTATGCTTTCCGCCATTATTATACCAAACTGTATACGAATTAATAACTAATTGCACATGTTTATTTTGATTAAGAAATGTAAGAAATGTTTGCCATTCAGAACCATAAAATTGCATAAAATTTGTAGAATCAAGTGGAGCTAAACCGAAATAAGCCCATGACGCATTAAACACGATTTGAGCTGCCGGAATATCAACAGCAACATTATATTCTTTTGATGGTTGACTTGAATTGTCATAACCACGATAGATGGATCCTGCCATGGCAAATAGACGAATATAATTTAATGTTTCCGGTTGTAAATGTTGCAAAACGTGTCCCAATGATGTAGTTGGTGAAATTTCAATGAGATTGTAAATATTATTCGGATTAGCTTTTTGCATTTCCTCTAATAAAGCTTCTTCTCCATTTTTATATACTATTCCTCCATCCTGTTGGAACTGATCTAGAGTGTAATTTTGTGCCCATTCATATTCAAAAATATTTGTTGTGCCCGTATTTTGACCTATCGCTATTGGTACATCGAAACGATCAAATATTGCTAAAGTTTTTGCAACAATTTGAGCACGTGCCGTAGTATTATATGTTGAACAGACAACAAGTTTCAAGTCAAATATAGATGGATTTGCTAAAATATATGTTAATGCCAATTGATCATCGTAATCCGAACCAATATCAGTATCTAAGATAGTTAGGATTGGTTTGCTATGAATTCGATTAATTGAAATAGTAAGCCAAAGTAAAACTAATATTAATATCTTCATTTTTCTTCTTTTTCAAAAGATATGTTTAGGATTCTTTCTTTTTCAACATCAAAAAAAGATTTAAAAAAAAAAGAAGGTAAAAGTAGCTTTTATCTTTGTTATCTTACCTGTCTGCTATACGTATATAATTATTATTATCATTTTACATAAATTTAGTCTTCTTCATAAAAAATGAATAGTGTACTTCGAATCAGAACCAGTCAAAATGTTGTTAAATATCTCAATAAGTTTCACTCTTTCAACAGATAAATATATTTAGCATGATGTATAATTGAGTAAATCTAATAAGTCATTGAGAGATAATAATTAGAAACGCTTTATAACTCAATGAATCGACAGCAAAACGTTAACCTATGGCAGTCTAGATTTCTGCAAAATTTATGAGTCCTATATAACTAACATGCTTCCTATCCCTCATTCGAGCCACGATCGTCTTTAATAAAATATACTAATATTCTGAAACGATAGATACTTTTGGAAGAAACTTCATTCACTACTACTCATTCGGTACCAACGAAACACATCAACGACAAATCAAGTACTTTGAACATGTCGTATTGAAAAGCTTCAAGTTCGGATTTAGACATCAACTGACACATAACGATGCGTATCAATGCGATCCGACGTTAAGTTTACAGGTCTTTTTCTCATTGACTGTAGCTATTTGTTGACACTCTAATTCTCAGAATGTTTCAAATAAATTTTCTTACGACTCATATAAGTATGTCGTTGTTGTTGTTGTTGTTTCGAAAATAAAGTAAAGAAAAATATCGAACATCAGTTAAACATGTGTACCCGAAGAACAAAAGATATTCTTTTTGTTCGGATCAGACCTAAATGTTTGATAACTTATCAGTTACTAGTCGATAAAGAATAAAAAACACTCGCGACGTCCATGATCTCTACGTAGATAGTATATTGTAACTCGAGAAAAAATTTATGTTCATTCGGTTAATCTCTCATTTTTTTACCATTGTATTCAACTATTTATGATATAGAATCTATAGAAAATAAAAATCCATGATAGAGTTAAATACTAAGAAGTTGACTACATCACAAGATCAATGTGTTTCGAAGTTAGGATATTCACAATATTTATAGATCCCACTCATGGTTAATCTTTTCTATTTTGAGCATTATAGATGATAATAATCCCATAGATCTCTATTATTTGCACACTAATTGTAGACAAATTTGCATGCTTTCAATACTCTTTGGAGTTATAAGCAAAGGGAAGATAATCTATTTGAATAACAATATATATGTCACAGTTGACATGAGAATTTCAGTTGAGATTGGAATGCGCGAAATAAAATTATTTGAATTTCTTTTTTTTTTCTTCCTGCTCGTGTTTCATAAAATAAAATATATTTAAATGGAAAAAAGATTTTACTATTAAATTGAATCGAATGAATGAAAGAAATTATAGGTAAATGATTACCTTGTGCTTTATGTATAATAATAAAAAAAAAAAAATTTTTTGTTTTGTTTAAATTCTACCGGTATGAGTCATAATATAATTGATCTCCTCTGAATTAATCATCATATGGTATTATAAGGATGTTTAGTACATTTTTATATTTGATTTATAAAAGTTGTATAAATAAAAAAAAAAATTTTTCTCAGATAAATTCAATGTCCCCATAGTTTAACAAATCTACAGAGAGTTAAATTTATATGAAAACCTTGTAAAAAGATGGAAGGAATAATTATCAATACAAAATTTTCTAAAGGCAGATCTCAACAAAAATTCTATTAAAAAAATTAAGAAAAAGCTATTCCAAACTCAACTAAATTCCAAACTCGCCTGCCACATATATATAGATATAATATTTTTCAAAGTTAGATAATGCAGCATTAAATCCTAAGAAAAGCATGGTTATTGATATGTTTACTGGCTTGTTCAAAAGTGTTCGTGTTCTTAATTTTATTATAGTAAGTATGGTTACACATGAAACAGTAAGCACAACAAAGAGAGAAAAAAATAGGATCAATTCCATGTATACTGTTATGCTGTTTCTCTATAAGATTGAATTGAAATTGATATTGCTTGATGTTGAAGATGATGATGATGATGATGATGAATTGGACGATATAGTTTGTTCATCGAGATGTGTTTTTTTGTGTAATTTTAAATGAACAAGTTGTGTAAAACGTGCTGAACATGAATTATTTGGACATAAATATGGTTTATCTCCAGTGTGTAAACGAAGATGAGTTTTTAAATTTGATGTTGATGAAAACCTTTTTGGACAATATTGACATGAATGTGGTCGTTCACCTGAATATAAAATATATAGTAAATAATAATTTTAGAACTATTAACTTTGTTATTTTAATATACCTGAATGAACAAGTGTATGCTTTTGAAGATGTGCAAATTGTGTAAATGATTTTGGACATTGTGTGCATACAAAGGGTCTTTCATTGGTATGTGTTCTTAAATGTACTTTAAGATTTGATAATTGACTAAATGTTTTATGACATTGAACGCATTCATAGATGATTTTTCCATTTTCTTTTCGCAATGGATATGGTAAGGATTTATGACCTCGGCCATGAACTACAGTTGTACTTATTGTCGTTGTAGATGATGATGATGATACTGTTGTTGTCGTTGTTGTTGTTGTTGCTTTTGGTGAAGAATTTTTACCTAATATTCTTTCGATAGAAAAATTTAATGGTGATGATTTATTAATAGTTGAATTGGATTGTGTCGATGAATGAACTTTTTCAGAAGCTATCAAAAATTCAAAAGAAAAAACATTCCCAAAAACCAAAATATGAACATAATACAAGACCTATTGGTTGAACGAGAGTTTTTTGACGATGAGTTGAATTTGACATTAAATAATTTCGTTCATCTCTAGATTTCAATGGTGTATTTGAAGAGTTTGCTTGTAAAGCATACGGGAAAATGAATGGTAACTGTTATAGGATGAAATAAAGTTTTAAAAATTCAAAAAAAATGTTCTTCTTTTTCTTTTCTTTATTGAATCTTACACGAAGATCTCCATGCCCAGAAAATTCACGAAGAGGCCATCGGCCATGTGATTGCTATGAGAGGAATTTAACGATAAAAAAAAAACAAATACAAGACATTTTCAATACCTTCTGTTCACCAAACCATCTTGCTGATTGTGGTCTAATCATTCGATGAATAAATTCATGTGGAGGAATTATTGTATCATCATCATCATTTTTCATATTAGGAATATGGCAATATGGATACTGTTTATTATGGATCATATCTATGAAATTTTATAACAAAACTAAAGTATTTTATCTGCATACAATTTACTTTTTGCTGTATCACTTTTCATCATTATCATCCGTACTCAGTAACATGTAACAGTTGGAAGTAGTAGCTACGAAGAAAAGAAAGTTAATTATTCGTCTTAGTACGAGAGAGAAAAGTAAAGGAAAAAGAATTTTATCCAATCAATTTTCTCTCCGAGAATATTTTTTTCTCCTCTGATTTCTTTTCACAATAAACCAATGAGAACAAAAGCAATCAAGTCTATTCGCCCTCGTTTCTTAATAACAGACATTTCATCGATTAACTGATCTACTCTATTCTAAAATAAACAATTGTATGTGTGTCCATATGTAGGAGGACGATAGTTGACTATGCTCGAATAATAATTGATTTGAAGTATATTATCAGGTATCTCTATTACATGACTGCAGAATAAAAAGCCTATTAAACAATAGCGAACACAATCAATAAGAATTTTATTCGATGTTTTTGATGATCACATATAAGAGTATGAGTACTTAAAATTAAAATAGAAATAAAAGTTTATTTAAAAAGAAAAATAATAACATATAAATGACCACTCGAAATTCAATGAATGAACAATCTGTTCTAGGAAATAAATGTTATTTTTATTCTGTATTCTATTAAAACCATGTTGTATATTTTTATAAAAATTAAGCCAAGTAAAGATGAAATATGTAATCGACAGTGTCAGTTTTCTATTTTGATGAAAGAATATGAAGAAGAGATCTGAGAAAATTTAATTTGTGGGTAAAGCAATTGGAGAACTGTCATTTGATTGCGATTGAATAGATTCATTCTATTTGTGTTTGTCTCGTGTTAATTCATGCTTGAACTTGATTCGTTTATATTTGCGTCATAAGTTAATCAGTGTCGAATGGTGTAATCATCGACTTTCTTCTTTTCCGTGTTCTTCTTCTCCTCTTCGTATTTTATTCAATGAAATTTGAGAACAATAACAAAGCAAATCGTTTGAACATAAAATAGGGTGGAGTCATGTCGCCGTCTTTTCATATAGAAAAAGGCTGATAAGACGAAGACAAAAAAAAAACGAGACGTTTAAAGTGCTGTCAAATGACATTTTTCTTCTGTTGTCGATAAGAATTGAGTCTTTGTCTTCTTGTCACCCTCCTGTGCATATTCTTTTTCTTTTCAATAATCATGAAGATAATTAGAGAGACTAAAAAAATCACCTTTATATTTATATACATATATATCAAAAGGTGTGGAGATAATGAAATGTACTGGAAAATTCATTTTGACATGCGAAGTATCAATACTATATTTACTTAAGACAAAAAGAAAATGATAGCAAACAGGAAGATTACTTGAGAAAATAAATATATCAATGCATTCTTCCATCAATCACAGAAGATGTGTTGAAAGATGCAATAAACGATATCATCATAGAGTTATTGACATAACATGGAATGTCTATTTTCTTTGTCGTCTAAACTCGAACAGATTTTGAAGGCATTGTTGTATGACGATTCATATTTTGTCGACATTGTTGTTCATGTTGAATTAAACGAGTCCGATCGACCGAAATTTTTTTATGACAATTTGTACAATGTGTTAAATCATTAAAAAAAGAATCGTTATTAAATGGTGAATATGATGGTTGTATATTTACAACATTTTGATGTTCATGCAAATCAATTAGTTCATTGAGAAACCATTCATTTGGCATTGTTGAATGTATAACCTGAATGGGATTAGCTGAAGGAAATTTTGTTGATGGACGTTTATGATGAAAATGATGTTTAGAACGAGTATTTGTAGCTTGACGAAATAAACGATCATTATTAAGATAGATTGGCGATGATGAAGGCATGTGACGATTACTATCCAGATTATTATTCATTGAATTGAATATTTGAGTATATAGATTACGATAACTTGATGAATTCGTCATTTTAGATGTAAAATCGGAATCTTGAAAAAATTGTATATCATTTAATATGTCGAATGGATCTATAGGAGTAGACATGAATTGATCGAATGTATGAAGATTAAATGAATCTAAATAAAACAGTAGATAAATAATTCTTTCATTCATTTTTTTTATTCATAATTAGTTTTCTCTTACCTTGATTTGGTTCCGTATAATTCATATTTGTTGTCGCTGCCTTTTTTGTTTCAAATCGTGCATTTCGCTTTCGTTGAGATGACATCGCACGTTGTTCATCGTATTCTCGTCTTCGATTGTCATCACTTAATACATCGTATGCTTGTTTAATTTTCTTGAATTTTTCTTCAGCATCGCTATCTTTATTACGATCTGGATGCCAAAGAAGCGCCAAACGTTTGTAAGCTGTACGAATATCAGCTGCTATTGCATGTCGAGTAATACCTAATTCCTTATAATAATCCATCATTGATGGATTTGAAACCATTTTGTAAGATTCGTCTTAGTTGAATATGAAAAAAAAATTTTTGTGTTCGCCTAGTAATCCTAGCTAATATTAAACAGAAAAAAGAAGAGCGAGTAGAAGAATGGCAATCAAATAAATGAGAAAAATATTTTATTTGATGTCCTTCTCTTCAGCAATCTAATGAGAAGGGTCATCAGCATACAGTGCACTTTTTTTTATTGATGAACATGAATGCATATCTGTGTGTGTGTGTATTTGATATAAAATTTGATAATGAATAAGAAAAAAGAAAGCGAAGCATGAAGGTAAATGAATGAAAGTATAGAAGTCCTTCGTCATCTTATTCTGTATGCAAAAACATGACGGTTACGCTTGACCTATTATTGAGCATGATTGTGGCAAAAATGTAATACGGTTTTGTACGTTTGTATTTTTATTTGAGCATTAGTGAATATATATATATATATATATTACAAAGTAACGGTTTATTGAATCTTACATAAGAAATGAACAGATTCGATCGGTTGAAAACAAAATTTGATTACTGCTCTTTTTTCTCTGTGTTATTATCGGTGGAGACAGAGCATATTAGTTGTAACTAATTTGTTTTATATTACACAAAATTCGAAGATGAGAAAAGCTGAGGATTGTATATAAAACGATTGTATTTGCAAAATATTTTAATTTACCATACACATGAATGATTGTCAAAACTTGCTGAACGGTTCGTATCGTGAATAATTTCATTGATATGTTTTATCGAAGAAAGTACAGTGATCAGAATTCAATTTCGACCGACTAAATATGTGATATGTATATAATGTAAAACGTTTTGACCAGTGATTTAGATTTAATCGTGAAGAGCGGATCATTCACGGGAGTACAATTTCAATGGCAACTGAGTGTAGTAGTTTCAAAACTCTATTTGAATAATCATACTGATTCATATCGAATTTTAACAAATAAGAAGATCTTCTATAAAAAAAAAAGTATTTTGTCAATAAAGATTATTGTTCGACTTTGTATAGATTTCTAAAATAGTTTCAAATTCTGATCCGTCAATTGTATAGAAGTCGTAGAACTATAGTTTATTTCGAATGCAACTTTATTCAACTGCTATTTAGTGTATATTGCATTCAACTAATCTTATACTATTTTATTTTCATACATATTCAGTGAAAATCTCCCAGGACAATCCATATAAATTTAAATAGGGTAAACAGTCTAAGAAATTCATTAAATTACGATACCAACTTGAAATGGCTGAAGATTTCAACAAGATATATTTGCAGTGGGCTTTTTTCACGATTCTTCCCTTCTATCTAAACACTACTTCGGTTGGCCAGTAATATTTCAAGAGAGATTGCCCATCTCTGGCAAATCCTGGTTACATTGAACAGGAATGTCGCACTGTTGGTCTCGGGAATAATTAACTTTCTCTTAATCTTGATCATCTGAAGATGTTCTTCAATCTAATTTAAGAAAGTAGATTTGAATTCAACACTTTATTGCCTAAATAATAATCTGATTAGATTTTTATAGTGTAGACTTCTGTAGTAATAAAAAAAAATTTTAGTCTGGTGATGTCGTGCATATCTTGGATTTGTCAGCAGATGTCGCAAATATGTACTCGTTTGATAAATTATAGACGAATTATATTTGATTTACTGGAATAAAAGAAACAAAGAATATGGGCTATTTTAATTCATTATTCATCTGTAAAAGATACTTTCAATCGTCGAATATTTCTTTGCAATACAACATACTGACTAATAATGCAAAATACAGTGCGAGATTATCAAGCTGATAAAAGTAAAAATGCAAATATAGCTTCAATTTATACAATTTTCTGGTATTAAATAAATCATTTTTTTGTTTAGATAAAATTAAAGATTTCCTTAACGAATTCGAAGTTGATACAGCGGATGGTTATAAAGCATCAAAATATGTTAAACAATTAGTAATTTGAAGATGTTTTATTTTTGCACTAATTTTACTTTTTTTAATGTGAATTCTGTAGAGAAATTTAGCTAATCGTGAACAAACAACACTAGTTATTGATATCGATGATGTTGCTACAGTTGATCCTGAATTAGCTGATGCTATTGTTGAAAACTCTCGTCGTTATATTCAATTATTTTCACAGGTGGTTCAAGAACTGTTGCCTGAACTTAAAGATAAAGAAGTAAGTTTTATTTTGATCAAAAACAAAAATTTTCCTATACATAATTCATATTTAGATTGAAAATAAAGATGTGTTAGATGTTTATATTGAACATCGTGCATTGATGGAACAACGAATACATCATAATTCGGATGAAGCACGTGATCCAATGAATCGCTATCCAGAAGAATTAATGAGGCGATTGTAATACTCATTTTTCTAGTATTAAATAGTGAATTTTCTATTTCCCTTTTTTTTGTGTTAGTGAACTTTATTTTAAACCGCCACAAACACAAAAATCTTTATCTGTTCGTCAAGTTAAATCAAATAATATTGGTAAATTAATATCAGTTAAAGGTGTTGTTACTCGTACGACTGAAGTTAAACCAATGATTAGTGTAGCAACATATACATGTGATGTATGTGGTTCAGAAACTTATCAACCCGTAAATATTCTTTGTTGCTGTAACTGAATTCAATAGAAACATGATTCAATTTTTTATTTTAACCCATAGATAACATCACCAACATTTATGCCACTTGTTATGTGTCAAAGTCAAGATTGTGTAACAAATAAATCTGGCGGACGTTTATCGTTACAAACACGTGGATCAAAATTTATCAAATTTCAAGAAGTTAAAATTCAAGAACAAGTACATTTTATGCAATCTAAAACGAGATAGATGATAAAACAAATGCTTTTCCGTTTAACTTAATATACAAAAATGCTTATTGACGTTTCATTGAGTTAAAAATAGTTTGTTCATTATAATCAATTATAGTCTATCTCGCTGTATCTCTTTATTTGTTTCGAGGTTTCTTGTCAGACAAGATTGGACAACTAATAATGTGATAATTTCAATATAGGGATTGGAAACAAAACTACTTTTGATCAATTTTAAAACTTTCTATTTTTTAAAATAGCCTGTGAAACAACTATTATTTTTTTCAATTTAGTAAAACTTGTTCAATCTTGCTACAGAAAGCATATATGGATAAAAACTTTTGTTAATGGATTTAGTTATTTCTAATTAAATGAAGCGAAAAATGAGCGAATATTTCATCACTGAGAGCACGCGCTATGAATCGAATCACGCATGTTTCATTTAGACAGATCAAGTACCTGTTGGTAACATTCCACGTTCAATGACAATATGGTGTCGAGGAACGAACACACGTTTATCTCAACCAGGTGATCATGTTGCTATTAGTGGAATATTTTTACCGTTACTTCGAACTGGCTTTCGTCAAATGACTCAGGGTCTTTTATCGGATACTTTTCTTGAAGCACATGTAAGTGAATTTTTATAAAAATCGAAAATATTCAATCAGTCTTTTTTACTTTTGTTTTTTTTGTAGCGAATCGTTTTATTGAATAAAAGTGAAAATGAAGAAATGGAGAATAGCGAACTTAGTGAAGTTGAATTGGCGGATTTATTTGCTGGTTCGTTTAAATTTAAGAAAATTTTAATTCGAACATTTATTGTTGGTTCTTGTTGTCGTTGAATAGAAAAGGATTTATATGACCGTTTGGCATTGAGCATAGCACCAGAAATTTATGGACATGAAGATATCAAAAAAGCTTTACTTCTGCTACTTGTTGGAGGTATTGATAAATCTCCACAAGGAATGAAAGTTCGAGGTATGTAATTTTTTATGGAAATTTTTCGTGATGCTTCTTTCAAATAAGACATATTTCTACTTTAAATGTGTCTCATTAAACTAAGTTAAACGAAGGATTTAATGTACTGAAAAATTAAAAATCTCTTACTCACAATAGTAGGGTCTTCAGAGTATTAATCATTAATCTTTTCCTCGTACCTAGAGAGCGCGATTGGAATAAGAGCACCAAATAAATATAAATCCCTAAAGGTTTTTTTCTGACTTATGATCATTTTTTTAGAATTATATTTCAAATTAAGCGACGAGTCAAAGTGTCAACCGACAAATTTCTTATGTAAAACTTTTTCCACATTTTAATCTTGTAACTATGATATTATATTGATTGTTTAAACAACTACCCAAACTTTTCTTTCTCGTAAAAGTATCGACGCTATAATGGCAGCATTTTTTTCAATCTGTAATAGTATTCAATGGATAGATTGCAAAAGATGGTATTTCCGAATGACAATTTGATAAATCTAGTAAAATAATCATAGTTCAGTAAAAAGAGATCTAGGCAGTTCTTTTTTTATTGAGGTTGTTTTTATTCTCTTTGGATTAAAAATATTGTCAAATCTATACGGGATAGTGGATGAAAGAAAAAATGAATTTCTGATACCTAAAACTATGCTTAATTGGGACATTTTCTTCTTTCATCCAGTCTTTCAAGACAAATGAGAGCAAATATATTACTTTGTTTTTTAGCATTATCCATATTGTTTTAGAGAACGAATCGCAGTTTCAACATATGACAACTTTGATTTTAATCAATTGGATTCACAGAAATGTTTGGAATACTCTAGAAATATATAGTTCCATATTAATATAAATATCGCAAAGCAGTTTATTTTGTGTTGAAATATTCGAATTTCATTGATAGTAGCTATTCGAATACTTTTATTTCGAATGATACAGAACGTTGTTATTAATCAGAAAGCATCGATATATCTTTGATTTATAAATAAATAATAATAGTCAATTGTGAATTTACAATAGTTAAGATAATTGTTAATAGATATTAAAATTCAGGTGTTAGATTCGAATGTTTCATTTATATAGTAGCGGTGCCTTATTTTAAATTCAATACTACTCAAAATAATATATAGTCGTAATAGATTTCATGAAAACTTGTTTTTGTTTTTTTAGGAAATATAAATGTTTGTCTTATGGGTGATCCTGGTGTAGCAAAATCTCAATTATTAAGTTATGTCAATCGTTTAGCACAACGTAGCCAATATACAACTGGACGTGGTTCGTCAGGTGTTGGTTTAACATCAGCATTAATTAAAGATCCTATTACAGGTAATGAAAAATAATTTTTTAGCAATTCAATATCTATGTATCTATATATTTCTTTAGATGAATTTGTACTCGAAGGTGGTGCATTAGTATTAGCTGATCAAGGTGTTTGTTGTATTGATGAATTTGACAAAATGACTGAACATGATCGAACAGCAATCTACGAAGTTATGGAACAACAAACAATTTCTATTGCTAAGGTAATATAATTTTTTTCAAAACATGGTTGTTTGTGAACTATGCACGGCAAAGTTTAAACATTAATGTTACCATTTTGAGCGGTACACGAATTCTTTATTGTCTATCGAGTTATATGCAGAATAGTTTCAAAAATATATTTACGGTGACATTATAAGTACGATGACATTCTGAAAGGTTTTTATCTGAAAGTTGAATTGGGGTTTTGAGTTTGACATCTATGAGTATCTTGAGAAAATTTGATTATCGGGAACGATGCATGTAATTCTTTTCCAAAGCTAAATCGTCTGCTATTGATATATAGATGTGAAAGTGAATTTTTAGGCTGGTATATTAACATCTCTGAATGCTCGTACATCAATACTAGCTGCTGCAAATCCAGCATATGGTCGATACAATCCAAAGCGTTCAATAGAAGCTAATATTCAATTGCCAGCTGCACTTCTATCACGTTTTGATTTACTTTGGATAATTCAAGATAAAAATGATCGTGAGATTGATTTAAAACTGGCTCGTCATATTGCATCTGTACATCAAAATGGATGTCAACCAGATGTTGAACATAGTCAAAATTCTGTTGATATGAAAACATTGCGGTAGAATATTTTGCAATATAATTTTTCCGATTCGAAAATCTTCATGGGTTTGTTTTTTTAGGCGATATATTGCAACATGTAAAAAGAAACAACCATTAGTGCCTGAAGCATTACTTGATTATGTTGTAACTGCATATGTTGAATTACGTAAACAAGCACGTGTAAGCAAAGATATGACATATACATCAGCTCGTATGCTTTTATCAATATTACGTTTATCAACGGCACTTGCTCGTCTTCGTTGTGACGATCTTGTATCCAAAGATGATATTGATGAATCACTTCGTTTGATGGAATCATCAAGATTAATTTTGAAGGATCATGACAATGTATCGACAAGGTAAATTAAACGAAATAAAATGAAATAAAATCTATTTTTAATGAATATCATTTTTTGTTTCTCTAGGCAAATCAATCCAATTGATCAAGTATTTGGTATTGTACGTGATATGGTACCACTTTCAGGCACGAAAATTGTTCGTTACGGCGAAGCTAAAGAACGTTGTATTGCTAAAGGTCTCAAACCAGATTTGTTTGATAATGCACTTGAACGCTATGAAGAGATGGGTCTATGGTATGTCAATCAGCAACGTACAACAATTACAATTATTTAAACTTTTTTTTTTACTCAATCTCTATAAAAAAAATTCCTTATTTTTACAACGCTGTCAGATAAAAGAAACATTTTTTTTTTGGATTAAAATGATTAGATATATAAATTTAGGCAATAAATATAAAGTCAGATTTGATATTATTTGAAGATTTGATTTCTATATATAATAAATGGCTGATCGTCTTGCTTGGACAGATGGACAACTGCATGTCGGAGAAGCTCTAGTAACAACACAAAATGGAGTTTCCATCAATGATGGGCCAGAAAAAGTGAGAAGAGGTTTCCGAAAGCATATTTGACTTTATTTTTGCGTATTTATAGACGGATTATCAAAAAGGTTCAATAGAATTAACTAGTCATCGAATATTATGGAAAGATAAATCGGCACAGGTGTCTAGTGTACTTTTAATTAATATTTGTCAATAAAATTTGCTTTTAGGTAGAATTAGCATTGTCTAGTGTTATATGTTGTGAGAAAAAAGATGCTTCAATCATATCAAAGTAAGGTTTTATCGTAAATTATTCATATATACGCACATCGAGCTATTTTCATCAACTATAATGATCTGTAAAGACATCCGAAGAACAAATGATCTTTACGCTGTCAAATTTATCTATTAATAGTAAATGAGTTAGTTGCTTTGCAACTAAAAAAGGTCAGCTCGTATCCTTAGGCTAGAACTTACCTACTACCTAGTTGCTTCCTATTCAGGATAAGATATAGAACGTGATTAGTAGTAAACTAAAAAAAAAAGATTGTACAAATTGTAAATCTTTTATGTTTCTGATTGTTCACTAATTGGGTAAAAACTTGAATATTGGAATAATATTTTGTTGCTGAACTAATGTCTCATTCTCTACCCAAGAAATAAACATTTTATCAAAACTGATGAAGATAATATTTGATAATTAAAATTTTAGTATCGATTTTGCGTTTTTACTTTGGTCGAATATTAGTATTCTATTGTTTTTAATTATATAATTTTAAACGTTGCGTTCAGTTTTTTTTTGTAACAACCATTGTCTTGCATTTGGTGTCAATATCAATTTTAGTATCTAAAACAATAACTTTCAAGTTATTTGAATTTCAAACATCGACTATTCATTTTTGAAACTCCTTTCCTATCAATGTGTTTAGAAAGAATTCTTCTATTCAACTAATTTATTTTCGAGTAAATCTATCAGTCAGCTGATTAAGAAAAAATAGAAACGTGATAATAATCTTATCATTTCAAACAGAGTGTAAATTCCATTTCCTATCCGAGTAAAGAATGCTCAAAATTCGATCGTTCATTCTAACTTGGTTGTTTTTCTCAAATAATCTTCAATAGTAAAATGATAGCTAAATAATTGTATTGAAAGAAGAGCTTTTATACTTTTGAATATTACTATATAAATTGAATACGAGGAGAAAAAGATATTAAAGATACTTTTATTTCGTATAACCATCTATTAGAATTCATTAATAGTTAATTTTCCTTTTTTAAGTTGAGTATACAATAGTTGCGAAAATTCAGGGAAGGCAAGCTGCCATTAAATGTTTTAGCACCTACTCAGGACAATAGGAAAAGGATTGACACGTAAGAATGCGATGCGAAGCGCATAGCATTTATGTAGTCTGTCGAGTGTTTTCTTTTGCTTTTGCTTTCTCGACGTACGCATCTTTTTCATCATTTTGTGATCCGATAATCTCGAGTGCCGAAAATCATAGAAAACTCATTGAAACGGGAGATGAAAGTATCGAGATCGAACTTCTGACATA